CATGATCCTTTTTACTCCATTCTGCCACATAAGCAGTTGAAACTCATTTCATTACGCTTGAATTGACTCTGACTTTTATGCAGAAACGCACAAAAACAAACTAGATCTGACCGTATAGAAGATTTGATCGTTTTGGTCGCGGTACCTTTTTCCACTCACTTTATATTATACATTTTGATGTTTTTGTGCAACAATGTAAATAGCAGGTCGTTGAGCGGCTAGAAATGGATGGTCTATGGCATAATAACCAACGAGCCATGTCCAGACCATCGATCTCCATTCTTCGCTCCACCCTTTCTGTGTGTGATGCATGTGTGTGAATAGAATAAATGCGAGAGATAGTGCGAGGAGTTGCACAAACTGGTCCGTCACTTGGCTCTGCTCTGCCGGTTTTAGTGTTTTTTCTCACGCGGTGTAAAGAGAAAAAGATTATATAAAGAAGTGCCTAGGCTTTAATGAAAGGTTCGGGATTTACGAGGCTCTTAATTACCATATTGGTTGAGATTGAGAGGCTCTATTGCAATACGATCCAATCGTTAGGAAACACACTTGGGAATCCTAAATGTCTTAATAAATAGATGCACTGATGGTTATACAAAGTTGGGCAAGTTAAAGGTTCAAGTTAAAATTATGACGAAAAATTAATTTTAATGGAACAAACATACATGGCATTATTTTTGTAGTAAGAAACCATATTTGCTAGTTTTCTGTCACTTTTATTTCATTGTCAAAGCAAAAACCGTATAGAAATCGTGAAAAACCTAAAATATAGGAAATTTTAATTAAATATAAAAATATTATAATTTATAGCATAGATTACCATTTTGAATATGTAATGATGGCGAAAAACGTGCAGCTTTCTTCAAATCGAGCACCACGCGAGTTCAAAAAACTCGTTTCACAACGAATTTGCCAAATTTCCTGCTCGTACTAATCACGGAATGAGGTCTTTTCTCTAAATGAATTATTCCAGGCATAGTAGTTTAATAACGTTGTTCACTCATTCAGCCAGTATTAACACACACACAACATAATTGGCCTATTCCTGCAAATTAATCAATAAAATCATAGTGCCGGCGGCGATTCGCAATCTCTCGCTCCACAATCGCAGAAAAAACTGATTTTCCATTCAATATCCCCTGCGCATGAAAAGTGTAATGAACTAGCGGAGAGGTTGCTGGCGGCTCTTTAAAAATGTACACACTCGCCGCGCCTGTAAGGTGATGGTAATGTAAAAACGGGCGGCGCATTTGTGTCTCTTGCGATTGCATAAGCCGGAGAACAAGAGCACTCTCAACTGCTGCCTTTATTTATTTTTACAGCGAACACGTGACTGCTTTCAACGCTTTTCCTGATCCAGCCATCGCGAATATGTACAGAGGTGTTTTTATCCAGATCTATAATAAAATCCAAAACTTTGGTCGCGCACTTTCATTGTGTGTGACAACTGACAGAAACCGGCAGATATAAAAGTTAAAAAAGCGACGTCTCGCCACACAAAGGAAAAGTGTTGATGTGAAGTTTTTAAGACCAACAGACTGTAAAGATTAAAATGTATTATTTTTTGTTGCTTTATTAATTATTTATTTCTCCTCTTTGTGCAAATGCTGGAAATATTGACAGGCCTATTGCCCAATCATGGATAAAATATGCCAATTAATGGACTGAATCGGAGAATTCCAAACGAATTCATTAAACCTCTCGACCCAAATTAAATTACGATCGCTGCTTAATTAGAAACGTTTTTTTACGGAGAAAGCCACCACTTGATTTCGAAATTTTGATCTAGAAATTGACCTTGATGACGCTGTGGAGGCCACGCGTCGTCCACCTAGTCTGCGAATGAGTCATGCTTGCAAATCTTAAAACATCAACCTTCAGATCTGTCTGAAATTTTTTGAATAATTCCTATTTACTTATTCCATTGAAACCATTCTCAATTAATTTTCCATTTTTTATTAAAATTAAAAAATTTGGCACAAAAAAGTTTCTGGAATTACATTCTTACTCAAAGGTTGAAACAGTTAAAAGATGCCAAGGTTACAATAATTTTCATTTTTTGCTCTTTAATTTTGCAAGTTTCATCAACTTTATATAATATTGTTATAAAACTTTTTTAGTTATAATATTATGAAAAAAATATCAATACTATGATTCTTATTAATATTATTTAGAAGCATAAAAAACATTTTTAACATAAAAATAGTGTTATATGATACAATAAATATTAAATTTGTAACTAATTGTGTTTTTAAATAATGTTTATTGAAGCAAAAAATATTAAAAGCTACCAAATTAAAAATAATTGTAATCTTTCTATGTACAGGGAGTGCATATTTAAAAAAGGTTTGTCTTATTAAATTTTATTCAAGAACTTAAGTGCTTTACAAGTTATGGCAATTAAATGATGAGCTAATCGTTATCTTTGTAAAAGAAAATTTTACATTAAAATGAGTCAATTTACTTTTTAACAACCGACGTATACTCCTATTTCACGGGAAAGTATAAAAGTAAAATCAATAGTACCTGAAAATTGTAAACCAATCGCATTTAATAAATTAAATTTAAACTGTACCTGACGTCACATTGCAACCGCGCCACCTTCCCCCGATTCACCGATTTTAGACATTAGCTCATTCTTGTTTAAGTCATGGAGCTATGCGGAGCTCATGAAATAGGTCAGTCAATTGCTGTAAAAATTGTGTGTTTAATCATGAAATTCACCATGTTAATAATTGTTGTGTTTCATCTCGTAATATAGGTTTGCAGAATTAATCCATCTATTTTCAAATAAAAATGTATTTAATTCAAACAGGAAAACGGTTTATCATAAATTAACCAGGTTTTGGTAATTAATTCTAAAAAAATTGATTTTTGTATCGAACAGAATCCAGACGCCTCTTTCTTGACCAACGTGTTCTGGAAAGATCGGCGAGCGACAATTCAGTTCCTATAATTTCTTACGAGATGGTCATGTATACAATGCTAATTGTGTCACTTCTTGTATGCGCGCGTACTTCAGTGAGCAGAGAAAGACGGACAAGAGGAATTATTTACAAGCGTGCACAGCTGCGGCGGTAATCAATTATTCGGAGAGATCGTGACCCCGATTGAAAATAAGAGCTGCCGAGAATATTATTTGCCGGCTCTACATATAGTGAAATTCACACCGCGCCTTGTGCGCAATTCCACTCAAATTCCATTTACAACACTGATTATGCATGCGTGTTGGACGGAAAAATGGAGAAGAGCCAGAGACTGAGTTTCAGACGAGGAAATGAGCCGATTGTTAAATGGATAATATCGCCGTGTATTATGCAATTGTCGCGCGCGCGTTCGAAAGTGAAATTGAAAACTCGCCACGCCAGCCAAGTAAATACTCATCTTCACAGCCACGCGTAATATACATTTAACCGCGCTCGTTTGATTTGCTTAATAGGACGTGCTTCAGATTAAATAAATGTTTGTAAACCACGCTTGTAAATGTCTGGTTTGCGCACTATAGTGCCGGAAAATCTACTGGTGCTCAACATTATAAATAATTTATTAATAATAAGTCTTTTCAGAGATTGTACTGGTAAACTTTTTACATTACAAATTTTTTATGTTAAAAAGTATTGTTTTTCACTTAAATTATAAATTAATTTTTCATATAGAATTAATTTAAATAAAGTCTCCATCAAAAACTTTCCTGGCCTTTGTTTGTTTTCTTGATATATAAATTTTTGTTATTATTTAATGGTTTAGCATAATAAGTTTTAATACTGTTAATCTTATGATAGGGTTTTTACTGATTTTTGCTGACCTGCGAGATAGGAAGTGCTTAATTATGGCTAAGAATAGACATAAATGAATAATAATAACTAACAATAATTAATGGCTCTGTTTTATAAAATATTTCGCAGTGTAAAAATCGGTAAAAATTATTTTTCCAAGGATATTTGTATTTCTTATAGGAACGATTTCTGTTGGATTTCCGGTTCCTTGCTTCCGTCCACATATATTCATAATTATTTTCCTCTCTATTATATTAATGGTCATATTGAAAACGTGCCTCGAAAAAATGGATTTTGCTAGCTTTGGGTCTATGTCCGTCCGTGCGCCGCCGGCACTTCCTACGCTCTTCTCGCTAGGCACAAACAACAATTATCTAGTCAGGGTCTTTTCCTCTCTATTCGTCTGCGGCGGCCTGTGCGAAAACAAACCGACTCAGGGCCGGAAGAAAAGGACCCTCAATTATGAAACGAATGGGTCGATGGTCAGATCGATATTGCAGATAGATGGAATACCTTGAGAATTGCAAAACGAAACTTCACAGGACTATAATATATAAAATTAATTAGTTTGTTGATACGATTTGAGACTAAAATTATGTCTGTACAACTGATTTACATACAAAATATTGAAAATAAAACTGTTGCACATTATATTACATTTTAAAATTTGTGCTTTTGTGAGTGGATTTTTCATTAATTTGATTAATTTATCACTTATATAATATAAAATGTGGATTAATGAAACTTTTCTTTAATTTCAATTGATTATATAATACACTATCATTACCAAAACAAAATTTGTACTTATATTGTTAATGTGAATTTGATGCATTTATGTTTTCCATACTAATTTCAAGTAGAAAATTTATTTTAATTTTCGCATAAGAAAAGGGAAGAAATAAATATCCATCCATCCGTCACAATAGATACATATGTAGGCCCAATGGCCTGCAGGAACTAAATTTTTATTTGATCGTCTCTGTTGTCAGCTGCTGGTATGTAATTAAATTTTGCAAAAGAGCGCGTGTGTATGTTGAAGTCTAAAAGTTAGCCTTGCATGTGCGATTTTTTTTCTGAATGAGAATCGCGGATTGACCTGCGATGACCGGCGCGTGATGCAAGGATTGCTCCAGTTAATTCTACTCCATTTGATTTACCTGGCGAGCCAGCAGCACCAAGAAAGAATCACACACACCAAGGCTGCTCCCCTGCCCTGAGACAGTCAGGGTCCCCTCCTTCAACGCTCCAGCTATAAAAAGCCCTGAGCACCTCCCAACATCATTCTTTCAGCAGCAGCCGAAGAAACAAAATCCCCTCAATCACCATGTACAAGTTTGTGAGTATCTAGTTTTTGCCAAACGCATAATTAGATTTAATCAAAAAAGCAGGCCCCCAACAGCCGCCTCTCTCCGACCCGAATAAAACTAAACCTACCCTGATTTCAGGTCGCTCTCGCCGCCCTCGTGGCCGTCGCCAACGCCGGACTCATCGGCGCCCCCGTGGCCGCTCCCCTGGCCTACGCCGCCCCCGCTGTGGCTGCCCCTCTGGCTTATGCCGCCCCCGCCTACGCTCCCGCCTATGCCCCCGCTGCCTATGCCGCCCCCGCTGTCGTCAAGTCTCTTGCCCCCGTCGCCACCTCCTACGCTAACACCTACAAGGTCGCCGTGAAGGCCGCCCCCGTCGCCTACGCCGCTGCCCCCGTCGCCTATGCCGCCCCCGCTGTCCACGCTCCCGTCGTCGCCGCCCCCGCCTACGCTTCCTACGCTGCCCCCGCCGTCGTTAAGACCGCCTATGCTGCCCCCGCCATCGCCTCCTATGCCGCCCCCGCCTATGCTTCCTACGCCGCCCCCGCCGTCGTCAAGACCGCCTATGCCGCCCCCGCCTACGCTTCCTACGCTGCCCCCGCCTACGCTTCCTACGCTGCCCCCGCCTATGGCGCTACCCTCCTCCACTAAGTCCGAGGACAAACTTGTAAATTTGCACCACCATCAGACTGAGTAAATATTGTAACTTATTTGCGACTACATCTCAGCAATAAATGTTTACATGATCATCAAAAAATTTGATTTTTATATATTATAATTGACAACCCATAATAGGTATAAAAATGGGGTAGAAAGATCCAAAACACTACGGAAAATTTGGGATCTGAGTTAAAATTATTATCATTTTTTTATCTGAGTATTTTTATCCATGTTTATATCAATATTTCAGTAATAATAACACAAAAAAATGAGAAAACTTGCAGACTAAAATACAAGCCTGAACTAAGTTAAATACATCGTGTTTTAGATTAAAAATTATACCTATCATTCAATTATGATTCACGGTTATTTTCAAATATTCTACATTACAAAGTCAATCTTTCATTGTTCAAATAATGCAAAATTAATCACTATTCTTCTTTATTTTTATAAGAGGATAATTTTTTCAATTCTATTCAATTGTTAGGGGCAAACTGATTTAATTTTTAAGTCGAACAAGCTTTAGGCATAAAAAGGGATAATACAACTTGTAGAGCATAGGAAGATTGAGATTAAAATCTAAATAATTCAGTTCCATTCAAATCAATTCAAAAGACAAAATATGATCAATGAAAATCAATAAAAAAAAAACTACATAAATAATTGAAAGGATCAACTTGTAAAAAATTTGTAATGTCATGTGATGAAAAATAATTAATAATATTATAAACTTAAGGATACAATTGAACGTTAGGAAGGCCCTCCATTATGCATTTAGACTGACGGGTAGCTCCCCTTGACACTGACAGTGCTCTTTTTAAGTGCTTGATCCATTAATTAAAGATCACTACCGTCTGTTTAAGACGTCGGCTTCATACGCTCAAAGTGCACCTTGCCTGACAATGAGTATAAATAAAATATGTACATACTTTACCTAAAAGACAGATTGAACTCTCGCTTTTATTTTACAACTTTATTGGCATTTGTATCTCTGTTGCTTTGAAAAACAGAATTATTAAATTTAAATGTTATTTGCATTGAAATACAAATAAAAAAAACGTACATCCTTTGAAAAAAAAAGAAAATAAACAACATGTTATTATCTAGATACGCTCTGTATATCATTATGGATCGTTTATTTTAATTATTTTCTTCTTCATTTTCTCTCCGAAACATAATGTTAATAAAGGTGTGTAATAATTGCACCATTACTCTTTCATTGCCACACTTGCAGTTCACATCATACTTATTTCTAACGCCATATATTCTCGCACCTTGCGCACCTAATTTGCAGTTCAAGGTCCCCACAATACTCTGAAGAAGAACTTGAATTTTTCTCCGCATTTAATGAATGGCAATTTGTGCCCCAACCTTTTAAGGTTGTTGCATTAGTTTTGCATCTACCGATGAAATAAATGCGATTTATCCATCAACGTCACAGAGTGTTTTGTAACAACACTAATTCTGCAAAAAGTTCTAAAGCTTACTTAGCGGTTAAAGATAAATTTGGATAAATCTAGCGTTGCCCAACTGTCTGTGAGCAGCGAGACAGACAAAGGCCCACTCTTGGTGTAATTACGGCGGTTTTATGGTGTGACCAGAGTGACCCGGCGGCCTCCCTGCGGCCGGCGTGCAGATTTAACTTTCGCTTTTCATCCCGCGTGTGAATCCAGCTCCGAGCTAGCGGCCCACCATCCTTGCGACCAATCATCCATAGAACAAAACCGCCTCGAATCCTGCCGACCTCCAAAGCCAGAAAACATCAACAATAGAATGTCAAATTATTGCAGCACAAAACGTGTGCGAAAAATGCACGCAGAGAGAGCAAAGGAGAAATATAATTTTAAAACACAGGAGTCCATTACAACACTCGTACAAAATTCATTCATTCAAAAACAAAAACTTCACACAGTGAAACGAAAAAAAATATTTGATAAAAAAAATTAACTTTTTAGATTATTTGTTTTTTCGCCCACTGAAACTTGTAAGATCAATATTAAATTATTATTTTATATAACTCATCTTATAGAAAAAATCTAAATATCCCTTCCTGGTCTAGTTTTGGCTTAATAATTTCGTTTACTATTGTTTTTCCTTTATTCAGACATAATTTTGGTTGCACAATGTCACTATATAAAAAAAGAAACAAAGCACAATGTCATGGAGCAAGAAGGCCCTGAATAAATAATTTGCTTTTTGTTACCAAAATAATTTACTTAAATTATTAAACGTATCTTTTTTTAACTATTTTCAGAGGAGTTTTAATTACCATCAAATTTTAATTAAAAAGGAGCAATATACAATTAGCGAACAAAATTTTGGCTAACCAAATTTTTTTAGGACTAGTGATCGCAAATCGCAAGACCTAGCTCAACTGATATTAAATTTAATACAACTTGATCCAAGGAATAAAAAAAATCAAGGTCTTGCTGTTTTTTGGTTTTTAACACAAGCCGTCATATTTTATTTGATTAACAGCCAATTAAAGGGAAAAATTAAATTACGCAATTTCCATGATTTAATAGCACGCTGTCAGGTTGCCTGGAGAATTTGCAGTAGACTGAGTGTTCAGACAATGAGTCTGTAGGGCGACGAGGGGCCGAAAATGGACCGCAAGGAAAAGCCGGCGGCGAGCGACCTGAGGTTGTTCAGCGAATTATCGCACGAAGTGCCTATCGGGAGAAAAATAATCGTTTAAATTTGATTGCGTGTTTCTCAATTCGCATGCAAAAAAAACCCATCACGCACACACACATATCAATCTGCGAAATACGAAACACGTACTTTGAGTCAAGTTGTCGGACAAACACTCCTGCAGCATGGATAAATATAAAGCTTTTAAATGTACGAACGACTTAGCTTATATATTTACCTCAAGCAAATACCTCCGAATGCAAATGGAGAACTTGAGCGGGTAAGTGGAGCAGATTCTGCCCGTGCTCGTTCTGATCGCCCTTGGTGAGGCTATTTTATTTTTTCGATTCGTTGCATTATTATCATTAAAAGTAGATTTGTAAAAAGTGAGTTTGTTTACTAAAGGCCGTGGAGGAGCAATAATCGGTTGCGTTAGCAATTATGTCCGACCAGTCGGGATAGTAATCGGTGGCATTGGTGAATAGTTGGTAGACGCTGTCCATGTTCAGCGAGGATGAACTCGAGATGGTTGATGGATCCACCAAACCTAGACCTTGATATGCACAGTCTGCATAGCACTTTTATTAAAATGCAAAATTGATATTACAATTTTTTTTAACAATGAACACACAATTTTTTAGTAAGCTGTTTCCCATCTGTTTTTATATTAATAAAATTGTAAATAAAGAAATGTTTTTTATGTATAATTTATAACATAAGTTGCAAAATATTTGAGAAAAATTTAATTAAGGATATAATTAAAGACTAAATCAACAAATTCATATTTTTATAAATAAATTTTGCAAAACATTAATTAAAATATTGTGATGATAAAATAAATTTAATTAATTTTGTGTGTTGTTATTCTATAATTTTGGGAAATGTGCCAGGTGTGCATGAATTAAAATTATTTACCACGTTCAAAAGAACATCCTCTGCAGAAGCTGTCAATTTCACGGAAAGTTGTTTAGAAAATTAATTTGTTCCTCAAATTTCGCAGCTCACCTCTGCCACTGACGGCTGCCCTATTCAAGAAAGGCCGCACTAGCGTGCCCAAAAGTCCTCCAAAAATACCCCTATTTGACGTCCTGTACGTGACAACGCGCGAAGTTGCCCCGCACGCAGACTGCACGTAATTTGGAATTAAAATTGGAGCGTCGCAGCACGCCTGAGCCGACTATAAATAGACACATTTTTGCAATGAAATGCAAAACACGAAGGAAGAGACACAAATGATGAATGTCGCAAAACGTTTATTTAAATTCGAACCTGCAGCACGCCAACGATACTGGTGTATGGCAGGACATTCAGAACTGCTCGGGTACGCCTGTTCAGTGGCTCGTCATCTATATTTTGTGATTGAAAGGCAAAATGTAAATAATAAAATATATTTTAATCTTTTGTTATCAATTTGAAAAAAAATATAACTGAAATTTAATTGATAGCGCGCGCATTTTAAGCACTTCTTTCCATGAAATTATAAAATCTTTGTGAACAAAAAATATTATAGTGATGGTGATTTTCATTGATTGTCGGCTGTAATAAACAGCTCACAAAACCCACCGAGGATAAGTCGACTGAAAATTCAAATTACCATGACTCAACCCTCGACCCTTGATCATAAAATTCTACAAAAAATAATAACAATTTAACTCTTTTGATATATCAATGGCTAGAAGCGGAGAGAAGCTAATATATACAAAAGTTAATCAGTTTTTAAGTCAATTTGAAATTTTTATTTCATCTAATGTTTAGCCATAATTGTCCACCTTTATACCAAAAATGCCTGTTTATGTGTTTTCCACATGGAAAGTTCTAAAATCCAATATTATTTAATTATATCTATATATCGCCAATTTTTTTTATAGAAAATATTTTTCTATATTAAATTTTTTATTTAATATTCAAAAATAATTTTTCAGTTCCAAAATTTGTAATACATTTTTTATTATTTCCAATTTATTTATTTCTCTCACCTGAATCAAAATCAATATCTTGGCACCAAACAATAGGCACCTAAAGTACTCTCACATTTTACTTCGTTCTCCAAAATTGTATTATTTTTTGTCACCAGTTGCAGTAGAAGCGGAAGAAGTGCCCAAACAACAGCCATCCTGATTCAGAACTGAACGCGTGTGTAAAAAAAATAAGCGAGCCGACGCGTAAACCGCAGTGAAAATTAAATTGTTAAAAACACATTGACCTTCGCCAAGTGGCGCGTCGTCATAATGACTGCCGCTGCTGGTATTTAGATGCAATTTTCTAGTAATTTAGATCCGGATGTCAGGGAAAAAAACATTTGTCGCTCTCATAAAAAATGACGACTCGACAAAAATAGAAATTCATTTCGTTCTTATATTTCACAAAAAAATAAAAAATTAATTTCAACTTTTTAAGATTCGCATTTGCAGTCGCCCTTGACCTTTTGCGGCGAAATTATTTCCACACGCCAGTTAACTGCATTGAAATTATTTTCATTAATTATAATACCAGTTGAGCGTGTCAGAGAAATTTCGGCAGTCTAAATTATTCAGAGTGGTGTATATTTGCTGGTGTCGTGCGAGTACCAAGCCCAACGTAGCACCGACAGTCACCATGGAGACCCACACTTGTGATTTTCGGCTCCCTTGCGGTGTACGCAAGGGAATTCTTCCCTTTTCCAGTTTGCTGGAATTCGCAGGTGAAGACACTGGGCGTCGAGTGATGGCCCACAAGAGGGGCTTCGCGGTGGCCCCTTCGAGACCTCACGACTACCTCTATGGTTACTTTTTTCTTCTTATTGAAGAACTAAAAAAAAAATGTACAATTTGTTAAAATTCTGTTCTGAATATTGCATTATGAAGTTAAAATTTACAAGATTGAGTTTTGAAACTCACATATTTTTTTTTGTTATCACATATTGTGTAAAATCTGGAAAAAAAATGGCTATAAATTCTCAAGTAACAACAAATGATAATATTAAATTTAATTAATTTTACGCATTTTCCATTTTCATTACCTAATTCTTCTTTTTTGTGTGCGCAGAAATTGAAAATAAAAAATATCTTTAACTCAGTTCATTATAGCATAAAGCTTAGTTTTTATCATTTAAAATTTTTTCAGATCCCTTATTCACTGTGCCCACGTTTAAGGACTTCATGAAGGCGGCCAACTGTGCAGCTAAAGAAGCTGCTGAAATTGTTAGAAATTCATTCTAAAATTAAATTTTATGTAATTCTAAACTTGATCTAACATTAGCACTTGAGACCAGTTTTCAAAAATATGTTCAGTGAGCTGCCGCATTATCCGAGCATGGAAATTGTAGTGACAAATCGGAGCTTCCCACACCAAGTTCACAAAACTTTGTTCCAGGTAAGAGCAACAATAAATGAACAATTTATTTTATCCACTTTTGATTTTTTTCTTTTGGAAAAAAGTATTTAAGTAATTGATCAATGAAAATAATTAATAATTTTAATTCAAAAAATCTACGTTGCTACTAGTTCTGATACTGATACACACTCTTTATTTTTCCCTTTTCATAACTACAAGAGTTTAATGAACTGTAATATCAGCTTTAATGTACTGAAAAAGTTATTAATAAAAAGTAAAAAAATTGATTAATTAGTTTATTACAATATTTATTTGAGTTATTAGTTATTACCAAACAATTAAATAAACTGTAGAAAGAATTAAATATAATACAATTTAAATTATTCATCATTAAACATTAAGGCTTTTCTGCCATGCCTGTGTTACATGTTATGCTCATTTTAGCCATTCCGTGACGGGAGTACAAATATAATATAATTGTTTATACTTATACTACATTTAAAAGTAGTGCATGTATATCTATATATTTAAAGCGGATCAAAGCTTGTGGCTGTCCGTTTTCCTTGTTTCCTTGTGCAAAAGTGAATGCCTTTTTGCGTCAATCGATTGCATTTTATTTTTTTCAATGACACGCCAGGGTGGCGAGGAGACAATCTGATCGCGCTTCTGAAGTGAATGGAGTCCACAGACACAAATATTTTACAAGGTGAGCCGAAAATTTATTACCTGTTCTCTTTTTTCACTGGCATACGCCTATTTATAGTTGCCATTGACCACGTAAAATTTAAACAATGGACAAAAATTATTTGAACTTGCGAAACAAAAATGATTTATTTCAGCTCGATGGAACCAACACATGATTTGGATTGTGCGCCGCTGGTGCGAAAATCGTCCAGGCCGTGGGCACCGTCGCCCCTCAGCACAACCTACGTGGTCACCAGAGAGCTGAAAACCCTCGACCGACCTTTGACTGAACCCCATCTGGCCCTGATGACGGCCAGTTACAGAAACAACGGCACACAAACTTTCGCAGCCCACCTGCGTCCAGACATCGCCAAAGGTTATTCCCAAAAAAATATTATTCCCCTCAGTATAAAACAATAAAACGAGATGAGAGAAATTTTTTCCGTTAAAATCAATCGCATAAATGATAAATAAGGATGTTACCTTCCAGGTATATATGAAACTGAACCTTCTACAGCAGTTTGAGCTCCTGCTCTTCTGATCTAAAAATAACCCTCGCACACCTCACCGCACATTTTACGCAGTATAAACACAAACAGTTCATCAGCCTGAACAAGCCTGAAGAAGGCACGTCTTTGTAGCGGATGTTGTAAAACACTTCTTATCGGGTTTTTTCGTCTGCTTTTTTGATGAAGAAATTTATGACTTTCAGGTCAAAAAATTTGTTTTAAGAAACAATAATATTGAACTATTTGAACTATATATTTATGTAAAATGAAAGTAGATAATGTCAATCAAAATTAGACAATTTCGAAAATAAATATGCACGAAAAAATTAAAAAAATGTAAAAAAAGAAAATGATAGGTAGATTTTATATTTTAGAACAAAATGTCATTTAATTAAATAGGATGAAAGTAAAGAATGTCGAAATAAAACTTTTTTCATAATATAAAATAAGGAAAATAAAAAAGTTTCAGATTGCGACGATCCAAAGGGAGCGATTGAAGCAAAAATGCGACACATGAAGGAAATCAGCGACGAGAGATTGAGACTGGCGGCCAAATTGCGGGCCGAACACGCGTCTGCTGCCCAGGCGCAAAGAGAGGCTACCAGGGCCAGGACTAAAGCTCGATGGGAAGACCGCAAAGAAGCTGAACTGGCCAAACTCATGACGCGACATAACAGAGGCAAAACACCAAATCAAAAATTATTTTTACTCTCTTTTAAATATTTTTTTTATACTTTACAGAAGTTAGAAAACTGGCGAGGGAGTTCAATGACATGGGTCTTCACGAGCACCAGAGGAATAATTCAACTCAGGTGGACCGGAGTGAACACTTGGAGTTGCCGTTAATTCAAAATTTACCAGTTGTGGCACCATCGCTGTAAATTTGCATTTCTTGAGAAATTTCGCGATAAAGACTTTTCTCAAAATTGTATAAGCAGCCTTGTTATCCCCATTGTGCGTTGGTTGACGTTTGGAATAAATTTTATATAAGGCCTCCCATTTGCATACAGTGCTTCTTATTTTTAATTTTATTTTTAGCCCATGATATTCTTTATCAGCAAAATTGCCGTTTACGACCGGGTGCTGCAGTTATTGTTGTGGCAAAACGATGCGCAAACTGAACCTTCTATCCGAGCTGCTCGCCTGCTACCTGATTCTAAAAATAGATTTTAATGCCCAATCATCGCGGATACACCTATAGCGAGCACGGCGGGTACATGCACGCGGTCCAACTGTACCTGCATCGCTCTCCAACCTAACATCAACTAGAAACAGGAACAATGGGCACTTAAATAATACTATACCAGGTGGAGGCTTTTCACATCTTGCAGGGCAAAGTAAATACAACATTAAGAATATATACTGAAATAGGAAAAGTTTTAAAATTATTTGTAGAACAAAATACATAAAAATAATGGGGGACATTCACTAGAGATATCCTCCCGGGATAACCATGTTTATTTTTAAGATATTAAATTTTTACAATTTAAAATTGCAAAATTTTGCTTCAAAGTAAAATATGAAATAAACAACTACCTTGCAATATCTTTAGCATTTTAGAAATTGTTGAATTTTAAATTTTAATAAAAATAAAAATACATATTATAAATTAAATATTTTTCACTAAAATGTCGGGAAATGCATATCTCTACATTTTTGTTTTTTTATAATTTTTCAGTTTAAAAGAATGCAAACATTGATTGAAAATATGAGCCCCTAGCGTTATGTGCATAGGCCACAGGGTTGATTGCCGAGCGCAGCCAGTTGCATACTTTCAAATAAAACCATCATCGTCAAAAAACTTGCCGAGTTGCCGTGGTGGCGCTAGTAGTTGCTTTTGCGAAACACAAACCACAAACACATGGCAATGTTTTTATTTACTTGATTTTGCTCTTTATTATCAAAAGAAAGTGTATAGGCTCACTAATTCATTAAATTAAAACTACGAATTGAGCATTTTGAACTCACCTTGCATTTTTGAAGGGTTTTCAGTCCATCTGTTAGATAATCCAGAGTCAAATTCACCATGGGCAGAGGGAAAACAGGTGAGTAATTTTCACCAAAATTTAGTGCGATGTAAATTCAAAATCTTTTAGAAAAATCTCATCACGAGATACTGGAGGAGCAGCAACGGAGTTTGGCCGCAATCACCGAAATCGTGACTGAACTTGCCCAAGCCCAGCGAGAGGGCCGCGACGTCCAACTCAACAGACTCAAGACCAAAATCGCTTCGAAACATGGTCTGCAAAACTCACCTCGGCTGACAGAAATCATCGCAGCAGTTCCTCCAGAACTGAAGAAACTCCTGCTGCCAAAATTGAAGGCCAAACCTGTCCGAACAGCCAGTGGAGTAAGTTTTTTACTACGAAAAAATTAGTTTTAAAACCTTAATTGATCTTTCAATATTTAAGATTGCTGTCGTGGCTGTGATGTGCAAGCCCCACCGATGTCCCCATGTCAGTCTGACTGGCAACATTTGCGTCTATTGTCCTGGAGGACCAGACTCTGACTTTGAGTATTCGACCCAGTCTTACACAGGTTATGAGCCAACCTCCATGAGGGCCATCAGGGCCCGCTACGACCCTTATCTGCAGACCAGACACCGAGTCCAACAAGTAAAATAATAATTAAATTGTCAAGGTTGAAACTAATTTAAAGATAGCTTGAACAACTGGGACACTCGGTGGACAAAGTGGAGTTCATCGTAATGGGCGGAACATTCATGAGCCTGCCGGAAGACTACAGGGACTATTTCATTCGAAATTTGCATGACGCCCTTTCTGGACACCGAAGCTCGTCTGTTGATGAGGCTGTTATGTAAGATTTAACGTTCAAATTTTTTATAACATTATAGCAAAATGTTTTATTGGTTTTATAGGTATAGTGAGAGAAGCAGGGTCAAGTGCATTGGTCTGACGATCGAAACCAGGCCAGACTATTGTTTGAAGAAACACCTTTCCGACATGCTGAAATATGGCTGTACTAGGCTTGAGGTCGGAGTGCAGTCTGTGTATGAGGACGTAGCAAGGGACACCAACAGAGGTCACACAGTGCGGGCAGTGTCTGAAAGCTTTCAGCTATCCAAAGATTCCGGATTCAAGGTTTTAAAATCAATTTTGTTTAAGAAAAAAAATATAAAAGTATTTTGGGTTTAAATTGACAAATTAATAACATTAATGTAAAAATTAACTCTGTAATATAAGTCTGATTATTTCCTTTAATTTGATAGGTTGTGGCCCACATGATGCCTGATCTTCCGAATGTTGATTCGGAACGAGATCTGCTCCAGTTTCAAGTGGGTTTTATCTGTGATTTGATTTTTCACTGATATTTTAATTTTTTTTATTCCATCAGGAATTCTTTGAAAATCCAGCATTCAGGGCTGATGGCCTAAAAATTTATCCAACACTTGTGATTCGAGGCACTGGGCTATACGAGTTGTGGCGGACTGGTAGATACAGGAGCATGCCTCCAAGTGGATTGGTGCAATTGGTGGCCGAAATTTTGGCCATGGTGCCCCCATGGACCAGAATCTACCGAGTGCAGAGAGACATTCCCATGCCATTAGTCACGTAAGAAATGAATTTAATATTTGCAATTTCATGTTTAATTTAAGGAAAGCAAACTCATTTAAAACAAAGTTCCATGCACTCCATTTTTTTAAGCCGTTGCCGTTAAGTGCAACCCTTTGTCTGTTCTTGATTCTGTTTTTAAATCAGATTTAGTTCGTTGTTCCTTTATTTAACTAGTTTTTGGGCAAAGAGTCTCAATTTGGGAAAAGATTGCTATGTTTTAATATTTATTTCCCCTATTGTGCTTAATATTTTATTTTCAAAATAGATCTGGAGTGGAACATGGTAATTTGAGAGAGCTTTGTTTGGCTCGACTTCAAGAGCTGGGATTATCATGCAGAGACGTCCGAACAAGGGAGGTTGGAATCACTGAAATCCACAGGAGGGTTCGACCTTATCAGGCAAGGAAATTATTCAATTATCAAATTATAAAACAACAAATTCTATTATTTTAACAAGGCTTTGAGTACAACAATAATATGAATTTCAGGTGGAACTGGTGAGACGAGACTATGTTGCCAATGGTGGCTGGGAGACGTTCCTTGCTTACGAGGATCCTGAGCAAGACATCCTGGTGGGACTCCTGCGTCTCCGCAAGTGTACAGGCCAAGCTTTCCGACCCGAACTCAAGGGTGGCGTGTCTATTGTGAGGGAGCTCCATGTCTATGGCTCTGTGGTGCCCGTTTCTGCTAGGGACCCAACTAAGTTCCAACATCAAGGTTTCGGGGCTTTGCTGATGGAAGAGGCCGAACGCATTGCCAAAGAGGAACATGGGGCTAAAAAATTGGCTGTCATTTCAGGAGTCGGAACAAGGAATTATTATAGGAAGATTGGCTACCATCTTGATGGCCCTTTTATGTCAAAAGTGCTTGTCTAAATAAAAATGGTTTGTTTGGAAATTGCAATCTTATATGGACTTTATTTATTTTATAATCACAAACTGAAAATAATCAAAATTTTTAAGGTTCAAAAAGTTGTGAAAATCAAAGCACTTGAAAGAAGTTGATATGGATAAAAATTTAACAATTGATATTCAGTCTACTTCCATTATTTATTATAAAAATGTACATTAGCTGTAAATATACACTCACAAACAAGGACGGCACTCCCTCTCATTCAGATAAATTCATTCTCATGCACTCACTCATACAGCTCAATGACGCACTTCACGACAGTTTTGCCCTTTTTGGGGCCACCAAGTCATCGTCCTCTGGCTCCTCTTCCTCCTCCTCATCACTGTCTCCCTCGTAATCAACAAGTCCCTGCGACAAATTGAGATTAGAAACTTCTCCACAATCTTGGTTGAACTTAATACCTTTTTGAACATGAGTTTATCACTTCCTGGACTTCCAGGGGGTGATCCGGAGGCGTCGCCTGCTGCGTTGTTGTTCATTCGACCAGGCGTCTTGCGCTCCATCAACTTGCCTAACGAGTCCAGCTCCGAGTCAAGTTTTTTGGGGTCTGGGGTATCCTCGAAGTCTTCCTCGTCGTTGAACCACATGTCTTCCTCCTCCTCTAGCTGCCGTGGGTCACGCCGAAAACGAGGATTTCTCAGGATAGATGGCACTCTGAATAATAAAAAAATAAATAAAGCTTGACTAGAGATGCAAGACAAAATGTATTACCCATCAAGTGAGGACCTATCACGGTCCCTCAATTTGTCTTGATGCTGCTCGTAACGAACTCGCAAAGCCTTAAAAGTTTGTACGTAGTCAACTTCGTCAAGCACCTTGCCATATTGCTCGACAACATGCAACCACAAAGACTTGATATCCTCCTGCAAATCATAACTCAGCTGTAAAAAAAGGTTAGGAAAAGGGGGACACAAAAGGATAAGGAAAGAAAAATGGATTTCTTTCACTTACCAGTTTAATGAACTCAAAGAGTTCGATAATTGCAGAGTCTAAAAGGTTGTATCTGCTGCTATTGCGGATAAATGTGTCCACCACTGGCCTGAACAAGTTGTTCTTGATTATGTACCGGTTGTAAAACTCGTCTTTGAGAGCAATGATTTTACGCATGAACCGAAGAGCACCTACAAGTTACGAGAGTTATAGAATCATTTTCTAATATTTCTAGCAACATAAACAGATACTTACTGAGCACCAGGAAAGTGTGCTTTGAGCGCGTCAGCACCAGAACACGGCCCAATAAATTTTTGTTGAGGATGCAATTCTTAACATGGTAGGTGTGGTGCTCTACACAAAACGACAATAATTCCAGAACCACGGCCAATAACTGTGCAGTGCAATAGTCATCTCGGATAGGTGCGTCGCCTTCAGTGTTCACCAAAAGAGGATCTAAAAAATGAAACAAAAATTATTTCCCCAATGATGTTAATAAAAAAACTCACCTATTAGAACTTGAATGCTATGCTTGTAAAAGTAATTGAGGAAATCAGTTTTTTCGCTTTTACTGATCGAAGCCAGCATATTTTCAGGGTCCAAGAGGATGCGGAGGACACCCATTAATTGAACAGCACCGCCAAGTTCAGGGTCGGAGTCACAAATCATTTGTTCAATTATCACATTTATCAGCAGCTGCTCCTGCAATATAATTTTATGTAACCCAATTTGATTTTTGTTTGATTAATTTTACCTCATCAGCACTGTTTGCCTGCTGTAATGTGTAACCCCTGACAACCGAGGGCGAGTACTCGACAATGTGAGTAAGAATGTCTATCGAGGCAGCCTTTGTGACCGGATCAGTGCTTGCCAGAGTGTGCTCCAGAGCAGGCAGTATTCCGAGCGCGCTCAACGTCTTATAGAATGTTTCCTTGCCTTGAGGTTGCAGGTTTTGCGAGAAGTTGCAAAATTCCTTAATAAATAACACCAGGTCCCTTTTCTTGGTTGGGTCCAAGTTTTCGTCCATCAGCTGCACAAACACTGCAGTCAGGAACTTATCATCCTCCTGCAGCAAAATACCAAAAATACAGTGAGATTTAGGATTTAAAAAAATAGACGAATGTTTACCTGGATGAGGGTGACTATTTCAACCTTATTGAAGAAAATGAAGCTTGACAGCGTAGAAAGAATGTTTTCCTCGATAACTGAAGGTGTTGGCAGCACCACGTCTTGGATGTACTGAACTCGATAAGTCTGATGAATTTTTGCAAGCAGTTCGGGATTGTTGATGGGAACGACTTCCTTAAATCTGTTGGTGCATAATAGAAATGAATTTAGTACTAATTAAATTTACATACAACTATATAGATACTGATATTGATTCCAGATATCAATCAATAAAGTCAATCATTCTTAATAATTAGTTCAAGATTAAATTTTTATAGCTTATTTATGAATAATTTATTGCAAAATAGAGTAAGCAAAGGTTCCAAGAATTGAAACGTTTCATTCCTATTGTTATTAAATTTTTTTTACATATGTTTTATGTTTTATAAAATGTAATTTTAAAATCAACACCGTAGAAAGTCTAAAATAAACAGCAATAATTATTATTGCCAAATGATTTCACAGATCAAGGCGTGTAAATTAATTATCTGATAAGATAAGTAGGTAAAAAGACGAGATGTAAAAAAGTGGTTGACCTAAACACACATGAACAACTCAAATTATTTCTCAAAGATCTTAAAGAAAAAACTTACTTTGCTATGCCCTTGAGGTATTCTCTGTGCCGCTTGGGCGTGGGCAATGTGGGGTCGTATTCGAGACAGCCAACAACGTCAAAAATGGTGTCCTCGCTGAACATGACTTCGAAGAGTGCATTTTTATTGACGAGAAAGATGTTCTTGAAGATGGTGTATAGGTGATGAAGATGTTCAACGGACTCGAGGTCTTCACAGGTGCGGAACACGGCCAACAACTTTTTGATGTAGCCTTCGTGCTCCAAGGCAGTGGCAACTTTGTCCTTGCGCATTGGGGAGCCTAAGCACGACCTGATGACCTCGCTGATCTCTTCCAGCCTGGCCATCTCGCACGGCGGTAACTCCACAGGTGCCGAGTCAGAAGTGTCATCAAAACGCTCATCCTCCGACTGTGGGCAAAAATGCACTTTTAGTTACAATGCTGTTAAAAAAACCGTTTTAGAAATGTTAAATTGAGAAAAACAGTGAATTATAATATATAAACCAACATGGTTTGCGCCTCTAACAAGTTCATTTAAAGTTGAAAAGTAATTTATTGTTTACTAATTGTTATGAACAAAATCTTTTCAAACATTCCTATAATGCAAATTCAGGTGATAAATTATTACATAATTTAATTATGTATATAAATAAAAAAATACTCAAAAATTCCATCGAGGAAAAGCGGATTTATTCAAGCACAGTAATTTAAAAGATTCAAATTCATATAAAGCACCCAGAGACATAAAACACTAAAAAAAATTGACAGATGAAAATAAAAAGTGATTATAAAAAATAATAATAATAAACAGTGGGCAGATTTTTAAGTGTTTTGATTAATCAAAGTTTTTGAAATCCATTAAAACTTCAAGGTAGCATCATGTTTTAAGATAAGTAAAAAATGTAATGTTGCTGTCAAATTGCAACACAAATCCCTTTATTTCCTCATCCCAAAAGAGTTATTTTTTTTAGAGTTTACGTAGGCTCGAATTTGTTCTTGTGCCTTTCTGAAGCAAAAATAAACAAATAAAAGTAATTACCTCTACAGTATCCTGAGTTATGTCCACCGAAGGGTCTTTGCCTTGAACCTGACAAATCTTCTCCCAAATTTCGTCGCAACCAGCTTTTTCCTGGAAGCTCAGCGCCAGGTCAAAGTTTTCACCCTCGGACCACACAATCAGGGTGTCCTGCTGCTTTTGGTAGGCAGTGTCCGGCTGAATTTTGGACTCGAGCAAAAGAGATCCGTCCAACTCGGCGCGAACCAACAGGGAGATGCCCTTCAGCCGGTCGACGTAGGACGAGAAAACGTGTCCGGTGCCCCGGTCGTCCCATTGTCGGTCGGCGTTAAGCGCGTACAGTTTTACCCTCCGCCTTGTGTCGGTCATCGTGCCTCTGGAGGGCCCAAATAGGGCCTCAACAGCCCAAACTCACGTGCGAATCAAACCTCAGGCCACTGGCTTTGCGGGCATCGGCGCTTTTCGGTTCGAGCGTACAGCTGCAAGGGCCCCGACGGCCCAGATGTGGAACAGGGGACGTTTCCGGCTCTCGGGGGCGGCCGGCTGGATTAAAATTGGCGTCACACCGACTCACTGAAGCGAAATTCGAACTGGCATTATTTACCTCCTGAACTATTTGCATACAGTGGCAGCCATGTTGGATCACAACAACGCTCTACGGGGTCGCGAAGTCTCATGCACGGACTGCTGACGCGCGCAATATTTAAAAGTTTCATGACTTTGATTGACTTGCTGTATTGTGTATGTGTGTATGTAATTATGGTGTTAATGGTGTATGGTACCCGACAACCCGACGCGAAGTAGGTTCAGTTCTCACTAGTAGGTGAACTTGCAAAGAATGCGACTGTTCTTTGAATTTCTAAAATTCATGACCGAAACTGAAAATTTGAGAAATTCAGGTCTACTTGTATTGTCCTTTCATACTCAATAAAATTTTATTTAGACCCAAATATTGAAAATTTCAGTTGAGTCAAGGATTTTCTGGTCTAGTGCAGCGCGCGAAATGTGTTAAGATCGCGGAGGGCGACCTGTGCAGCGAACGCAGCGCTCAAAATTAATTACGATCGCGGAGGGCGACCTGTGCAGCGAACGCAGCGCTCAAAATTAATTGCGATCGCCGAGGACGAGCTGTGCAGCGAACGCAGCGCTCAAAATTAATTACGATCGCTGAGGACGAGCTGCATGGAGGGCGCAGCGCGCGAAGTAGGTTTTGTTCTCACTAGTGGGTGAACTTGTAAAAAATGCGACTATTCTTTGAATTTCTAAAATTCATGACCGAAACTGAAAATTTGAGAAATTCAGGTCTACTTGTTTTATCCTTTCACTCGATAAAATTTTATTTAGACCCAAATATTGAATATTTCAGTTGAGTCAAGGATTTTCTGGTCTAGTGCAGCGCGCGAAATGTGTTAAGATCGCGGAGGGCGACCTGTGCAGCGAACGCAGCGCTCAAAATTAATTACGATCGCTGAGGACGAGCTGCATGAAGGGCGCAGCGCGCGAAGTAGGTTTTGTTTTCACTAGTGGGTGAACTTGTAAAAAATGCGACTATTCTTTGAATTTCTAAAATTCATGACTGAAACTGAAAATTTGAGAAATTCAGATCTACTTGTTTTATCCTTTCACTCGATAAAATTTTATTTAGACCCAAATATTGAAAATTTCAGTAGAGTCAAGGATTTTCTGGTCTAGTGCAGCGCGCGAAATGTGTTAAGATCGCGGAGGGCGACCTGTGCAGCGAACGCAGCGCTCAAAATTAATTACGATCGCTGAGGACGAGCTGTGCAGCGAACGCAGCGCTCAAAATTAATTACGATCGCTGAGGACGAGCTGCATGGAGGGCGCAGCGCGCGAAGTAGGTTTTGTTCTCACTAGTGGGTGAACTTGTAAAAAATGCGACTATTCTTTGAATTTCTAAAATTCATGACCGAAACTGAAAATTTGAGAAATTCAGGTCTACTTGTTTTATCCTTTCACTCGATAAAATTTTATTTAGACCCAAATATTGAAAATTTCAGTAGAGTCAAGGATTTTCTGGTCTAGTGCAGCGCGCGAAATGTGTTAAGATCGCGGAGGGCGACCTGTGCAGCGAACGCAGCGCTCAAAATTAATTACGATCGCTGAGGACGAGCTGTGCAGCGAACGCAGCGCTCAAAATTAATTGCGATCGCCGAGGACGAGCTGTGCAGCGAACGCAGCGCTCAAAATTAATTACGATCGCTGAGGACGAGCTGCATGGAGGGCGCAGCGCGCGAAGTAGGTTTTGTTCTCACTAGTGGGTGAACTTGTAAAAAATGCGACTATTCTTTGAATTTCTAAAATTCATGACTGAAACTGAAAATTTGAGAAATTCAGGTCTACTTGTTTTATCCTTTCACTCGATAAAATTTTATTTAGACCCAAATATTGAAAATTTCAGTAGAGTCAAGGATTTTCTGGTCTAGTGCAGCGCGCGAAATGTGTTAAGATCGCGGAGGGCGACCTGTGCAGCGAACGCAGCGCTCAAAATTAATTACGATCGCTGAGGACGAGCTGTGCAGCGAACGCAGCGCTCAAAATTAATTGCGATCGCCGAGGACGAGCTGTGCAGCGAACGCAGCGCTCAAAATTAATTACGATCGCTGAGGACGAGCTGCATGGAGGGCGCAGCGCGCGAAGTAGGTTTTGTTCTCACTAGTGGGTGAACTTGTAAAAAATGCGACTATTCTTTGAATTTCTAAAATTCATGACCGAAACTGAAAATTTGAGAAATTCAGGTCTACTTGTTTTATCCTTTCACTCGATAAAATTTTATTTAGACCCAAATATTGAAAATTTCAGTAGAGTCAAGGATTTTCTGGTCTAGTGCAGCGCGCGAAATGTGTTAAGATCGCGGAGGGCGACCTGTGCAGCAAACGCAGCGCTCAAAATTAATTACGATCGCTGAGGACGAGCTGTGCAGCGAACGCAGCGCTCAAAATTAATTGCGATCGCCGAGGACGAGCTGTGCAGCGAACGCAGCGCTCAAAATTAATTACGATCGCTGAGGACGAGCTGCATGGAGGGCGCAGCGCGCGAAGTAGGTTTTGTTCTCACTAGTGGGTGAACTTGTAAAAAATGCGACTATTCTTTGAATTTCTAAAATTCATGACCGAAACTGAAAATTTGAGAAATTCAGGTCTACTTGTTTTATCCTTTCACTCGATAAAATTTTATTTAGACCCAAATATTGAATATTTCAGTTGAGTCAAGGATCTCTGGTCTAGTGCAGCGCGCGAAATGTGTTAAGATCGCTGAGGGCGACCTGTGCAGCGAACGCAGCGCTCAAAATTAATTACGATCGCTGAGGACGAGCTGCATGGAGGGCGCAGCGCGCGAAGTAGGTTTTGTTCTCACTAGTGGGTGAACTTGTAAAAAATGCGACTATTCTTTGAATTTCTAAAATTCATGACCGAAACTGAAAATTTGAGAAATTCAGGTCTACTTGTTTTATCCTTTCACTCGATAAAATTTTATTTAGACCCAAATATTGAATATTTCAGTTGAGTCAAGGATTTTCTGGTCTAGTGCAGCGCGCGAAATGTGTTAAGATCGCTGAGGGCGACCTGTGCAGTGAACGCAGCGCTCAAAATTAATTACGATCGCGGAGGGCGACCTGTGCAGCGAACGCAGCGCTCAAAATTAATTACGATCGCGGAGGGCGACCTGTGCAGCGAACGCAGCGCTCAAAATTAATTACGATCGCTGAGGACGAGCTGCATGGAGGGCGCAGCGCGCGAAGTAGGTTTTGTTCTCACTAGTGGGTGAACTTGTAAAAAATGCGACTATTCTTTGAATTTCTAAAATTCATGACCGAAACTGAAAATTTGAGAAATTCAGGTCTACTTGTTTTATCCTTTCACTCGATAAAATTTTATTTAGACCCAAATATTGAATATTTCAGTTGAGTCAAGGATTTTCTGGTCTAGTGCAGCGCGCGAAATGTGTTAAGATCGCGGAGGGCGACCTGTGCAGCGAACGCAGCGCTCAAAATTAATTACGATCGCTGAGGACGAGCTGTGCAGCGAACGCAGCGCTCAAAATTAATTGCGATCGCCGAGGACGAGCTGTGCAGCGAACGCAGCGCTCAAAATTAATTACGATCGCTGAGGACGAGCTGCATGGAGGGCGCAGCGCGCGAAGTAGGTTTTGTTCTCACTAGTGGGTGAACTTGTAAAAAATGCGACTATTCTTTGAATTTCTAAAATTCATGACCGAAACTGAAAATTTGAGAAATTCAGGTCTACTTGTTTTATCCTTTCACTCGATAAAATTTTATTTAGACCCAAATATTGAATATTTCAGTTGAGTCAAGGATCTCTGGTCTAGTGCAGCGCGCGAAATGTGTTAAGATCGCTGAGGGCGACCTGTGCAGCGAACGCAGCGCTCAAAATTAATTACGATCGCTGAGGACGAGCTGCTTGGAGGGCGCAGCGCGCGAAGTAGGTTTTGTTCTCACTAGTGGGTGAACTTGTAAAAAATGCGACTATTCTTTGAATTTCTAAAATTCATGACCGAAACTGAAAATTTGAGAAATTCAGGTCTACTTGTTTTATCCTTTCACTCGATAAAATTTTATTTAGACCCAAATATTGAATATTTCAGTTGAGTCAAGGATTTTCTGGTCTAGTGCAGCGCGCGAAATGTGTTAAGATCGCTGAGGGCGACCTGTGCAGTGAACGCAGCGCTCAAAATTAATTACGATCGCGGAGGGCGACCTGTGCAGCGAACGCAGCGCTCAAAATTAATTACGATCGCGGAGGGCGACCTGTGCAGCGAACGCAGCGCTCAAAATTAATTACGATCGCTGAGGACGAGCTGCATGGAGGGCGCAGCGCGCGAAGTAGGTTTTGTTCTCACTAGTGGGTGAACTTGTAAAAAATGCGACTATTCTTTGAATTTCTAAAATTCATGACTGAAACTGAAAATTTGAGAAATTCAGATCTACTTGTTTTATCCTTTCACTCGATAAAATTTTATTTAGACCCAAATATTGAATATTTCAGTTGAGTCAAGGATTTTCTGGTCTAGTGCAGCGCGCGAAATGTGTTAAGATCGCTGAGGGCGACCTGTGCAGTGAACGCAGCGCTCAAAATTAATTACGATCGCGGAGGGCGACCTGTGCAGCGAACGCAGCGCTCAAAATTAATTACGATCGCGGAGGGCGACCTGTGCAGCGAACGCAGCGCTCAAAATTAATTACGATCGCTGAGGACGAGCTGCATGGAGGGCGCAGCGCGCGAAGTAGGTTTTGTTCTCACTAGTGGGTGAACTTGTAAAAAATGCGACTATTCTTTGAATTTCTAAAATTCATGACCGAAACTGAAAATTTGAGAAATTCAGGTCTACTTGTTTTATCCTTTCACACTCGATAAAATTTTATTTAGACCCAAATATTGAATATTTCAGTTGAGTCAAGGATTTTCTGGTCTAGTGCAGCGCGCGAAATGTGTTAAGATCGCTGAGGGCGACCTGTGCAGCGAACGCAGCGCTCAAAATTAATTACGATCGCGGAGGGCGACCTGTGCAGCGAACGCAGCGCTCAAAATTAATTACGATCGCTGAGGACGAGCTGCATGGAGGGCGCAGCGCGCGAAGTAGGTTTTGTTCTCACTAGTGGGTGAACTTGTAAAAAATGCGACTATTCTTTGAATTTCTAAAATTCATGACCGAAACTGAAAATTTGAGAAATTCAGGTCTACTTGTTTTATCCTTTCACTCGATAAAATTTTATTTAGACCCAAATATTGAATATTTCAGTTGAGTCAAGGATCTCTGGTCTAGTGCAGCGCGCGAAATGTGTTAAGATCGCTGAGGGCGACCTGTGCAGCGAACGCAGCGCTCAAAATTAATTACGATCGCTGAGGACGAGCTGCATGGAGGGCGCAGCGCGCGAAGTAGGTTTTGTTCTCACTAGTGGGTGAACTTGTAAAAAATGCGACTATTCTTTGAATTTCTAAAATTCATGACCGAAACTGAAAATTTGAGAAATTCAGGTCTACTTGTTTTATCCTTTCACTCGATAAAATTTTATTTAGACCCAAATATTGAATATTTCAGTTGAGTCAAGGATTTTCTGGTCTAGTGCAGCGCGCGAAATGTGTTAAGATCGCTGAGGGCGACCTGTGCAGCGAACGCAGCGCTCAAAATTAATTACGATCGCGGAGGGCGACCTGTGCAGCGAACGCAGCGCTCAAAATTAATTACGATCGCTGAGGACGAGCTGCATGGAGGGCGCAGCGCGCGAAGTAGGTTTTGTTCTCACTAATAGTGGGTGAACTTGTAAAAAATGCGACTATTCTTTGAATTTCTAAAATTCATGACCGAAACTGAAAATTTGAGAAATTCAGGTCTACTTGTTTTATCCTTTCACTCGATAAAATTTTATTTAGACCCAAATAATATTGAAAATTTCAGTTGAACTCTCTGTGCCCCAATGTTAATTTCTGTGCCGACAACAATGGTTTGTCCAATCGACACTTCCAATATCAATATTAGAAATTTTTGAAAAATTCTCAATAAAAAAGATATGTACATAAATCTTTTTTGCATAAAAAATTTTCACCCTTTTTCATTATTTGATTGCGCAAATACATACTTGTAAAAGGAATTAATATTCCAGTCAGAAGAAAAATTCAGCGCAAATAAATTTACAAAAGTGCATTCATTTTGGAACATTTATGATTACGAGAGTATCTGATGATCAAAATAATTATAATATCTCTCGTCTATACCTTTCCTCTTTAAATGAACAGTGAACAGATCGAGAAGTTAACTCAGCGAGGCAAAAGTACATACACACGGATTCTAATTGAACTGAAATCGCATTGAAAATTCAAATATTTAAAAATGCGGTTTGATGTTATTGTTATTCTTGTTCTTTGCGAAGGTTCGAGGTCGTTCGAGACAGAGTCGACAACAAACAAAAGAAAACAAAAAGATCATACTTGACCACAAGTCAACGGAATGGCGAATGTCAAAGTCAAATCTTCAAAATTGAACGTGTTTGAACGTGAACGTCTCGCGAATTCAGTCTCGCAATTTAGCCAACCTAACAGTATTACATACATAGTTCTTGATCTTGATTTGATGAATTATACATAATGTATTTTATATTTTATTATTTCTGTTTAGACTTTGCTGATTTTTTAAAATCAACTTAAGATTGATATATTAATTTATGTTTTCATTTTAATGCTTTAAGGATCTTTCCTACGTGACTTTATTATTATTCTTAATATTTTTTAAAATCTAGAATCTGGATCGCGTTAAACAGTTGGTATTATTTTAGTTCTGTTGGTAGAACTGGTAGAAGTCGTCTGGCGTCTGCTATCTCTTCTCTGGTTGGTAGGTCTTGCGGTTGGTCTTGGTTCCGCTCGTTCGCTGTTCGCTTCGCTTCGCGCCAATTGCGTCCGTCAGCCATAAAAAAATAATACCATTGTTTACATATCGGCTAAGCAACATCGTTTTTCTGTTTTTCCGACCTAATCAACGACCAAAACGCATCAAAAAGCATCTCCTACAGCACCTGTCTCGGATCTGTGAGTTCAAACACGAGGATTATCCTTAGAAATAATTGATAATCGCCAAATTTCGTTCGCAGACCGCAGCCATGGGTCGACCGTCTAGAGGCAAAAGAGCCCTTGCCGACAAAACTAACGTCCGCCGCAAGAGTACGGAGGAAAACCCAAAGAAAGCGTGCGTTTACTCCAGCAAATTATCGCCCGAGAAACGCAAAGAGGACACAGATGTGTATCAGTTTGAGTTTGACAGCCAGGAGGAACCCAGAGGCAAAATCAAGAAAAAGCGTGTCAGAACAAAAAATCCTGCAGTAAAGAGGCTCAAAGCCTCTGCCAAGATAGGCGTTAAGGGCAAAAAGAGCCCCAAAAATAACGCTGTATCTCATTCCATCAAACCACCACCGAAAAATCTGCTTGCAAACATTGTTAGATCGATGCCTTTGATCCGTCCGAATTTCCCAGCCCACGTCCCTGCTGCTCTTCGCAAAGATCATCAAACTATTGACAAAGCCATTGTTGCCCCACCCAAGCTGCTTCCAGTTCGACCTCTACAGCCAACTCCGGAGTCCAGTCCGTCTCTCCCAGCAGTCACATCAACCCCAATGAGATTGGATAATATCAATGATTTTGTTCCGCCAAGTCCTCAGCATTCCTTCACGGATCGTCCCATCACCCCTCCTCTGGAAAATCTCTTTGACGATGATGTTCCTCTGGTTGTCTCCACTCAAAGGCCAACTAGATTTGATTATCAAGAGTTGGCGGACGCCCGGGCCAGGGTCATCAGGACTTCCCTAACCCCGAGAAATGTTGTTCCTGAGCCTGTAGTATTCAATAGAGATCCTTCTCCAGAACCTCCGAGGATGAAGCAGACGAGCATTCTCAGTTTTGTCACTTCTCCAAATGAGGGCCTGTTCTCCTGTTCATCTCCGGTGCGTCTGACAAGCCCGGAACCATGCAGCATGTTCAGTCCCACCAAAGATGGTGACTTGGATCTCACAAATGTTGAAGTGGGTGATGAAGAAGAAGAGGAGGAGTTGATTGAGAAGGTTGAAAAGCAAAAGAGAGTGGAGAGTCCTGCGTGTGCCCCAACACGGATTTCCGCCAGAGCTTTGAAGGAGGTCCTTGAGGCCAACAAAGAGACCCTTGCCAAGGAGATGCCACTTTCTCCGAAAAGACACTTCAATAGGGTGGGTTCATATTTTTTTTGAGAATTGTTTGTATTTAAAATTTAGAATTTAAAAAAATGCATATATAACTTTCAATAATCCTGATAGGAGGAAATTCAATTAATTTAGTATTTAGTTAGGAATTGAAAAATGAAAATTTAAATTCTTCCTATCAATAAGCCAAAAATTATTTTTAAAATCAGAAAAATTTTGAAAGGAGTGTAAATTGGATGGGTTAGAATAGAATGCTGGGTGTAGTCACTTTGGCAGGAAAAGGTAAATTATCTTTTTCCCGCTTTTTCCATTGAAATGAGTGCTTTGCATATAGCAACCTAGTCTTGTAATTTTACCTTAAATTATCTTCTTTTTTCCAAATTGCATTCTTTGATTCCTTTTGATCAATGTCCAAATGAAACTCTAACAAAATTTATTGAATTGACTAGTTTTTAAATTTTGAATGGATGCATTTAGCTTCATTTTTATTTTTTATTGTAAAAAATTAATTACTTTAACTTGCATTAAAATTAATACATTTTTCAATTTCCAGCCGGCTCGAAAATCCTATGACAGATTTTCCAAGAAAAAGGCCTTAGACTTTATGGAGCTGGAACACGAACATGATTGTGAAAGCGACCGTGAGAATCTCAGCAACAGTGAGGCAGAATCTGAAGAGGAGATTGAGGAGAAGAAAAAACTAAAGCCGAAGAAAAAGAGAGTTGATGCTGTAAGTTATTCAAAGAGAAATAATTAGAAAACATTACTAAGAGAACAATAGTCTTCTTCAAATTAATATTGCTTGAGGGGAATGGTATCTCATCTTATGACTGAGCCACTCTTTGCTTGATATTTTCACACCAGTTATTTCTCAAATTTGGAAATCAATTTGAAAATATGAGCAACACAGCTCGTCACAACAAAAATTGGCATCATCCAATTGAGAAAGTTGCTTTTTGCTTAAGAAAAACTGGTCTTATTTTGCTCATATTTTCATATGGATGTCCAATTTTGAGTAAATAAATGAATTTGTGCATTTAGAAAACACTCAGCACCAAACATTGGCTCATTTGTTAAACTTGATTTCCATCAAGCAAGGCCAATCTTTTATCGACCCCCTTCAATCAATTTTCCAAAAACAACAAACAGAAATTATAATGTTTTATTAATTTTATCAATATTTGCTTTTGCAGAAAACTAAGGCTTTCGAAGAGTGGGCCTCAAAGTTCAACAAGGAGCTTGAAGACTATGAAGAATTTGATCTAGCTGTCGAGTAAATGTATTCATTGCTATTGACTTTCAATTTTAACAAATGTATGTAAGGTAAGGTGCCTTGAAAGTGCATTTATTTTAAAATCTTCAGTGTTATTATTTAATATTATATTTGCTTGTGACAAAGCCTAATTATTTTTGTGGATGCAGGAATAAAATGTCAGTTTTTGCTACTTAAGCCACTAAATTAGTATTTGATTGTCCAATTACATCAACTATTCAGTCATATTAATCCTACGTGAATATTTGTAAAAGCCTTTTGCTATAAGCTTGTTGGAAAAAGCATTCAGTTTATTTTATGATTGGTTTTACATGATTAACAGTTTCATTTATAATAACGACCTTATGCCACTTGTGTATTTTTAATTTCTATTTATAGTAGCTATGTATTTTATTTATTGTACCAGCAGATTTGAGCGCATAATAATAACTCGGTAAAATATCAAAAGCTTTGGCTCTGGATGAAAAAGTACAGAAAGCTAATCAGTAATTTGCTTGTCATTGAGCTGGCAGTTTAGGCAACCTGCTTGTTATTTAGATTTTAGGTTTCACAGGCGGTAAAATGTTTAAAATGATGGGCTTTAGTCATCTATGATGTAAAAAAAGCAGACTAATTTTCCCATGATTTTATTTTAATGAGTGCAATTGTCTCTAAACCGACATTGTTAAAAAGCAGTGTCACAATAATATTTTATTAATCTCATTGGAGCACTTGATAAAATAAATATCTATTTATATAGTAAAAAAAATGGAGGCAATAATATAGGCTTTTTGACTGCAATGATCAGACAGACGCGCACATTTTCAAATACTTCTTATGCATTTTAAAAGATCAAATAGCTCTAGTAATGATAGAATTTGACCTGCTGCTGCGTTCGAGTTTTGGAATAATATTACTTAGTACCATGAACTACTGCAAACTGTTAATGAAACTAATATGAAATGAAACCAGAACCAGATGACAGGAATTATAATACTCTTTGAAATCGAATCCCTCAAAGAGGCGCTGGCGGATAATAGGCAGAAGCAATGAGCAGCTGCACTATCAAGTTTTGCTCTCATTAATTATAAAATTTAACATTGTTAAAATTTTTAAGAGAATATTTAGGAGAAGCTGATTTAACTGAAGCATTTAAAGTGTGCAAATTTAAAGTCAGATGAGAATAAACAGTGAAAAAATTAATTATAAAAAGTGAATTCGTATTATGTACAAATTTCATGACCGCAAGTCGAAACTTGTAATTTTGTGATTTTGAAGCGACGATGGACGATTGGTCACATATCTTTGGATTTTGATTAAGAGCATTACTCGTGAGTGAGGCATTTGAAAAATAAATCATATAGATATAAACAAACCGATTAAGGAAAAAAACGGCAAAAATTCACATACGGTTTTCATAGCTGGATGCATTATAAATACCATTTTGTTTATTTTTAGGATTTTATAAATATTTTCAAGACCTTCAATAAAATATTTGAAAAACAAAATGAATTAATAAGAATGTTTACAACAAATCAAGGTCCGCGCATCAGCAACAATGAAAAATGATTTGATTGTTGTTTGAGCTCTCTGATTGGGTACAAGAAAAGTTGTACCCAATCAGAGAGCTCGACAACAATCGAAATTTTCTGACGAGCGGACCTTGCAACAAATTATAAGGTTGGTTCACCTTGGTAGCTGCGTCTCTTTTTATTGTTTATGCTTTTTTTTTACTAAGAATAGTAAATTACAATAAGTATAAAGGGATATTTAAATATTAATCTAAAATTTTCAATTTCCTCATCAATGAAAAGTATTTCAATTGCTGCATGAAAATATAAATGATTATTCTTATTTTAGCAAATCAGTTTTCTTTCGATCGAAATCACAGCAACGTTATTTGGTAAATTACGAACTGTACCGCGTGCTGCCTAAATTACTGCAAGTTTTGCGATTGTCTCTCTACCGCTTGTCTGTGGCAAAATGTTTTGCTTAGAACAGCACAAAACTCGTTCCTCTCGCTGTTCTTCCTCAGCCAGCAATTCCTCACATTTGGCAAAAAATTAAATTCCATCCGTCGCGCCGTTGCCTCAAAACTTCGCTTGCGCTTTCCATTACTAAATTGGAGGAAAACGCGGGCGATCCAATTAGCGACACCGGCAGGCACCCTTATTTTTCAAGGAGTTTAGAGAAAATATTATGTGAGAGGGTCGTCGAAAAAAATCATCTTTCTTCTTTTATTGCAACTGGTGGTGCGTGTTGGTGGCTGGTTCTAAAAATAAGCACGGAATTGTGTAATTTTTTTTGTTGCGACGGCAGTATAATTTAATTTAATAGGTGTCATTTATCCTGAAGTATTCGCTGTTGATGTTTGGAATGAAAGTGATACATTGAGGAACTTCCATTATCCATTTTCACATAAAACACATTTGAAATAATATGAATTCATTTGCTAAAAAAATTCATTAAACTTGAAAAATAATAACTAAGAAATAAATTTTAAGCAAAACTAAAAAAGAAGTTCAATGAATTTTATATAGATATTTCTTCAAAAAAATTACAAATGTGCGTGCCAGGGCTCACCGGAGATTTGCCAAAACGTTAATTAAAAGCGAAGATTAAGCTTAAATTAAAATTCCTCCAGTGGCCATTATTTTAAATTAGCAAAAAAACGACACCGGGCCACGTGCGATTTATCACGCCGGTGGAGGACGGATGGCGGTGCTTTACTCATTAAAAGAGTAGCTCCGTTTAAACTGCACTCGTTAATTTGAAAATTCACGAGTGCCTGCAGGCGCGCTCTCGCCAACAGACCTCGCTTCGAATGGCTTTGATGGTGACAATTTAACGACGACGAGAAGGCTGCTTTTGCACACACGTTGTTGACTGTCACCAGAGCTTGGCGTACAATCCGCGCTTTTCCAGAGACTCGGTCTTCTGACTTGTGATTTTGCGCTCCATTTAGCCGTGGGTTCGGATCATATAAGACTTGCCACTTTCACGTTGTGAGTGTAGTTTTCTTCAATATTTACAAGGTTAGATAGCTTAAATAAGTTGAATCTAAGTTTTCCAATTAATTAATTCATAAATTTCATTATTTAAATTAAATTTACGCGGAAAAAGTTGTAAAAGTGGATGCTTTTAATGCTACTATTTTTGTTAAATTTATTAATTCATAATGAAATTGTTTTCATATTTAAAAATGATTTGATTGATGTGTAGCCATCACATTTTGAGAGATGCTTGTTTTGTGACTTATGACATGCGACAGAGATTTGCTGTGTTTTATAAATATATCTAAAATTCCAGTAATGACTATTACGTCTGTTACACTCAATGTCAAAATAAGCTGTCATTGTTTCAAAAACTCATATTGCGCACCCTAATAAAACTTCCTCAGGCGAAAGTGACATGCACACACACGTCATAATATTTTGGAAACCTTTGTTTCTTCTCTCTGAGTTTCGCAGGATATAATTATTGTTCGCCTATATGTCACTCTTGACACCAGCAGTGTTTCTATTAGTCAACGCTCAAGAGCAGTGCCGCCTCCAGTGCAAACACATGACATATTTGTCATTTTGTCATTTGGGCTTTTCTTTATTGGGGTGCTACTTAAAAAGAGCGGGCCAGGTGGAAGAAAACGTGTCAGGACAAATGAAGACATCTGAGCTCAAAATTATTTCAAGCTAAACACTAGATGCATGGTGAGCAGATAATCTAATAAGTTCAGACACTGTTTACTTAAAAAATTTCACTAGAAATGTAGAAATTAAAAAAACTATTTTGAAGATGAGTTAAGTAACAGGTTTTTTTTTTAAATTCGAATAAATTATAAAATTTTACTTTTTTTAATGTTTTTTTTTATTCTTTTTATTTTTAAAATTCATGTATGTAGTATATTCGTTAAATTTACTCTCCTTGTACTAATTGCAAGCTTTTGTATCCCTAAGAAAGGTTCCCAGTTGACAGTTCTCATAATTGTCGTTTCACACATTTATATTTAGTTTCGGTCTTTATTCTGGTCAGCGACGCTCTTCTCTCTCCAGAAGTTTACTCACATTTTTTGGCAACGCTTCTGGATGATCAGCGCCAGCGGCGTGCGCTGTCAATACGCTCGCGAGGGCCACAATAATTGAGCCAGATATTTAAAGACGTTGTTGTGCTATTAGCAGTCGGGGGTGTTTAATGGCTCGTGCCAGGTTGTTATTTGGGTTGGTGCCCATTGAGGAGGGGACCGTCAAGGCGCACGGGTCGTCGTCGGTCGGACGGACAGTAGTGCAACGCGGCGGCCGGGACACGCACCCACCATGCACAAGAAGCACAAGGTACTCTCCATCGATTCTCCTTATTCTAAAAATAAAATTATAAATTGATTTTGCAATATCGGGATCAATTTAATTAGACGGAAACTCCGAGACGCCGAGACGAGCCCTGGGAAAAACTAAATTTAAAAATTTCTAGAGAGAGCGGGCTGATTTTGCGTCTTGCTATTTATAGAAGCTTTTTCTCACTAGTGTTATATCGACAGGAGGTTAGTTAGTCATTTCCTCTGGAAGCGCGAAAAAGATCGGTTTCATCAATTCATTTCAATACGTCCAGTTCTGTTGAATTCTTGACTCGGGCGAAAATATAAAATATACGAAAGATATATAAGAGGCGCGCGTCGGACCATCGGCGAAGAGCGGCGCACAATTAAATTTAGATCAAAGGAGGGAATTCTCATCATATATATTTTTATTCTGGGCGAGTGCACGCCGTAAATAAATACAAGAGAGGGGTCCGTGGCGGCGTGTGCAGCGTGTTGGGCAAACGAGCGCGTGTGTTGTTTGTGTACGAAAATGTTAAAAGGCAATTAATCGGCACGCGCAAGTAAATCGTCGGCTCGGTGGAAGAAGCTGCGAAAGGGCCATTATCCGCCGACGACGAGACAGCGAGAGATGAAAAACGTTTTTTCAGTCGACTGACAGGCCGTCATGTTGCCTAGCCCTCTTTGTTGTTAATTTTCGAGACTCGGTAGTAATGCTAGTCAGCCTATCTGGTGTCCCTCCCGCTGACTGATCCAATTTCTTGGCCCAAACCAGAAATCGGGCGGCAAGAACAAGAACAAGCACCAGCAGCAGCTGCAGCTCAAGAGGTCGCCTGGAGATGACGAGCAGGAGCAAAAGACTGAGCTCATTGAAAATCAGCAGAAGGATGAGTCAACAACCCCCGCAGAGGAGGGCGTCGAGGGGGTGCCCGGTCCTGTCGAAATTCGCAATTCAGAAGTCATGGGAAGGTTAGTTTATTTATGATTCATTATTATATTGATTATTTCCAACTAAAAATCAATACAGTTTTATAAGTAATACAGTTTTAAAATAAAACTGATACAATTATATTTAAAAATTAACTAGTTAAATATAATTAACAAAGTTAGAATGAGAAATATGTACAGAAAAAATTAATGGCAGAGATTTTATGAGATAAGGGAATGCTTTTTATATATCTCATATAAAGCAAATTTTGCAAATAAACAACTGCTATAAAGCAACAATTATTATGATGATTGCATGTAAGTTGATTCCATCAAAGATATTCTGTATTAAAAAATCAAGCGATCATATAGGAAAAGAAATTAAAAAATTATGATTCCGTTTATGCGTTTAATATAAAAATAAAGTTATCTTTTTTTCTTTAGTCTGAAAATAAGTTGTTGGCAACCTATTTTTTTTTATAAGCTTATCATAAATTAAAAAAAAAGCACTTTTTGCTAGAAGATTAAGAATCACAATAATATGTTCTATTATTTGATGCTACGATATGAAATTGCTGCTTTATAGTGCACATATACGAGCAATTATAAAAATTGCCTCAGCTCAGCAGTTCATTCATTCCCGAGTCCGCCGTTGGAGTGGGTTTACACGCATTTGCAAAGTTTTTTATTGCTATCAGTAGCATCACATCCGCGATTTCAAGTACCTGCGAGTACTAGAGCATCTAGGTCGGCTCGAAATGAGAAAAGTTGTTTGCGCAGTTGAAAATACACATTTCCACCGGGTTGTGTAATGAAGGCAGCTTTACAGAGCAGCCAAAAACACTCGCTTGACACAACGCGCCTTTCAAATATGCATGAATACTCCTCACAACGCAAGTTCGCTTGCTCGCGCGAGTTGAGTTTGTGCTTTGGTCGAAAATATAAATACGCATGAACATCACTTCTTGCTTATTCAAGAGTTGGAAAGGCCGGTTTATAGAAGGGGAAAAAACAGTTAACTTTTGTGTCTTTCCAGGAAAAAGGGCAAATTTAATTTTTTTAGGGCTTCGTCAATATGCGTGACTTGACTCAAAAAGAGACTTTTGTTGCTCCGCAGTATGTAAACAAAGGTGCCTCTTGTGAATCTTCTTCATGAACGTTGGCAAGGCAGAGCACACGTTTTACTAACTTGTAACGAGATTTATTAATGATATTTTCAATTACCGATTTTGCAAAATTTACTATTCAGCAATTATAATAAAAAGAAAGATTATGCAAAGACATTTATCAAAGCCTTCTGCATAGTAAACTAAATATTAATAGCTGTTAATTTTCAATCATTGAAATTTCACCTTCGTCACGGCTCTGTTTTCAAAATTTGATGAAGAAACTAAACTGAAGCACCGCTGTTATAATTCTATGATTATTACCGTTCACCAGCTGAACAATAGGCCAGCTCGGCTTAATTTCTGCACGCATGGCATCATTTGCGTGGCGCAGCAGAAGCGAACAATAATTTATTTACCAGCACTAGGCAAATTGAATGGAAGAAAATTGAATTGTCCTGCATTATTACTGCTGCGTACACACGTTGTTTGGATTTGCGTTTTAAACCAATCGGGCTTTATCAATCTATTCACTCCTCTGTTTTCAATACATTTTGAAAATCAAGCGTGTCCTGGTTTTATTTACAACAGCGTGAGTTTGATCGTTTATTTGCAAAGGCTGGTTGATCACGATGCAATTAATTTGAGATCTATGACATGCTATTTAAACAGCAGTGCGCGGTCATTTATATTTGCAGATAACCCCATTAAAACGACCAGTCCGTGGAAATGCGATTTTATTTCGAGCACCCATGCGGCCAATGCCAAAGGTTTCATCCGATTGCACAACTTATACACTAGCTTTGGTTGCAATTTGCATTTTACAGCAGATATCGAGCTTTTGTTCAATGGAGGAATAATACAAGCCCGATATTCAAAGCATAAATGCTAGAGATTAAAGAGACTACTTAATTTTCAGCTCTCTTGTGAGATAAATAATGCGCTTCCTCTTAAACGATTGCGCATTGCAACACTGCAGGATCATTTATTTTCATTCGATACGACGTTTTTATCCGCTTTCTACGAGGAAGACCAGAGTAGAAGTGCTTTTATAGACGATGATTAAATTTGAATTCCAAGTGTGCTCTTGAGAAAAAAACATTCCTAGTCAATACAACATTATCATTTTCGTTTCAACGCTCTTTTTATAAAATCTCTGGTTTAGTTTTCTGAGCTCCTCCGTTTTATTTGCTGCCTAATTTTACGAGAAAATATTTCACACTAATTTTTCCTAGTTTAAATTGACCAAGAAATAGAAAACCTTGTTAATTTACAGTTTTAGAAAATTTTGGGCAATATCATAAATGGATAAATCAACTGCGTTGCTTGGCGGAGCAAAGATAATGTTCATGGAACTATTAAATAAATAAGATCAAATTATTGAATCGTTCTTAAATAATTACTGTTAAGTTTATTTGCATATTTCAGATTAATTAAAAATTATGTAGCAACAACACAATTATTTATTACCAAACATTTGAAAATTTTTAATGTGCTGAAAAAATTCGAGAAAACAAAAATAATTTTTTTCCCTTTAGGTTTTTAATTTTTTATGAAACCCCGTAATATGACATATGACACATTACAAATTGCTGGAAGAATGTTTCAATAAAACATGGTTAGGGCCATTTTTTTTAAATCACTTTAAAAAGAAATTTTTTTACAATTTTTTTTAGTTGTAGTCTTGTCGTCTCCAATCAACTGCTGGTCTTATCTAGGAGATGAATTATTTTTCCAGGTATTTGGTAGCTACCCGTGATCTCCGTCCTGGCGAATGGATCTTGCGCAACCTGGAGCCTTTGGTTGTTGGACCCTGCCAGGGTGGTCTGCCCTCCCTTTGTCTCGGCTGTCACGAACCTCTGCAGCTGCCCCTTCGATTAGGATTTCACTGCCCAGACTGCGGGTTGCCCTTGTGCAGCTCAAAGTGCCCTGGTTCTTATCACACGTCGGAATGCGACCTTCTGAAGGAAGGAGGCGCCACTCCTCTCGCACCTGAACTTCTTGACCTGCGCCCTGAACTCTACAATGCCATTGTTCCGCTCAGGGCTCTGGCACTGAGGGACTCTCACCCTGACAAATGGACCGTCATGATGAGGATGGAAGCACACAATGAAATCAGAAAGTGAGCTAAATTTTAAATTTCATGCTTTATTTATTTTATTTTTTTACTTTTGTTATCTACAAATCAAATGTTCTAAAATACCTTTAATTTAGAATAGGAATTTAACCCATATTATTTTTCTATGGTTCTTTATTTTTTAGGTAAAGGATATAACGTTCCAATGTTGGTATTTTTCTGACAAAGAAAATGAAAATCTTTGATTCAACATAGGATAATTTTAATTTTTCATTATCGTTATTATATTTGGTCGTCTGGATATTGTTTATGTATTCCAATTCTGAATTAAAATAGTTAAAGAAGTTCAAACTTTTTTATGAATTCTTTAGTGGCAAAAATTAATCAAAATTAGCCAAAATAGATTTGCTTTCAAGTTAAGACAACCCTGTTTAGCGCTCTTATTTTAATGGAGGTTAAGGTTAGTCTTCCTCCCACACCTGGAATTGATTGTGCGCTTCCAACAGACGATGCCACTTTTATTGAAGACTAAGCTGCACGCGCGGTCTCATATTTTATAAAGAGACTAATCCTTTCCAAGCCAAATCGAACGGAAAGCCGGGCATTTATCTTGTGTGGTGGCTGCCTTAACCAGCACGCAGGAAGAGAAAATCTTTCTTCGCCTGGCTTGTTTGCTTCAAGGAAGTCAAAGATTAGCCACGCACACGGTCCGTTCCCACGGATTTTCTGGGATTTGCCTCGATTTATATTTTCCCAAGAAAGAGCAAACAGATCTCAATCTTTACATTTCATCAACTTTTCTTTTGCCAACGAAAATAATACATAGTTTTTGATAAATGATGAGGTAATTGGCCTCAATTTATCCTAGGCAATTCGTTTTGAATAAACATAATTTAATTTTGTAAGAGGAAGAGATGATTGCGTTAGAGGGCTTGAAAGAGCCCAAGTGGCTTTGCTAATAGGAGCACGTTAGCCACGGCTGTTTATTTAGGATGTGAGGGAGGAGAGAGGTAAATTTGCTTTGTAATTTGTGACTGAATTAACTAAATCTAGCGTCTAAGTCATTAATATTAGAATCCACGTTGACAGAATTTATTAGTTATAACAAGACTGTAAGATAGTTTAGTAAAATTGAATCGTAGCCAACAAATGAAAAATTATTTTACAATTTTTTTATGTAAAAATAAATTTTTGATAGATTTTCCAAGTTTAAACATCTTTAAAAGAATAATAAGTTATTTTTTAAATATTAAATGTAATAAAGCAATTGAAATAATGGTTTCACCTAAATATTTCACTATTTTTTTTGCTTATTTCGAGGCAGACGACCCACTGACTATTTTACTTTTGAAGTATATTTTTTTTAGAATTTTTATATTTTGAAAATTGAAATAAAAAAGAGAGTACTAATTCAATGCCACTTTGGCGCTTTTTTCTACAGAACACGGCCAAACATTTGGCACGCAAACCAGCAGTTGGTCGTGGAACCGATCAGGACCACGTGGAAACTGGCCGACCGCTTTTCCGAGGAAGAAATCCACACAGTGTGCGGCATTCTGGAGGTGAACGCTTTCGAGGTCGGTCCTCAGGGCCGCAGCGTCCGCGCCCTTTACCCTGGGGCGTACTTAATGGCCCATGACTGCACGCCCAACACAAGCCACACGGACGACAGTACCAGCCGCCTCTCGGTGCGTGCCGGGTTGAAAATCAGCAAGGGCGAGTCCATCACCCTGAGCTACGCCTACACCCTCCAGGGCACCCTGCGGAGGCGGCAGCACCTTCGCGAGGGCAAGTTCTTTGATTGCGTGTGTCGCAGGTGCTCGGACAAAACGGAACTCGGCACTTTTTGCAGTGCTCTCCTGGTGAGTACCATAGAATTATGCTATAAACTTTTATTTCTGAATAAGACTACCCGCTAAGCTCCTTCGTCCTGCCGGTTGCATATCCAATTTATTTCAAGGGGCTATCTGCTCTGTGTGTAGCGAAAAAAAATATGTACAAGAATTAATAGCATAACTTGAAAAAAAAAACTATAGGTAAATAATTCAAGATTATTTTCTTTATCTTCATTAATGCGAAAATTAAACAGATATTAAATTTGGTGATAATTTAAAATAAATTTGCCTTTCTTGTTTGTTTTTATGGCAATATTATGTATCAATGCAGTAGCCAGTATGAGAAAAATTCTTTACATTTTATTTATATTTTTGGCTACCTTTGATTCTTAAATTGGTTAATTTATTATCAATTTAAACTTAATTAGATAAGTTCTAAGGCGTCCATAACAAATTCTCTCTTCTTTAAAAATAATCAGAGAATTTCCTCTTAATTCATTGACTGCGGCTTGCACTGCAGTATTATCCCTTTCTCCGAGCCCGCGCCTCAATTTCAATTTATGCAGTGCCGGCAGCTGCCACTAAGTTAATTGTCCTTAATTGTTCACGAAAGCTGAAATCCCTTTCCCAGATTATAATCAGCAGCTGCACCCCCCACTTGTCGCAACACTCATTTCTCACCATACTTATCATTAACTAACTCTTATTAATGCATGCTTCCTTCCTTCCTTCCTTTATTTCACCAAACTTTTGTTCCTTTGCACCTAGTCTATTTTGTGAATCGTTTTTAATTAAACCCCAGCTCTGACAAAGGAACTCGACTCCCACAAACAGTTCACTGAGCGCGTCAAGTGTAAACTGCTGAAAAAAGAGCTTCTCTCTTTGTAATGAGAGACACCGTGGCGTTTTATTTACGTATTCTAAAACGACAAGAAACTTTGCCAATTTTTCACTTTAACAAATGCTAATTGGACAGTCAGTTTTAATTGGGACGTCTGCACGGTCTTTCAAAAACGAATGCATATTAAAAGTTTCAAGTCGAGGAATAAAATGACTAACAAGGGGAGAGACAAACCAGCGAAAACGATTTTCGCTACTTGGAATTTATTGTTTCCGTTTACCGCGGGAAATTGCGAGTTACGAACCATATAGTGCCGCTGTTCATTATATCCGAGTTGCGCCCTCAACCTCTTTGAGATTGCTTTGGAGTGAAACTATTTGGTTTGCATTCCGCTTCCTCCTAATCCCTCTGGTTATATATACAAATATTTTGCTCGGTAGAAATTTTACTTTGATCTTTTGGGAAAATTAAAGTTCAGTTGTTTTATTTTCAGTGTAGATATCACAAGCTCGTCGTTAACTGATACAACTATTGTATAATGATATCTCTAAGTAGTTTTGAAATAACAGGTAATGAAATAAAAATTTTACAAATTGTAAATATTTAAATTATAATTAAGAAAATTAATTGTGTTTAGATTATATTATAAAACAAAAGTGGGGTCTATTCACATCATGAGTTCACACCATTAAATCCCACAAGATAACTGAACTTAAGTTAATATTCATTCACCTTTGTAACAATAAATTATTCAAAATAAACCTTTTAACATCAATTAACTGAACTAAACTAATTTCTGAGTTCAATTATAATTAATCAAATCATTAATTATTTATTGTACATACCATTGGATGTGATGCTCTACTCAAAATAACCAAAAACAACATTCAAGAGAGTTAAATTTAATTCACGATTTATCTTCTCCATGTGAAAATTACTAATGGCGTGTTATTCTCCGTAAAACTCTCTAATTTATAATTGGCCCTTTAAATTACGAAAGTTGAAACTTAAATGCACAGCATGTTTATGTTTGCTCTTTTTGCCAGCATCTGCAGAGTCTGAATCCTTCTCTCCTCGTAAGACACTCGCGGAGTCTTGCGAGAAGGAAAGCCTCTCACAAATTAGCGATAAAAGCAGCCGCAGGAAATAAAGCCTCTTAAGCAAATAACAAATAAATTAGCGCGCACAGGGGCGAAACACATAATAGGCGGATCTCTCGGCGGTGCAGGCGAGTGTCAGAAGCGATTATTTATTTCCCACTGCGTTTCCAAGGGGCCGCCGAATCCCTTGGCCGCAGAGCAAAAAGCGGATCGGCCTCGCGTAAATCAAAAGCCCCTTCGAATCTTTTCTTTTTTTCCATAATATCATATTTCTTTGCGTCTCGCAAAAATAATTCCACCCGAAGGAGGAAAACGGAGCAAAAATTTGGTCAGTAATCCCTTGAGTGACTTTTGGTGTTGCAGTGTCCAAAGTGCGGCGCCCCTCGCGTCCTACCCTCGGACCCGCTCAACGACCAGGCGCCGTGGGAGTGCGTTGCGTGTGGAAGTTACTCGGCCAACGCAACCTCCGTCGATTTGCTGCTGCGGCGCCTTGGAGACGAAGCTGAAGCCATCGATGTCGATGACGTGCCCGCCTTTGAAAAGTTCCTCGTCAAGTACTCGAAACTGTTGCCGCCCAGGTGAGAGTCGATTTCTATTGTCAAAAGGAAAGCAATTTTCTTGATTGCGCACGTCAACTTGAAACTTGATTGTCTTTTGGCTGCACCGCTGTTATTTTGATTAAGTGGGGGCTTCTCAATGTGTGCTTTCATTACATCCATTTACACTTATAGCTTTGACTTCTTTGATCAAGGCAACACTTTCATTGATTAGCTCAGAAGAATCATGTCAACTAATTTATTAATTAAATTATGAGTTAGAAAAAAGTAAATTGAATCACTGAAGACAAAATGACAATTTAATAGGAATCGTAAATGTATGAAAAGGAAAATGCATACATATCAACTTTTAGGTTTTACTTTAAAAAATAAGACAACACGCATTACCTTCTTATGTATGTAATTAAAAACTTATCTTGACAAAAAAAAAGTGAAAAGACGAATTTTAATACAAACTTGAAGTCACGAATTTAATGAAGAAATCACTAATGTTCTAAAACGTGAAATCGCAAATTAAAATTTTTTTGATTTGATCATTGAATATAGCGCTTCTAGGTAATATTTCGCCTAGACTTATTTTTAAGAATTCCATTTTTTTTCTATATGAATATTTAATAACATAAATTTCAATATGAAACTAGATAAACATTGACTGATATTGTTGTTGCAGATAATAAATAATTTTAGGCGTTTTTTCCATTTTCATACTTTTTGTTTCTTCGATTTGAAAACGAATTTACACAGTCAATTTAGCTTATCGAATGGTGCATGACATTTGGGAATTTTTGTACGAGGCATTTGGCTCTAAAAGAGAGACAAATGCGCGTACGTTTATCAATCAGGTGCCAACAACATACATGTTGCAGCGTGTGTGCCCTTTTGATTTCCAATCGTTTTTGTTTTTCATCCGATGAAAGGCCAAACATCACAAATCGTGCTTTGCCTTTATTGAATATTTAAATCACCAACACAACACGGCGCCCTTTTTTCATATATCCCTTTGATAAAAGCTTTTGCACCCATATTGCTCCGATTATTTATTTTTTCTATTTTCTCCACAGCCACTATTTGCTGCTGGGAGTGAAACACTCGCTGTGCCAGTTGTACGGGAAGGTAGCAGAGTATCTCATATCAGATTTGAGCGATGACATGCTCGAAAGGAAGAAAGACATCTGCGAAGAACTGATGCCAATTTTCGACGTTCTCGAGCCTGGCATGTCAAGATTAAGAGGTAGGAGCACCAGCTTGTGTCGATTTTTTTTCCAGATAAGAACTCTTGCATTTTTCATTGCGTCATTTATCATTTGCATGCATAAAATTTTAATTTATTTTTTATTTGTCACAGAAAATTTTCATCTTTTTATTAATTTTGTGAAATATGGATTTATACTGTGACAGTGTGACTTTAATTAATGGTCTGCTTAGAATACTGTTGATTATGTTAGATTTTTTTTTTTAATTGGCTTGTCTTCGATGGATTTTCGAGTTGCCAACTGTTTAATAGAGAAAGTATTATTGAAAAAACACCTATTTAAAAACCAGCTTTCATAATAAGAGGAGATCGTCTGTTTGTCTCTCACTTTTAATCATCCCATTTTATCAAAGAAAAATGTGCGCCTTTTTGATGCAACTAATAAGAAAAGTTGAAAGATAGTTTCTGTGGTGTGATGGGTAGAAAAATAATTGCACGTCGCAATTTAATCCTTTCTTAGGAGTACCTCTCCGTGATTAATAAAATGCAGGCGCTGTGAAAAACTCATTTCGCTGCACAAGAAAGTCTCTGAAGCACCTGGTTTGTCCTTTGAGAGAAGGTCTAAATTAAAATTTCAAATCAGTGTCAAAAAGGGGGAAAGAAATTTAATTAAGGACGCGTCGCCTTTAAATTATTGCCCTCGGCGTATTACATTACACAAACATGCTTTTGTGCGGTTCAGTTGCTTTCGTGTGGGATGGGTTTTGGAGCGAGTTTATGCAAATTTTCGTTAGAGCAGAGAAGGATAAAGTCATGTTATCTCAAAATGCAAATTGGATTCAACATTGTAAGGAAGAAAAATATTTATGTACTTAAAATTCAAAATTTGTCGGGATTTGTATAACAATTTTTTTCTAATAACATTCCTGGATTTTATTGAGGAATTACAGTTCAGTTTAGCTCCGACTGGAGAAGTTAAAAAAGTTTTAAAAATATAGCATGTCCGGTCAGATTCGCATCTAATTAATAATGATAACATTAAAAAACTGGAAAAAAAATTAATTTTAGGCAATTTTTTTCACTTGCATTGTGCCGATTGCATTTTATTTTTTATATCTTAATCAACATTAAACCTTGGCTTTATACCAAATCAACGTTTCATTTATTTTTATTTGATTAAAAAAAAATCAATTTTTACCTCTTAAATTTATTATTTCTTGTTAGGCATGACTTTATATGAACTCCACGCTCCTCTTATGGTTTTGGCGACGAGAGCATTTGAGGCCCGAAACATCAACAAGAAGGACTTGCAGTACCAGATGAAAAAGGTCGCCCAGTGTCTGGAACAGGCGGCAGAAATTCTCAAACTGGACCCCGAAGGATCTTCTGAGAGACAGATGGCCGACGCCGCGGCCCAAGCGTTGGTCCAGGTGAACGAGTGGCGCAAACAGATCGCCAACAAGAAGTGATTAAAGCACCCAACTAATTACTGTGTTAAAAAGAAATCGAACTTGACTCCCAACCAATCTTATTCCCCATAGCTTTAAATTTCATTCGAGGGTCTGTGAAATTTCAGAAAATTCCACTTTTCGATCCTGATAAATCAAAAACTCAACCAACAAATAGGAAAATATTTTTGGACTAAATTTTTTTGCTGGAAGAAAAATTCAAAAATCTTTCACTTGGAAAGTTTTTTGTTATTCTTGTCCTAAAAGTGATATGATAAAATTCATCTTAAATATTTTGCACAGAATTTATAAGGTTTTGTTATAATATTGTACTATCTTATTTATTTTACCAAATTCCAGACCCTTCTAATCAGATTTATGGACCGTTGTGAGCATTTAAGAGCCTTATTTTAATTTATTTGGAAATTGACGGCTCTAAATCTGTTGATATGGGGCTTGCAAAAGAAACTTGTCAATCTGGAAAATTGGCAATCTGCATAAAAAATTGGCACTTTTTAGACTCGTAAAATGACCAATCCCCATAACATAAGATGAGCCTCTTTATAACCTTGTTTTCCAGACTAAATTTTACTACCATTCCCTTATTTTTCCTTTATTCGTTTAGTTTAAGACCAACACTTTAATATCGCAAGTAACGTATAAGGACCCAAGATATAAAACCAAAGACAAATTGGAATTCCCTCTTCTCACCCAACTCAGTCAGTAGGTTTCTCTTTTTGTACCCCGGCGAAATGGTGTGTCTAATAAACAAGGCAACCGCCGCTTTAGGACAACACACACAACAACTTTTGTTTTTTATTGGCAACATCTGACACAAGTAAAGTACATACGCGCGGAGAGAGCTAGAACAATAAAATAGTCGTTGTCGGGGCCGCGGCTGGGGCTCATTCAGCCGCGACCCCGACCACTCAGTCTTTTTCCTTCGCTTTTTTTCCCCATTTTAAAAAAAGCTGCGATTCTTTGAGATCCTTCACACGACGGTCGAGTTGACCTCGGACGGCACCGGCGCCTGCACGGCCGTCGTCCCTGGAGGCGGCACCGCCTCCGGAGGCTCAAACCACGGCAGGAACAGGTGGCAGAATGTGGCTCGGAACTGGCGGCTCATGGCGCAGTACAGCAGAAAGTTGACGGCGCCGTTGAACAGCGCCAGCAGGTCCAGCATTTCGCCCAGCACCTGGTAGCAAGTTTGGAAGAAGCACGGACCCTTCATGCCGCTCAACACACCCAGCACTGCCTGCGAAAATATTTATGAAGCACAATTTTATTTATTTGTTTATTTTGTAAATACAGAACACCATTTAATTAGTTTTTTATTTCATTATTTAAATTTCAAATATTTCAATTAAAATAGTTTTGATTTACAAAATTATTAGAATTCCTCAATAATTATAAGACCTCAAATCTTTATATTTATACAGAATATAAATTCCAAATATTTTAATGTTTTATGATTTTATGTATGGTTTGTACTTTATTGAACTCTTTAGATGCGACTCAGGTGTTAAAAAATTGAAATTTTGTATGTGTTCTCATTTGTATGCAATAACAATAATCTAAAAAAATCGTAAATGACATGAAGGTATGAAATTTAATCTTTCAAAATTCACATATATATTTTTTTTACTGATTTGCAGTTTTACTCAGTTTTAATATTGAATATTTTGTAAATTTTTTATGATATTCATATTTTTCTAAGTAAATATAAACGTTTCTGAGCATTATAAAAAAATAATCGATCGACTATAATTTTCAAGTCTACGCACACCAGCATAACACTTTTCAAACTTGTGGTTTTAAAATGCTGGTGATGGGAGTTTGTAATCGACTTTTTATGTTCTCTGCAGCAAAATGAGAGCGCTGCACTGGATGAATAAGTGATGAGGCAGGTTATGTTGATGCTGAGTTTGGCCAAAGTTTCTTATTTTTTATTCATTTAGCCGTTCCGAGCAGCTTACATTGTTGTTAATGTGAGAGCTGTGTGTCAGAATGATAATCAGCTTTTAAAAACGCGCATGACTGCATAAACATGCTGTTGTTTATTAATTATGAAAAATAAATTGCTAAAAAAATGTTTACCTAAATTTAATGCTTTTCACACATTTCCCCCCTCTAAGTTTGCGGGGATGTTAAGTAAACATAAAATATACATATTGTATTTTAAATATGTAACACGATTTTTTTTTTCGATTATTGTCAGGTACAAATTTAAACAACTTTTTCAACAATTGAAAAAAGAAAATTGGCGCAGAAACTTATTCCATGATCTTTTTCATATTTTGATTCGCTAAGTCCATAGAGGTTTTCTAGTATTGATTTATGCTCGGCATAGCAAAGGGGTGCGGGCTCTTCGTGGATATCATATCGGAAAATAATAATTGGAATAAATTATATAATACGTCTATAGGCAATATTGATCAAAACGCACTACACATTTTTTGCTTAGCGCAGAAGTGAGATGAAAAGTTTTTATGACATTGAGATTTACATTCAGCAGCAGCTCTTTCCGCACAGACACACCTTTAAAAAATTCCTCTCACTCAGAACTTTGCTCTTCACTGCGTATATTCAAATCAAAAATTCAGCTTCCCTTGAGATGTCCCAAGTTTCAAAACTCACCAGACCTTTGGGATGTGCAAGGAAGATAAATTTTGGAATCTCTCAGCTACGCACAAAATTGAAAATACAGAGGGAAAATGGTCTGTATATTGTCATTCGAAATTATTATACCTCTGGTAGGGATATCGATGATAAATTACAAAGGCATTACTCAAAGTCAGGTGCCCTACTTGCATATCTCGGTGAAAAACCTTAATCGGTCTTTGAATAGTTGTCTCGATCGCATTGTACAGAAAGGAATGCTGGCGGAAAATGTGGAAAACTACATCAGTGCGCATCCAGAGCAAAAAACACGTCTGCATTCTACCGACTGCACATGTAATGCTTCAATCAACATCACACGGCAATTAATTATATTATGCGCCTATTCAAAAAGCACTAGTGGAAAATGCAGCAGCAATTATTCCTTTGTTAGTTAACAACGTCATTCAATTAATTTGAATTAATTTTGTCTTTTCTGTGAAAACGTTGCTAGTTAGATTATCGAAGTGCTGCTTTTTCCGTCCCAATTGCGACGTAAAAGTTTAGAACAGGGGATTAAGCGTGCAGGGGACATTTTCTGGTGGGTGGGTTAAGACCCGACTCACCTGTGGCAATTCCGTTGCAAGGAAGAGCAGAGTGACGGCCACCAGCATCCGAGTCGTCCTATCCGTCCTTTGAGAGATCCTTTTCCCCCGGCTCGAATTTTCCTCCCCGGAGAGCCTAATCTGGATCTAGAACCAAAACACAAACACATATGGAGCGGCTTTAATTTTTTGTAGTGTTTAGTTAGAGAAGGACAAAAAATTATCCTGATGTTTCCTTGGGTTTGTATTTTTCATGCAAAAATTCATCATTGTTTTGGAACAGATATACAAGTAATGCTTTTTTTTTTAATTGCTAACACCTTAATTCGATTTTCTCTCTTTTTTATTAATCAAATTTTTATTTATGAATTCATGGATGACGTGTTTGGTCAGGAATTGTGGATTGCGTGCGGGCTGGTGTAAAAGTCTTTTAAATAATTCTCTCTCCGAAATTCATTCTACCAATAAATATTTGCAAATTTGGCAATCCCGATTTATTATACAATATTTGAGAGCAGAAGCAGGTTTTTTTTTTACTTTTCCACAACAACATTTAGAGATATTTTTGGATTAGCGACTATTCTTGACGGAGATTCAGGTGAGTTGAAAAAATGTCATAATTTACCATGGGGAAGTTTTCAGGGGTAGTCAGCAGTTTTTGCGAGTGCTGGTGGGCCTTGAGAAGAGCCCTGACGAGGCAAAGACTCAGGGCCGAGAGCAGCAGACAGGGCAGAAGCTTGAGCACGCACCCGTTGAACCAGAAGTGGAAGTGGTAAAGAGCGCCTCCTGCAAACAAAAACAACAAATTATCTGCCGAGGTGCGGAAACCGTAAATCCAATTGGGATCGCGGTAAATCTCAGTTTTTGCTGCTGCGGGAAATAAATCCCCGCAGCGGGAGAATAAAATTCCGGGTGCGTAATGAGCATTCGCGCCTCGCACTTTGTGTGCGCCTGTTTGCTCGCGTTTTATGGCGGAATGATTTGCGACAGGGCGCATAATGAAGTGTACTGCGGTACGGTGGGAACCGCAACACGTGTGCCGCTGGTGCTCATAAAAGTGGCCGTAAATGAGGAAAAAGAGGAGAGGTCTCGAGTGGCACCGATGATAAAATTCGTTCCTCCCGTGTGTGCACTCAAGACAATGAGTTTGCACTGACAGCTAAATCAGCAAATGCCTCTTGTAAGTCTACGATTTAATCAAATAAATTTAATAGAAAACTGCTGGTTTGAAAAAAAAAACACCTTTTAAATTTTATAGAACAGATATTTGGAAAGCATTAGTGGTTTGAAGAAAAATCCACAATGTTTATGATAAAGGATAAGGAAAATATTAATTTTTATTTTATAATCATCTCAAATTTAATATTTAGAAATTCCTGACACCACGCATTTCAAACTTTTTTAACAATAAATTGTTTGAAAGTTTCCTTATAAGAAGACATATTAGTTATGCCTGGACAACAGCTGGAAAGCTTTGAATCATCACCGTCAATTTTAATCCAAAATTTGTGTTCTAAAAACATTCTGGCGCATTCTGGAATAGTTTAGCAAAACTCTATTAGGATCCTCATAGTTATGGAAGAAGTTTGAATCTCAAAAAATGTCCAGGGCCATTAAGATGTCAATCTTTTTTAAATAATTATTTTTGTTTTCAATTTATACAAAATTTAATGGTATTTTTAGGCTTGTAATGAGGAGTTTATTTTTTATTTATTATAAACAGCTAGCAATACCAAAATACTCAATATCATCAAAGGTTTCTGAGAACAGGCACTTAAAAATCTTATTTTTTTCCATCCGCTATTTACTCAAACCGCCTCAAACCACCTGAAAGAGCCTTTTCCATCAAATTGTAAATCTAAGAGACACAAGAAACAACCGAAATTTGGATTCGACAGGCAGGAAATCGAAAGGAAGCAAACAACCGTTAAGATTTCTCTCTCGTTTAACCTTTTTTCCTCCTTTCACTCGATCCATCAGGAAAATTTCTGCGCTTCTTTTCCTCGTTTTGTAAATTGGACAGTTGCCTGTTTTTCCTTTTATTGCATCGTGCGGCAACAAGCATGGCAGTTCTGAGTTCATACACGTTTCACGTGCTACAGCAGTCGATGAAAAATAAAGGGTTAACGTGGGTTGTATCAGCAGGCGTCGAAGCCTATTTTTCAACAAGAGTGCGAGAGAAAGAGGTGCGAAGTATTGATTTCCAAGCAAATATTTGCCAACGCAGGCATTTAAGCTCCACTTGAAATAAATTAGAAAAAGAGACGTTTTGAATAATATTTTCGTATGATTGGCGAAAAATACATTGAATAAAGAGGATGAAAAAGATGCGACGGAGTGACGACTAAGGGAAAATTCACCAAGGGGTTTACATTCGCAGAGAGGGCAATTTTCAATTTGCTCCAAAATACGTCAAGAGAAGGCTTTTCAATAGAACTCTCATTTTGCGCACAAATAATTCCAGCAGAAAACGAAGCTACGTGTTGCAAATGAAAAGGTTCAAGAACAATTCAGTGATTTCTATCACAGAGATGACACTTATTAAAAACACTGAAAGAACTTTCTAAAAATAAGAATATATGTTTCATCACGCAAGAAATATTAAAAGATTTATTTTCGTTTCCTCGTCTGAATTTCAAGAATGAGCTTATTGCAAAAATTTTTATAAATATTTTCCTTTATTCCGTTTCACTGAATCCAATTAAGGATTCAAATAATATTCATTTCAACGCTCACCGATGACGACTTCCATTTTCGATTTTTGTTCATCAAAATTATTTGTATTGGAAGATTGAAGATTACCTTAACAATCTTTAAGGAAAAACTTATTAATAAGTAATTATAAGAAATAATAGAGTAATATAAAATCAATGTTCAAAAAAATCTGCGCACCTTCGAAGTGGGATATTTATAAATTCGTTTTTTTTTCTTTCTGCTTTTTTATTGAAATTAATTTTTTTTTTCAATTATTTTATTTATGAAATGAACATCTTGATGAAGAAAATGTGTGGATTTTTCTGATTAATAATAAGAAGATAAGATTAAAATATCTCTTTTAAAATTATGCAATTGCTATAAGTAGAATCTCTCATCAAACATCATTTCTTGACAATTATTAATTGGTATGATTAATTAATTTGAAAAACTCTTATAATCTTAATATACTAAAAAGCACAAAAAAAATTATTATAATAATAATGATGATAAAAAAATTAATTGGATGAACCGCGTATTAATTTTAGAAAGAAAAATATTTTTGGCATTTATTTGGTAAAATTAATTTAATATTAAAATGATTGTTACTTGCAAGAAAACAAGGAAATGGTGGCTTGTTCAATTAATAAATTAATTAAAATTGAATTTCCAAGAACAAGTTTAAAATTGTATGATGTATCTCAAAATTGGGCAGGGATATTGCCTCGTTCATTTCGAAACTATTTGGATTATTTGCTATTCCAAAAAACCTTATGAAGTTCTAGTTTTTTTCAAACTACAACAAATCAAAGTAATTGTTTCCACCCGACAAACGACCACAACAAAATAAATTTTGTCTCAATATTTTTGCAAAGGAATGTGTGTCATCATCACTCACCATCCCGCTGGGCCAACTCGCTGAGGGTGATTAAGTGCCTGGTGTGCGGCCACTCGTCCGATGAGCGTTGGGTCAGCGTGAAGCAGAGGAAGGAGGGCACGCACAGCACGACGGCCAGCGCCAGGCAGCCGATCAACGCCACGGTCAGTGCCGTGTCCGAGTCGGCAGTCCGGCGTCCAGCGCCGCGACCAGGAGTCAGCTGGGCCAACGTCAGACAGCGCCAGGTGGCCAGTAACAGTGTCAGCAGCACGGAAGCGGTGTGCAATACCTGAGTGGGCAGACAGACAAAACTATAGAGTAGTCTGGGCAATACATAGTAAGTTTAGACAGTTGGTGCGTGTAAAAACCTTAAGCTTACAAAGTTACTTTTAAATTTTCTTCAAATTATTTGCAGGTTAAGTCGTATTTTCAATTGAAGAAACACCAACAATAAGGAGTGTAAATTATTTCCTAATAATAAGTCAAGCAAGGTAGACACGTCTGCATAGGTTTGAAATTGAACAAAAATCAGCTAAATAAAATATTTATTTTTATCTTAAAAATAATACTCAAACGAAAATTTGCAGAGTGATCCATACTATCAAAATTCATGTTTAAAGAAACTATGAGAGGCTCTAACTTAATTTGTTAGAAAGCAAAAACTAAATTCTTGAGGCAACAAGTAACCAGAATTTGAACTGAATCTGAAAATTAAAAATTTTAACTGCTCAAAGTTGCGAGACTCATTTAAATGGTAAATATTTCTCTACCTCTGATTTAAAAAAAAAACTATCTGCTGTATCCACCACTTGGAACGCTAACAGAATAGTTCAGCTTTGTTTTTTCTCGCACAAGTGATTCATGTTGGAGCTCCATTAGTGGGTATTCGAGTGATACTTTAATGTGTAGGAGATCTCGGTAGACTGAGTAAATATAAATCAAGAGTTCAGCTTTTTACCAGTTTCATTCACTTGCTATAAAGCGGATTTTCCTGGACAGGGAAAAGCAAAAAGTGCGCAGTTTGTCATTCAACCATAAGCAGGCGGTTTGGTGTGTGTTGGATAGATAAAAGCATCTACTTTTAAAATCCTACTTTTTATTTGGAGTCTCGCCCAAATCAGACAAGCAGTGCTATTTTCAGTGATTTTTTTTAATTAGAATTCCGTCCAGCTTTGGACGAAATAAAATTTTTTTAATTTAGAAATAAGTAAAAATTATAATATTTTTTTTTTAATTTTAGGAGTGAAGAAAGAAGTTTTGTTCCCGATGAAAATTTTAACAAAATCCTCTCTGACAAACATAATATCAGTCAAATAAATCTTAACAAGGGTGAAATTTGCTGTTAATGCTTCACTGCGGATAGCAATTTAACTTTAAACATGAATTTTCCTCTTTGGACAGAGAATAAGTAATGTTCTTTGAAACAAAACAATTTGCCAAAAGCTTCAAAAAGTCGATAATTTAATAGCAAGGAGCGCTTTCAATGCTCGGCCATGCGTGGATTTTTGTTCCTCCGGCGGCACTTGCTAAAGAGAGAGACGTGAATTTAAACCCTTTGTGTTTTCATTAAATTTCGCCCTCATCAGATCAAAAGAAATCCAACTTCTGCTCTTTGTACAGTCTGCAAAGATTCATTCAATCACATAATTAAACGTCAAAAGGCTACCCAATGCTTACTCAAGTATTTGGAGTTGATTTAATGGTGGTATTTTTTATGCGCTTCACTCACAGACGCATCGATCCACCGAGCCAATCAGATTATGAATAACCATTGATCTTATTGAAATGTATAAACGAATGAATTTCCAGCTTTATTGAAATGTTTTGATCTCTCAACTTCAAAACACACCGTGCCTTGGTGCACGTGGCACTTTTATTTGAGCATATCAGCGAAAAAGCACAAAATTTGGCGTTCGCTTCCAGGCCCCTTATGATCGAGTTTTGTCCTTCAGCCGAACACTAACCAGATTACCACACGCGCAAGAAATAATAAATTGACCAAAGACGCAATTCAGTAGGGCGAAAATAATAATATTTGATATTCCGCCAACGGACGAGGAGCTCTCGCCCCGTGCGCCAGCCAGAAATAGAGGCCCAAATCCATTTTTCTGGTAAACAGAGTGATGGGGGTGGAGAGATGAAATTATGGGCACGTTCTCTGCACTTCAAATTTGTCACGTTTGCACCTCATTCAATCAGGAACTTGACAAAATGCAAATCTTTACAAATTTAATAATAAAAAAAATAACGTTTAAGTTACTTTTTTCTAAGTTGAAAAAATTTTCTGTAAAAATTATGTCGCGCTTTGGACTTTTAGAGAAATTTTAAATTAGTAGGACCTTTTTTCTGAGATGATAAATTTAACCCCTCAACCTAAAGCGCGGATCTTTTTAAGAGCTTCTTCTTTTGGTGGAAGCCATTAAGAGGCAGATTTTTGTGGCTTATATCGCTAATGCCCTAATTATGTATAAGGTTAGAGGTTACGTGAATGCCTTAATTTGAAATTTGAAAATTACAAACTTTTGGAATACCATAATCTTTTATTTGAAGAAGTTGACACTCGAGGAGATGATCATGGAAATGAAGATTCGGGTTTTTCCTCGTTGCAAAAAATTGTTTTTTATTCAAAAACAAACGGCTCTACCAGTTTCGGTCACGGTCTGCGACCCTATTTCATGAGCAAACGCGCTGCTCGCTGACTAATGAGCAGCGCGTTTGCTCATGAAATAGGGTCGCAGACCGTGACCGAAACTGGTAGAGCCGTTTGTTTTTGAATAAAAAACAATTTTTTGCAACGAGGAAAAGCCCGAATCTTCATTTCCATAATCTTTTAGTTTTTACTTAATTAAAGTTTAAAAATTTTTATAGTACATAAAGTCAAAAAATAGGTTTGATTACAAATTTAAAGCATCTGAATTGAATTTTCACCAAACGCAAGGAAAAAAATAAATCTATGTATAGAAAAAATAGATTTTTCTGCTTGAAATTAACATTTTTTTATGTATATAAAATGATCCTTCCTTTTCCTGAATTCGAAAAAACTTCCACGCAGCTTCGTACCCACTAGATTTGAAAGTTTTAGGAAGCTTCTATCATAAGTTAAACCGACATTTTGTATTTATTTAAACAGTTCGTATATTTTCTAAGCTTCAATTAGAACACGCATCAAGTATTCATTAAGGCTTTTAATCAAATGTAAGAGTGTAATACGCCGCCCTCGAGTTTTCAGTTTACTGAATTCAATAAAACGCGGGTGTGCGTATCAAAGTGAATCAGAGAGCAGCCAAGTGGAAAATGTCTTGGCGGGTAGATCTAGTTAGGTAATTAGCCTGGAAGAGAGAGATCGTCGATTGACATCGGTGTGTCGAGAACGCAAAGGCCGGATTACGAGTTGCGCAAAGACCAAACACCCTGGAGGTTTTCTCCTCAGGCCTAATTATTTGCTACTCTGAACCCCCGGCGGTGCTAATCATTTTACAAAGTAGTTCACCGTTTATACTGAGAGAGGCAGGTTTAAATCTCATATCGCAACGCTTAAGTGCTTAAGTGAGCGTGCAGAACGCGATCGTCTATACTTGACGGCACTTTACAATGTAACTAGATCGGTCTTACAAGTCTGTTTGTCATTATTATTGATGAGCAGTGCCTTTGGAAATGGATGATGATGCGAGAAGACTAACAATAAGATTGAGCTAGTCAGTGTGGTAAACCGACACTATGGATTGACAGACAAGCAAGAGAGGGGTTTTGAAATTTATCCTTCGCAACAAAAATTATCAGGGTCTTCAGACAGGTAGCAGTTATCATAAAAATAAAGCTTATCCACAAATTCCATTAATTTTCAGGGGTTATTTGAGCAGATAATTCTATTTTAGTTCTTTATAAATCTATAGAGGAAATAATAATAAAATTTTTTAACTTTACCAATGGCACAACACACATCCATGAGAAAAGAGACTGATACTTTGTTAAATATCTTAGAATAATGATATGAATTCTCTATATTATATAAAAATTATTAAACAAAAAATTACTGACATGAATAAATTTTTTAAACAAAACATTTTTCATTTTTAATCATATTGAATTAATTGTTATTAATAAAAAAATTATAACAATAGTAATTTATATGAATATTTAACTTTATTTTTATCTGCAAATAAGCGAAAAAAACTTAAAATTTATCATATATGTTCAATTTTAAATTAATTACTTTTTGTTTTTACTTTCACTGCAAGTATCAAGACCATTTAATTGGCTTAAAAAATCAATTTTGCAAACACGCAAAAATAATCGGTTGTTACCAAGATATGTGTCTGGAATTCTCCAAACATTTTATATTATTTAACAATAAAATTTATACCTTTATGCTTTCTTATTGTAAGTATTGTTTATTGAAAATTTAGCGTTCAACTCAAACTGTCTGTTTTCCTAGCCATAAATCAATAAAATTTATATTCACTTTTGGTGACACAAAAATTAATGCAAGATATTTCCTACCTGCGCGAGCTGCATGTGAAGAAGGAGGAAAACTGCCCATCCGGGCAAATAGGAGCGCCATTGTCGCTCAGGGTCGATGTAGACCTCGTAGGCAAAGGGCAGGTAGAGCAGCATGACGACCACGTCGACCATGGCCAGCCAGCTGAGGATCCTGTTGACCGGCGCTGCCCGCAGCTCGCGCAGCACCACCAGATTCAGGCAGTTGGCCACCGAGCCCAGGATGCACACGGCCACGGCCAGCGGCCCGTGCACCCCTTTGTAGGCCAGCGCAGTGGCCAGCAGCCACCGCGGCATCCCGCACGCACATTCGTCCGAATCTGCCAACATTGTCATGCAAAACAATTTAATAAGAAAAATATGCAAATTTCGGTATTTATTCTCCGTGACAAGGGTGTGTAATAAATGCTTGCTGCGAGTTTTTTTGTTGGAAAAAATAAACGCTGCTCTTGACAGGTCAATTTAGGGCTGTCTCTTTTTGCGTCCAACCAATTTTGAGGCATCTCAGAGTTCTCCCCCGAGGTTATTTTGTAAGTTTGCGACAAAATTCACCTCGTGTCAAGTATAATCTGCATGAAAAATGAGCCAATTTAATTGATTATGATTAATTTTGCAGCAAACTCGAATTGGCAAAAAGATGAAAATATCGCGTTCATGATAGATTATCACAATGCATAAAAGTGGTTTAATCCAGCTTGAACTTTCCTAATTAAAGTGAATTGATATTGATCTAAAATATGATTGATGTTGATTGAGAGAAGTGATGCACTTTTTTTTTAATTTTCACTCAATTTATTATTATTTTTACTTGGGCTTCAAAATATGTATCAATGAAATATTACTTCAGTAAATTTATTTTATGTGCCTAATGATGTGAAAAGATTCACTCGATCTAAATACAATCTTAAAATCTGTAAAATTATAAAACGTGTCGCTTTCTTTATATTTGCACAACATCATCAGAACAATTTCTTGACAACAGCATAGCAAAATGTTTTGTTAATTAAAGAAATGGCATTTTCAATCATATGTGCTTATTGTTAGTTTCTCATTATAAGTACATATATTTCTTAGGATTTTCTACAAATTCACTCTCTCAAAATTTGCCTCCCACTGAATTGAAGTTGAATCATTTTTTTACGAATTACTTGTACAAAACAAGCCTTTTAAAGAGAACTAATGAATAAATTATATTTTTTTCATTAACATTGAAATATAGATGAAAAATGATTATATAAAAAAAAATGCTTGAATAATTTTATTTCTCTGTCACTTATGTTTATGATAACTTTATGCCTTCAGTTATGGTTCTGCGTCATGGACCACAAAACTTACAAATCATTGACCGGAAAACACGTAGACACTGTATAACTACACAGACGGAAAATCACATTTCCCACGGGGAGTTTATTTACAAAAGTCTCTTGATGTGCTATTTGGCAAATAGGTTGTTCGAATAGCTTTCTCCGTCAGCCCGTCGGCTGTCTCCCGGTGCGGTACATTTTTCGCAGAGAGAGAATAATAAAGTTCATGGGACTGTTATATAGCGGAGTGATATAAAAATTATTCATGCTGAAAAAAGCTTTGTCGACAGCACCAGCAGACTTTAGAGTTGGTAAAGTATAATATACAAGCCCCACCCTTGCATTTCAGAAAGAGAGTTTGCTTTCACAAGGACCGGAGAGGAAAATTGCGCGGCGGATATGATCGTCATTATGTTCGCGAAACAGCCGCGGCCAGAAACGAACTCATCCCTCTCGTTAATCTCATCTTTTCTGCCGAGCGACTTACCACCAGAAGAGTAATTAAATTTTTATCACCGGTCGGCGCACATGGCACTAAAGTTTATATTCGCCCTTTAGCCTCGGAGGTCGAGACGCGCAGGAGGCGATTTTCGAGTGTGACGCGCGGCTAAGGACCCGTTCTCTTTAATGGCGTTTTGCAAAATGCCCTTTGTCTGCTGTGACGGATGAGGACATACTCACTCGATAAACCCTCCCAGCAATGTTCACTCGGTAACGCAGACAAACAGACGGAAAAGGGGGTGAAAAAGCGAATTGCACAAACACACTCTCTCACAATGTTGCAAAGTGCCGAGACGCCAGCCTGCCTTTCATTTGACGCCTACATTCGTATGTGCGAGAGACTGAACATGAATTTATTTTTGCTCAAGTTCATATGCGTCAAAGAGGGTATGCAGTGCGCATTTTGAGTTGAAAAGGCCGATGATTGCCACTTTTCAACAAGTCACGCACATGATGAGACGAGTGAAATTTTACGATTTATTGCTACATTTTTTACTGAGAGTTTCAGAGAGACAGAAACTTTGATGTGATTTGAAATCCTATAAAAGACCTTTATTTGACCGCGGGTATGAGTTCAATAAAACTTTATCATATAACTCCAGCAACACATAAAATTGCTTTGATCCTTTTGTCCTTTGTTTCACACTTTATTGGTTAAGCCTACTTTGAATTTAATAAATTAATATTATTTTAAATGCAGAGTATTCATTTCTGTATTATTTGCAAACATCAAAGGATTTTATGTTTGTTTCTAATTTATGGTTTATTTAATTAAACCTCAAACGTATCGATAAAATGTACTTCACAAACGAAAAATCCAAATATATACCAATTAAAATCGAGTTGGAACGTTCTAGATTTCGGTACGCATCCTTTGAAGCGTCCAATAAACGAGGGAAATTATTTTCGGAATGCTCAATTGGCTCCAAATTAATAATTCCCAGAAGCCCTGCCCGAGTTGCTTTGGGACGTCGTATTTCGCTTTCCCGGTAAAATAGATTCAAATTCTTCCATTTCAATCCCTCTGCATTTTTATTTGAACAGGAAGACTGGATTTTTTTCTGAAAACTCGCAGCAACCATGACGATAAATTTAACGGTTGTCAAAAGTCAAGAGAGAGAGTAAAAAGCTACTACTCACCTTGCGTGGCGTTCATCCCCGCAGTGGCCGGCTCATAAACGTCAGGCGCCGCTCTGGAATATAATGAATTATCCGGGCCATATTACCAAAATAAACAGGAGCGAGAGCTTCTGCAGACGCCGCGGGCCAGTTCAACAACCAGCCAAAATCTCTTGGAACTTTTTCAATTAAAATTTGATCCGCCTATCAGATTTATTCCGAATGCGTGCACGCGATCCGAATCTGATCGGCCAGCCATGTGTTGCAAAAACGCGGGGGCGTATATTTCAGATTAGAGTTCTCGGGAGAGAATGAAAAGGCTCGGACGTCCGAGCGATTTTGGGCCTTCAAGGACGCCGCTTGACGTCGAGACGCCTTAATTCTCTCAGCCTGCCATCAATTATTCAGCACAAACTTGGCGCCGCCATCACCGGTGATGGTGTTTTGATTGGATTTTTATTGGAGGCGACTCAAAGTGCACCTCACTCTAGAAGATTGTTGTAAATATTTAAAAATATTAAGCATTACATGCTGTTTTAAACTATTTGTATAAAATTTCGTTTGGCCAGATATTATAATTTGATCTGGAAAGCCCGATATAGACTATTTTCATGAAGATTTTCTTCATAAAAACATAAATGTTATTTTCTTAATGTAATGTTCGGTTTAGAAAATTAATCTTTTGATTTATATGAGCACTTAAAAATTATTTTGATGACATTTTACTTTTGAATTATGCAACCTATTTGCTACCTCTGTTCTCTGAATCCTAAAATAGGGAGGTACAAGCACCTTGAACAATGAAGGGAAAAAATTCGTGCAGAAATTTTCTGATAACAAAAGATTTTCGCTTATAGTTTGAAAAATAATCCAGAAAAGTTAGAAAGTAAGTTTTGAAAATAATTTCTTTTGCCACAAAGTTTAGTTCTTGCCTGAATGTTCGGAATGCTCTTTTTTACATAGATTTTTTATGTAGCAAAATTTTCATCAATTTTTATCTTCACACCACCAATAAACACTGAAATAAAGAGAAAGAAATCTAATGATACAAAAATAAAAAAGCCCCCATCAGAACCGAATAGCTCGAGCAGAAAACAAGTGCTGAGGTAGATTGGAAATAAATTGACTAGAAAATTAAGAGGAGCGCGTTTCAAAACGCAGCGCAGCACCGAGCTTTCCATCAAACATTAATGGCCTATCACGGCTCGTGGTGTTCGTTAAGTGGCTTAACAAGAACGCCGTCTGTGTTGTTGCATAGCGAGAGGAAACACAAAAGCCCTGCCCATTAAAGTGGAATATCGCATAGTTTGAAAATTTCCCGCAGACTTATTTCCGAGAATATTTGCATGCGGCAAGAGTTGGTTAATTAGCTGAGACACGCACGCGTCTCAAATTTATACATCAATTTGAAAACTCTGCTCCAAGATTTCTGGTGCTCACAAATTACAAATTGCCCAGAGGAGTTTTCAAACTCGGGCCGAACTTTGCCTCTGCATAATTGAGGAAAAAGTAACATGCACTTCAAAAGATAAATTATTTTGCAAGAAATTCGGAACCTGCCATCAGACAAGGTGACAATTCATTCTTAATGAGAGGGAGACGTCATAGCGTTGACGATATTGAATAGAAACTTTGGTGCGATCGGGAAAACTTTGTTGATTGTTCGAAACCGCTGATCCCCCATTTCCAGCAGTGTTGCAAAACTTTGCTATCTCCGTCTATAAAGCTGTCAATAATCGATTAGAGAAGATTGCGGTAGAGATTTTGAACTTTTAAATAAGAGAAATACATTTTTTGAATCAAAATGGTTCCAATGAAAAGTAAGACCGGTCTGGAAGAAGAAATGCTATCTGTGAGCACTAAAGGAACTCATAGAATTTCCTTAATTTCTATATTGACATGTTATTTAGAATGGACACATAAATTGTAATAAATTAAAACAGCATAGTCATTTTACATCATGGTTAAATTTTTAAGTTTTTCCAATTTAAAATAACATATTTTACTAATGTTTAAAAACTTTCGTTTTAATTGCAGCAAAATAATTTCAGCAATTTTCTGCCAGTAAATCGCAATGTGTTGGTTGATTATTGATTTTCTTTTTTAAATTATCTACTATCGATCGGATTGATGCTGTTAATAGGGACGAAGAGAGCAGTCATCCTTTATACAGGCTAAAGCCATCAGCGGCTGTCAATACCGAAAAGGCCCATCCATATATCATGAAATTGATAGGGTGCGATCAGCCGAATCCGCCTCCCAAACGATTTCGAGCGTATGGACTGATGCACCCTTCCGCTAGCTTTTATTCCGGCCAACGAATATAAAACAAAACAATCAAATTAGTGGCGCATTCGAATATTCTGACGCAGTTGATTTTATACACAACACGAGCTTTTTTCATTATAAACAAAGTATAAAACGAACGCGGCAGCCAAAATAGAAATTGAATTGTCCTCCCTCAAGAGAGCGTTCGCCGGTTCGAGGATGAGAAATAATCAGAGAAAAACTCAAAGCAGAAGTCTCGCTGTAAAAGCTAATTTTTTTGCCTTTGTTTTGTGGAGCAGAAGGCAAATATGGTTTGCAAGACTCTATAATCAAATGAGGTTCTCGCCGTTGGGATGCTGAGAGAGCAATCCTCTCAATTTGGACCGAGTACAGCCAATTAGGGTCTCGAGACGAACGTCTCTATCTTGGTGGCAAGTGGCCCGAACGGCGGATGGATGTGAATTTCGCACGGGCTTTCACCCTTGAAATTTAATTCAAACGAAATTGGATGCTTGGGGAAAGTTCATGGAAACGGCAAAGAATTTGCTTTTCTCAACTTCTGCTGACAGCTGCAAAGATTTTGTAAAATTTCCTTTTCTACAAAGACTCGCAGTTCCGCGCAAAATATTAGCGGATGAGATATTTCATTGAAATTCTTAATTTCTGAGAATCATAAAGGCCATATTTATTTATTAATATTTATATTTCTTTGTATTCCATGTGAAATTTTTTATTTATCTAGCCGGTTCAAACCATTCTTCTTTGAACTTAGGTCTTTTTATTTGCAATGACATTTAAATATTTTATACATAACTTTCTTCATAGTTATTAATTTATGTAAATTTTGAACTCATATTTATTAATAATGAAGCAATAAACATGATATATTCGGAGAGAGTTAAACTAATTTATTCTAAGACAATGTACCCTGCTCATTTAGGCTGTATATCAGATAAATATTTTTAATATCGCATCAAGTTAATTTTTAATTAAGGTTCTAATACAGGTTTCTTTTCATTTACTAACAAGTAAAGAAATCAAAGTTAAAAAGACAATATAATATCTTCAAAATAAATAATATAAATGTATAATGTATTAAAAAATTATTTTTTAAAAACATTATATAACTTTTAATAAATGTAAATACAATTTTAAATTTTGTGCTTGATCAAACGTTATAGATAAGATAATCAAATAAAATATAATTTGTATGGAGCAAAATATAAATATTATGTGCAAGTAAATAGAAAACAACTCTGTTTGTAGTGAATCAATAAGCACACTTTCTTCCAGTTGAAACAAGAGAATTCCCCTTACGCATACAATTTCTTTTTTTGCCACTGAAGAGATTTTCGCACGTCGACCAGCGGCGTGCATACATTTTCAATCACTCAAGCTTGGCGTACACACGGAGCAACAAGTTGGGGCTCTATCGCTTGAAGCCACTCTCTCCTGTGTCTCCTTCAATTGTAATTCAACATCGCACCGACTATACATGCACCATAATATTGATTGCTTGGTAAAACAATGCAGCTGGACGCGAGCGTCAGTTCTTTGATCTAATAATTGAACAACACGTCCAGCGCAATTACAATGACGGTTTTTTTATGAGGTGCACATGTGTGCTCGTGATTGCAGAATAGCCATTAGTCAAATCATTTTGATGGCTGAAATTAATTCGTTTGAAAAATGAGGGTCGCGTTTTGTGCAAAATTGTGTAAACATGCATCAATCAAACGCAGCTTTGTAAATTGAATTGCTTCATTTTATGCTAACGCGAACAGAATTTCATTAGGGAATGTTGTCAGCTTGTCACTTTATTGACAGGTTTTTTATTATGCAAATTGAAAATACTTAGTTTGACACACACAAAAGTATATGAAATTATTAAAATAATATAATTCTATTTGAAATTTACAAGGAAATTTGATTGAAAACAGTCATACAGTTTTTATTGAAGCAAAATGTGACGAATTAAGACAGACGAAGTGGACACTCGGCACTATAGGAGACATTCATGAACTTAAAGACAGGGGGCTTGTCTTTTTTGAACAAAATATTGTTTTTTTTTTTTAATTTTTTCCAAAAGCAATTTATTTTATAATATGGAAAAAAAATTAAAAGTCACTGAATAAGATCTCAGATTCCAGAATAATATTATGTTTTTAATAAATATGATTTATTTCATGAGATTTATATTTTGTTGTCAAAAGATTATAACATTTATAACAATTTTTCCTTTGGTATTTTTATATACCAAGTTTGTGCTGATAAATTAAGCAGGGAAATTTCCTCGTGGATTCTTGCAAAAAAACCGATATGTATAATGTATGCATAAAAAATGGCGTGGAATAACCATGGCTTGTTATCCCATTCGTTGATGTTCCTGAATCACGAAAAAAAGAGCGCCGTCCTTAACGTGAAAGAGGGGATTTGCGAGGGCCCATTACGCTCGGAGAAAAAAAATGACAAAAGCCCTTCACAGAAAAAGAAAATTGCTATGGTGCAGAAAAAAAATTACGTCCGAGGGACGGATGGCGAACGAGGTACTCACTTTCAGCGGTGCTGTTCTCCGTGATGTCGCAAGCAGTTGGCCCGTCGCAGAGCAAGTGTGACGAGAGGGTTGAGAGCGCGGCTGCGGCGGCGGCACGATCAGAGCCGGCGCACGCGTATCTTATCGGCGCCCAATCAGCCAAATCCAGGATCCGGCGCACCACCAGATTTCGGACAATTACAACAATTAGAGACTCGTTTCGGGTTGCAAAACGTTGTCGTCGCGCGATTCTCCGATAAACTCACTATAATTTTGTAAGGATGTTGGGTTGCATACAATTAAAGTTGTTCATTCAATGAAACACATTGAAAGGGAAAGGACACAGTTCATTGTATTTCATCTCACTTTGGAGTGTAAGCCAATTTTTTTATTATTTATAATCGCAATGTAATTTTATTTGTTACATTCATCGATATTTTAAATAAATCTTGATACATTAAAGAGACAATAGCAGACTGGTGCCGATTCCATGAAAAAACACGTAATATAACTTTTTTAATTTACACTAGGATGATTATTTTTAGAATGCAAGAAGTGCCCAGCATTTTCATTGTAATTTTCATTATTATAAAAATTGTGTAGCATTATACTAGTTCATTTGCACAAAGCATGTAAAACTTACAAAACACTGTCCTATACTATAATTTTTCATTTTTTTTTATTAGTAACTAAAATCCTTGCTGCTTTCAAATTATGATTAGCAAACTATTTAATGTGTGTAATTTCAAATTACCAATTTTATTAAAAGTGACAAAAAAGATTAGAAGATGACGAATCGCAAAAATTCTCGATATGTTTTTATACTAGCTACTTTAAGGTATAGCCGACAATGATTTATAGGAGAAAGTTTTTATACTTTTGTGGACACACAATTTTGGGGTATTATCCGTGTGCTAGCGGCGCCGTGGAACCACGATCATTTGGAAGGCTTGCTCCGTTCTGACGGCGAGCAGGGCAGATTGCTGCAAAAGCACCATCGCTTCAATTTCCTCTTGGAATCTATGCCGATATTTTTCTCTCGCCTGTCGCACCCTGTAATTCAGAGAATATTGGAAATGAGAAAATTTCTCCCTTTTTCTGCCGTTGAGTTTTCTGTTTTCTCTCCAGGCAATTTTTCAAAAAAATGTAGAACTGCGGATTAATATGTTGAAAGAGGAGATTGCCATTTTTTCCAATATCAATATCCTTCATAAATGTGTACCCTCGTTTTTAATTACAATGAGCGTCATCACCAAAGACAAAGTTTTAATAATGAACTTTTATAACGGAAAAATTACAACCGCTTTTTATTGGAAATGAACAATTATTTTCCATAATTTTGTTTTTGCCTTGTGATCTTTCCAGTTTTTAAATAAATTAAAAAGGAATAGTATATCTACAATTTTGTTTAAGCAAGCATACTAAATGAATCTAATTTTTATTGTAGTTATTTAATTTAACTTAAATTTGCTGGAAATTTTAAAACAACAGCAAAAAACGCTGTATTTGTGTTTATAGTAAAATTTAATAAAATGGGAGTAACTTGGATTTTTAAATGCTTTTCCTTTTAAAATATCAATTTTTGAATTCTTGAACTAATAGGTGAATTGGAGGAAACCCTACCAGATTCGCAATATTTACACTAATAATAACTTAAAGATGAAAGTAATAAAGACTGGAACAAATGAAAAGAACTTCTTTTTAATAACAAATTCTTTGGAATTTAACAATTCATTTGCAATTTTAATAAACCAACAATGAAAAATTGAGGTCAAACAATGCAATAATTTGAGCTGGGAATTAATTAGTTTTGTTATCCCTGGTGAGTGCAAAGCAACTAATTTTCACGAAGATGCGAAACATCAACCTGTGCTGTTTGTTGCTGATAATTCCCGGAACGCTCCTGTGGATCGGGGATGCTGCCTCTGTGCGCCGCGATACGCAAACAGTCCAACAACTTTCCGACCTGGGACGCGAGCGAAACAATGACGTGGGAAAACTGCAGGATGCGAGCCGACGAGGCAGCGGAAGAAAAAATAATTACCGCGATGATAAATTGTTATTAGCGAGTGGCGGCGGAAAGTGGCCCCGCGAGGCTGTGCAGCCTCTGACCTTTGAACTGGACGACGAGCAACCGGAAGAGTCCTTTGATGACTACGCAGTTTTGGAAAAAGAGTTCGTCAGGCAGCAAAAGGAGGCGAGGAAAAAGTTGGAAAAGACTAAGGTGGCCCGTGAAAGTGACGACCGGTGCACGGGCCTCTTTTGCCATATTTCCAAGAAGTTCTCTTTTCTGTCAATACTCGTTAGTTTGATGATCGTGTTTTGGTGCTATTCAGGTGAGCAAAATATGAGGGTTAAAAAATCTTTTCCCCCCATTATTTTGGATAAATTCATAAATTTCTTAAATTAATTTATGCCGATTAATGCTAAAAATCAATAATTTATTGAAATAATTGTAATATATTTTTTCGTTAGATATGCTGCACTATAAAATTGTTTTCTTTTTATCTAAAAAATTTTATTGCTCAATTAAGGTTTTCAGGTCGTTTTATGCTTGATATTTTTAGGTTTTTTTTAAATTTAAATTATGAAATCAAATAATTTAGATTATTTTGTGGCAACAAATCACAAATTTGAATTGCACAATCAAAATATATGATGAAAATTAACAAATTGATTAGAAAAAATTTCCTTTTTATATTTTTATTTTTTTATTCAAAATATTTTAATTTTAACAATAACAGGACTGATTTGTTACTACCTGCCCTGCGGTTGGATAAGTCGGCCAAAAATTCATAGGAAGATCCGTGAATACCTCGAGCGCAACAGACCAGGCTTTATGACCGACGCCAGTGGCCAAGTGATCGACCAATATGAACCGACCTTGCGAGAAATAGCGATTTTTCAAGAGCTACAAGAAGATTTTCAAGATTTGTGACCAGCACGCATACCTTTTGCCGGCATCTCCTCTTTTCTGCGTGAATATATCAGATTTGCAAGGGTTGCTTTGCTCCATGACTATTCAAATAAACCCATTGAAATGAACCCTATGTGTATCAAACGGTTGCCTAGATACGGGCGTTTGAACAACTTCGATACGTGGCTTTCCTTTCTATTCAGTGCACGTGCTGGGCACTGCTGTGAATGGAAAACCAGCGCGCATCTTATAAAATATTGACTATGCGGTGTGTTCATTACAAAATGTTGCTTCTCGTAGTATGAAAGGTCCTAATTAATTTTCTTGAGAATCAATTAATCCTTCTGTATATACATCTGAAATTGCATTTCATTTCAACATCAACAGCGTGCTTCATTTCTCAATAATTAACATAAAAAGGAAAAAATTTTGCTAAAAGTAGCTAAAAGATTAATATTGTGATTGAAATATTGCGAGAAAAAAATTATAAATCTCTGTGAAAAAAGAAAATGAGATAATAAGTTGATTATCATAATTTTACTAGCCTGATCAGTTTTTTTGAAAGTTTTTGCTCATTTCCACAAGTGAATTCTTTGCTCTCCTTTTATTAAATTTGCTGACTTCTTACCTTCGTAAGCTTTTAAGTTGTTGCTTTGATCTCACGCAAAACAACGCGAATTTCTGATTTTCAAGTTGTGATATAAGTTTACGTCAAGGATGTAACAAACAATGCGTAATTGCGATTCCGAAGCAAGATATTTGCATCATCCAGAGCAGAGTGCTCTTGAAAACAACTTTATGACTTAATTAATTGCCGGTCTTGGGGAATTGAGGAGCATCTTTTAGGAGTTTGAACCCGAGAAGGCAGACATAACTTCAGTTAAGGTAGGAAAAGGGTATAAAACTCTTAAATACTGCATCATTAAATTTTTATATTGTAGCTAATGCTAGACAATCAATACATGAATTTTGTGACTATCTTTGATAATTAGTGTGCCCTTATCCCTCATGATTTAAGTATGATAAGTACATTGATATAAGGCAATTACAATTTTAAAAGATGTTTTTAAATTAAATAAAATGTAAAAAATTAACAAACAAAATATACTGATATATAAATTAAAAAATGAAGTGGTAAATATGTATTTATATTAAATGAAAGATAAATCTAAAAAAAAAATCTGCCTTATACTCATCGTCAGTTATTGTTCCTCAGTAAAAATGATTAAATTTATATTGCACAATTTTGGTGCTTTCAGAAGATTTTTGTCTGTCTACTTAAGCAAATAAAATTCTTGCTGCTGAACTTTAAAGTGTCAAGTTTTATTTCGCTTTTCATACAAGATCTGGTAAATTGTTTGAAGTCACTCAATTTGAAATCTGCTCTTCGTGTTTCCCGTTCTGGGCCTTCTTGCTCTCCATCACTTTGAGGACACTTTTCTCGATCGGCAACTTCTCGTCCAGCGAAACCTCCAAGGCCTTCTTCATCGTCTCGGTGCTGCACGTCTTCAGGTCGTAGGCCCAGCCGAGGGCTGCATACTGTTGGATCAGCCAGGTCGTCCAGTCGTCGCCGTAACTTCCATATTCGCTGGTCTTGTAGTCCCAAGGGAAGAGGTAGTGATAGTCGGGCCATCGCGAGCGTCGGATGAAGAAAACTTGGTTCGAGTCTGCCTCGTTTCTGAGAAAAAAAAACACGCGGCTCAAATTAGTTGTATTATTCCTCAGCCAGACTACTGATCAAATTAGAGAGAGATCCGGGCTTTGTGCAAAACAACTCCGTGGAATAATTCCCGCTCACTCAAAGACTTAGGATGCTGGTGCACGTTTGAAGATTTAATAAAGCAGCTCGCATTTACGTGGCAGGCCCAGGCACCTGTCTTATGCTATATTGAATTGACGGAACGCAATTCCTTACGAATGTGAGCTTGAAATTTTTTATCGATACTAGCATATTGAAATGAAAGATGATCTGAGCGAGAATGAATTTGAGAGAAGCTTATAAAAATTCAAATCAGAAACTGATTTGAATTTTTTTTATTCAACTCTTGTTTTTTTATTTTTTTTTTTATTGTAAGATGCTGCAAAAAAAGATGCTGTTTAATGTCATCATAAATGAGAAAAATATGATTTTCTTATTTTAAATAGTATTATTATTTGGAATTTTGCCATTGTTATCACATTCATTAAAATTTTGCAATCTTAATAAATTGTAAATTTCAAAAAAATTATGCAAGACCAAGCAATGAAGCAAGACTACCAAAAACTGTAAAAGGTTTAAAATTTAAAGTATTTGAATAGCAAAAATATCACTACTGATATATTCCTAGTTCCTTAGCAACCCTTCCAACAAGAACAAAAATTAAATATTTTTCAGTATTTTCATTTTTTTTCCACCGTAGACAAGGGATCATGATGAAATTTCCCGTGGAAATGCACGATGAAAAAATTTAAAAATCAATTAAGGGAAAATAATTATGAAATAAACGGAAGTCTTCGCTTAAAAATGTTTTTCACTCACTGATCGTGTTTCAGCCCGTAGAGCAGAGGTCCGCTAGTGACCAGCCAGGCGTAGTGCAGCACTATGATGTGTCTGATGGCGCCGACGATGCATAGTGAGGTGATCAGTGACTCGTCCCAGTACTCGCACGGCGCGTTGATGGGCAGCAGGAACGCGAAAACGGGCATCACGAACCAGTAGAGCCGTTTCTGCCACATGACCACCGAGTCAGCTTCGAGGTCGCTCATGTCGACGGCCTCCTTGGCCGCCTCTTGGTCTGGCCGCCGCTTGACCATTTTGTTGTTCAGGTGAGCGAACCAAAAGCCGCGACTAGCGTCATACGGGTCAAGGGCGGTGCCCCTCACCTGGTGGTGAAACCTGTGCTCCTTCACCCAGTCATAAACGCTGCCCTAAAATAAAATTTTTATATCAAATTTAAATTACAGCAAGAAAAAAAACGAGTTAAAAATATTAAAATTTTCTGATTAAAACAAAAATAGTATTATACTTTTTTATCTTATAAGATATATGTATGTTTTTCATTTCACTTTTCATTCATCATTATCAGTCAGCTAGTATACCAATAAATTGTTGTTTTACTATAATATAAGAACTTTAGTTTCGCTAAACAAATAATTATGAGCTTTATTCAACTAGAATTGATGATATTGATTTTGGTACATTTCATATTCATCCTCTTTTAAGGCCGTGTCTGTATTCAGTTCGTGATTAAATCCCTGAGGAAATACAAGATAATTTAATGATACTTGGTAAATTAAAAAAAAATCTATGTTTTTTTTTAGTCAAGCAATAAGTTCCTGTTAATTGAATGTTGCTTGAGGAATAATCTGGCCTTCGTTTCTGTCTGAAACAAACAAATTATCAAAATTTTATAACTGTTTCTTTGATTACATTATAATGAATCAATGAAAAATGTGGAATGAGCAGATCAGTGTAGAGAATAGATCTAAATCATTTTTATGATCGGAATTTAAATTTTACTTGCTGTTTGTTGATAACGGCCTTATTTTCATTAGACTAGGACTTAATTTTTACCCTTTATAAGTTATTAATAACTATTTTTACTTTGACGACTAATTTTGAGAAATAATAGGAAACTTATTATCATATCTTACAATTAATACAAAAAATATAGGTATTATAATATAATTTTTGATAGTCTAACTAAAATCATAAAAACAAATTAATTTTTTGTTTTGCAAAAATTAAGAAAATTGTGACACAATTTCTGTTTCAAATCAATCTGATTGCCAGCCCTGCGTGGCAGAGTGGAATGTTTGTCGTAGGGCCGTAGTTCCATAATTAGTTTATTTGAAACCATGCCGGCAGCAATCAGAACTTCATCTCGCTGGGTGCTCTAGTGAGTGGATTTCCGGCACGGCCGATGCTACTATATTTGCTTCCACGTTCAATGATTCTCAATATAAATCCATATTTACTTATGCATTTATCATTAATCTGAGGTACATACGAAGGGTCACATGTCTACTTTGCCTACTGCAGTGGACAAACGCAGAACATAAATCTGAGAGTGGCAAGCTGGCCATGCCTTGTTGGCTCCCCAATGGGACCAGATACGATATATCTCGGGCAGTTCGGGATTCAGAATTGGATTAACGGACAGCGAAAGGGGCTGCAACCGAGTTTCCATGTAAATTAGGTCGTGCGGTCGGTAGCTCCGGATGAATTCATTACGCGCAAATATAGATAGTCCAACCGGTGCAGGTTGAGGATTTGCGGCTGGCGATTATAATAAAGTGGCACAGCTAATTGATTGAGAGTGAATATGCAACCTGCTCGGCGTGAGTGCCCTTCAGGCTGCATAATTCCATTCTTGAGTACTTTCTATGAGGAAACCCAGTGATAATTAACATAGATTAATTGCGTATGTTTTTCACCTAAAATAGACAATATAAATAAATCCTATAATGAATTTAGACAGCAAGCAATATGTACAATAATTGATTCTTTATTAAATTGGGAAATTGATAATTTAATAAATTTTATTATAAATATATGTAAATGTATGTAATTGCATTACATTAAATATCATATATAATCATCCATAATGAAATTCGGAAAGTTATACTTCTTTAGATTAAGTAAATAAAATTGATAGATGACCATTGATTTTCACATGTTTTGTAAAAAAAAAAGAATTTGTTATAATTAAATAAAAATGTTCTGATTTTCAGAATAAAGTTATTTATTATTTATAAAAAATAAATTTAAAAAAATTTAATTTGAAAATAATAAATAAAGAAAATTGGTTAAAATTTTATTATAATACAAAAAAATACCTTATTTTATACATAACTTACTACTAAATTTTTTTTACTGTTTATTTTGTAAATCTTAAATGTATTTAATTATGTAATAAACAGTATAAATGATAATGATTTTTTATCATTTGTTTCTTGATGCTTACCTGACCGACAAAGGTGTGTATAGCGACAATCAATACTTTTAAGGGTGTGGCGGCCTCGAAGGCTCTGTGTGCGAACAGCCGGTGCACCAGGGTTGTGCTCAGTGGAACCACCAGGGCTAACAGGAGTGCTGCGAATTGAAAACAAAACTCGTGCCAGTAAAGTTTGCACAAATCGCTTGCGGAATCCCTATGCAGATCAGCAGTTTGATTGGAAATTTCCGATATTTCCATCGAATTCAAGCAGGGGGAAAACAGCCAACTTTTGCATGAGCATATGAAACTCATTCCACAGGAGTGTCGGAATGCAAATTGCGAAGGGAATGCGCAGTCTTTGTGATTTAGTCGCAGGGGAGATTTATTTTTATTTGAAAAAAGTCCAACGTCGATGGCGACACATACTTTTTATTCTCCTAAAACGCATTTTGTGTTCTCCTTTGGGTTTTTTAATGCACAAAAATTTACTTATCTTTTCCCTCACGCGTGGAGAGTCATGCGCAACGTACACTTTTCCTATAATGAGATGCTTTGAATCCCGGAAGCATTTGCGAAAAAAATATAGTACTTGTGCGTTTTATCTCTGGCGTATATTTTCAGCGGGAAAAGCAAATAAACGGGGATTGAAATGCGAGGAAAAACATTCAAAGTGTTGCACTCAAATGAGTTGAAAAAAAATCGTGAAAAAAACATTTACTTTATAAATTATTCATTACTTCCTGAAAAGCAACTGAAAAAATAAAATCCAAATTGTTATCACACTGAGAGAACGAATTAAATTTTCACTCAACTGGAGTTTTAAAATGTGATTTATGGCAAAATTTTTGTTTGAGCATTTTATAACTGAGATTATACGCGTAGACCGCGTAGTTATGCAATGATGTTATATTGGAGAGATGTCTCGGCGAGATAAGCGATCACAAGATCAAACAATTAATCGTATCATATCGCACCTCGTGATCAAATAAAAGCTTTTACGGAGAGGCGACTTGAACGCGTTTCTTTTTAGTCCACGCGGTGGGACTGATTTTAATTCCAATTGCAAAGTCAGTGGCTCGCATGCATTATTAATTAGTGGGCAATGACTTGACAAACAGCGGAGAGCAGTCTAGAAAAAAAACGTAAAGCGTGCGTGCATTGGTTCATAAAAGTGAAATCAAAATGAAATTTTATATATATTGGAACTGTTGAATTAATTAATTAAATCTAAAACAAACTGGTTTGTCAATTAAAATTTAATTGAAATTTGAGCTGGGAGAGAATAAAAGACATATAATTAATTTGACTGAAATATAAATGTAATCATTAAACATTTCGAATGGATAATTACGTCAACCGAAATAATTGGAACTGACAAACGAAAACAAGGGTTGCTTTCTTTTTTTAATGAAAGGCACGCCCCTTGAATATTAACGCAATTATTCTACCCGACGACCCTCCAAACGACCCCAACTTGAAAATCTACAACGTACGCTTACCTATCAAAGTGGTGCAGATGGCGGCCTCGGTGAAAATAAGTCCGACTCCATAGGCGGCCGCCAAGTGCAGGTAGATATAGAACAACACATTAAGCCAGTGGACGTTGATGCCCGGGGGTGGCGGTTGGGGGTTGCTGGTTTGCGGCGACATCGGAGCACGACGCGGAGGCCAGCTCATGCAGCTCAAAAGTAAAGTCCGTACGAGGAGGGTCTGCCGGACGGCCAGGGTCGTGGGAATCGCTCGGGTCAGCGAGACAATGCGTGATTGGCCGCCTTTGTGATTTTCCTGCCTTTGCTGACCGGTGCAGTCAGTTAGACAAATTTGGTGTATAAAAAAAATTATTATAAAAATTGAAAATATATTATCAGCCTTATTTTGTTGTAGCAAAAATCATGGTAATTTTATTTATGATTTTTTTCTGACATAGAAATCACACATTTTTGCGCAAACCGACTAAAACTGTTATTAATTTCAGCACGCAATAATATTTTTCCTTTTATTTCTCTAATTATTAAAATTCTTCCCAAGCTTCGTTGAAAGAATATTGTATAAAATATACCTTTATTGTGCTTATGGTGTTTATCAGTTTATATCCACTGCAGAAAAACTTCATCCACTCCTAATTTAAATATAACACACTTTATTGACCTCAAATTTTTCAGATTTAGTCCAAAGGTTAACTTTTTAAGTAAACCCTCTGTAAACACTTTCCCTAGAATACATCAATACTCTCTATTATCAAGGCAAATGCTTGTATAGTCACATTCAGTTTTTATTTCATGTTTTTTTACAACAATCAATAGAGACTGTTGGGCACTTTAGAATACATCAGAAAAATATCCAGATAAATTATAATACTTTAAACGCGTTTCAAGTCTTTGAAAATATAAGCACTCAGAATATTCAAATGCTCTCCAACAAGAATAAACTTAACTTTTAAATTCAAAATACTGTCAACATAAAAATCTGAGAGTTGTTAATCCTACTTACACGCAGTCGAATGCAATTCGTCAAAATGCAAAAACCTTCCGCACTCAAACAAAAGGTCTAATCAATTCTGGCACGCGTCAAGGCACACATGATCAACTCCTCTTTAGGCATGTCTTTGTCACCCCAGCCCCAGATGCCCGGACGTTCGCTGCCGTCCCCCGTCCGGTCCGCACGCCGCTGCACCAGAGAGGCTGGAACCGCCTTCAGGTCATACGCCCAACCGATTTTGGCAAAGTAGTCGATCAGCGACGTCGAAGGGTTCAAAGGACGGCCCAACTCGCCGGTCCTGTAGTCGTAAGGGAAGACATGGTGGTAGTTGTGCCACCCTTCGCCCAGGGCAGCCAAAGACACAGCCATGTTCTCAGTAGGGCTTATATTCCTATGAACAAAAGAAATTGGTATTTTAAATTTTTAGGTTTATTGGAAAAATTTATAAAAATGTTATTGGAATTTTTTACTTTTATGAATACACAATAAAAAATATAAGAAAATCTGATTATTTTCATTTAATCATATTTCATTAAATCATTAATTCATATTTTTACGCAAGCCTTATTTACGTACAAATCTTTATTTACACGGATATTTAAATCTAACAACATACATCATCGTCGAAAATAATACACAAAAGAATTCTTAACTCTCTACTAATTGTAAGCAGCAGATTTTTCAATAAAAAACAAAAACTGAATCCCCGTTATCATCACGTCCACTTCTTCCCTTTACTAAATCATCGTGTAAATCTCATTTCTTGCCATTTTTTATTATCTTTTGTCCATTTTTTTCTTTTTGGTATAGATTTTTGTTCCTTTTGAGAAGATTTATCTTGTTACGAACTGATTTATTTTCCCCCTAGCACCAATAAGTCCTACCAGGTGAAAGACAAGCACCAAATTGCGGCTTCAATAGAACTCTCCCTTGAGCCTCTAACACCACGGTCGCTCTTCTGAGCAGCAGAAACAGAAAGTCACCGAGTGTCCGTGACAGTTTACTCGAAACCCCAAGCCATATTTCGGCTCCTTTCTTTTTTCATAATAAGATTTTTGTCCGCCGCAAAAACCTTTTCCACGCTTTTCCTTTTTTCTTTCGTTTAGCAATTCAAACAGTTGTACGGCGCCATGTGGTCGGTTTGTCGGCGCTGCGAGTGGCGTTTCTCTTTAGCACACCCGAATAGAAACAGCCACCAAGATGACACACACGTACCGCCACGTTTCCAGTAGAAGTGCGCACCGCAATCTGGTCGTGCAAAGTGCGAGACTCAAGAAGATCATGCACGCTCATGGAAATTGAATTTTAAGCAGACGGAAAACGTTTGAAAAAAAAATAACGTGGGAGGTAGTGAAAAATAATACTTTTAACCAAAATTTAAAAATTAGAAACACATAATCTGTATCTTATAATTTGTGTTCTTATACATCAGAATTTTTTTACTTTAATACTGTTTTTTTTTTTACTAATGTATAATTAACTATAAAACTTTAAAAAAAAAAAATGCGTGCAATATTGACAATATTGTGTTTAATTACAAAAAATGTGTGTACATTTTTTTAAAATATAATTAAATCGACTTTTCGTGGCTCCCTGCACTTCTAATAAACCTCCGCATCTTATGTTAAATTGTTTCAATATTATTATATTATTTTCTATTCTTTATATTTAAATTTATTTGGAAATTTTACAAATATATTTCCCTAAACATATTCAAATGCTTCAATTGATGAAGTCAAGGAAATATTGGGAAATATTGTTCCAATTTGTTTAACATAAAATTAAACAACAACACTCATTGTAATGTTCTTTTTTAATGCCAGAGGAGGAGACTCTTAGGGGATGACCGTGGTTTTCAAAGAGTGTTTGTTATTCCTTTCCAATATATTGCAACTTTTTATTCAAGACTGGAAGGTTCGCCGGCGCTGCCAAAGCAAAGGAAGCGATTTTGCTTTCCGCTTTTTCCACTCTCGGTTCGGGTAAAAGGCCATCTGAACAAACAGACTCTTTGCCGTCAATCGGCCCGGAAAAGCCACAGAACCCGTTGTGTTGTGCGTGTATACGTTATTTTCCCTTTTTAATTGGGGCTTGGTGGCGTTTTCGGACCACGGGTCGCACACGCCCTCGATTGTGCTCGGACTGAATCGGCGCGGAAACGTATTATTTGTCGAGCGGCTTCGGAGCACGAGAGCGAGTGGTTGAAAGAAAAAGTATAAGAAAAGCCGGGTCGAGGCAGACGGATTGTGAGTGATAGCCATGAAGGGCGGAAAAGTTCCTTCGCGCCACTTAATCCGAAGTGAAAGGGGCCAGAGAAGTTTCACCGACCGCGTTGGGAATTCGTATAAGGACTGCCAAATAATATTACACGTTCTATATCTTGCGGGGAAAAAATCAGTCTAAGCGCACGAGGAGAGAGAAAAGACTTCTTTCAGTGCTAAACGAGCTGGAAGAGTTCGTCATTAGGAAAGTTGTGGAAAAAATTAGGGACGGATTTTTCTCTGTAATCAGCCGGAAGTGCCTCGAGTTGACCTTAATTTCGAGTCAGATGCCGCAGTGCTGAATAATAATTTGCATAATCCGCAAGGATATATTCTTCTTCAGACCTCTTCAATGAGCATCCGGCAGGATCGCCAGAATTTTCCTAAAATTGGCGATTTGAGTATGTTTCCCAAAACCCAAAGGAAAAATTCAAGAAATAGTTTGATGACGGAAACTCCCAAAGTTGAAATTATGGCCAAATCCAAATAGTTAAAGGTTATGGGAAAAAACTTTGACCTAAAAGTGCCAATGGTTTTGTTTTATATATAAAATTACAAATAAAAATATCATTCATTTCAGATTAAATTTGGTCTTACTAATAAATTTTTTATGTCGAAAGCGAACTCATAAAAATGACGATAATTTTTTTTAATGAGGCACTTTTATAATAAATATTATGAAAATATTGTCATCGTTATTTGAACGTACGTATTAATTTTCTTTCGGACAGACGGTGGACCCCTGGCACCGAGAACCCTTGATTACAGGCAAATTGGCTCACAGAGAGAGCAGAGATTCAAAACTTTCTGACACGCCGGACCAGAGCCAGCAGAGCCAATGGGCAATCGTAAGTTTTAATTTTTAATTAGCAAAATTTCACCGAAATTCCCAGCAGAGAAACAGAAGGGCTTGGCACAAAAAATAATTTCTCCCTTCATATTTTCTGCTGCTGACATTCATTTTATGATCGCCGTAAAATTGTACACACCGTTCACAAGAACTGTGCGCAATAAAATTAAATAACACAAGAGGGCGATGAAAAGGGTTAAATTAATGAAAAGCCGTTCTCCGCGCATCCATCAGTTTTGCAAATTGTTTCCAGTTTTACTTCCTCTTCCGAGCACCGACGAGGGGTCATGAATTATTTTGTAGCAGAGAGAAAGGGCAGGATCACCTTTGTTTTGGCACCGGAATGATAAAAGTTCCGCTTTGTGTTCGCGAGAAAAATGATAGCATTCACGTGAGAGCTTAACTGCTGGTTGATTCTATACGCGCGCCTGAATGCGTGCCGAGAATTTTTATTTCATTTCACGCTCAGCAACTTGCGTATTAGCTAAATCACAGACATTTATTTATTATTAAAATTTAATTTAATTCAAATACAAACTAAAAACTGATCTGTAGCAATCCATTAAATTGAAAAATACATTTAGTGTAAAAATTTATTTGTATTTGTTTAATTATATTAAATTAATAAATTTATTCTAATTTTCTATTATTTAGTTTTTTAAAAAAAAATTTCATTTATGTATAAATTTAATGGTTTATTTGGAAATGTTTTAAGATTTTACAATAATTTATTTGTGCAATTTAATATACTTTTTGAATTGATGTGGTTAATAAAATGGTCAAAAGATACCCATGACAGGCCATTGCATTGAGTACAAAGTTTCCTTTATTGGAATAAATTTTATGAATTCGTATGAATATGAACTATGTATTGAAAAGATTAATATAATTATCATTCAAGATATGAAAACAATTTTTTTTATCAAACAATATTGATCAAAGGCAAAATATGAAGAGAAGCTTTTGGCCGCGGATTTATTGATCTTTCGATTTATTACGTTTGTTATTACTAGAAGCGTCTCCTGCAAATTAAGGTCAATCAGCGAAGCACATTTTTGCAACTCGCGTTGCTCACTTCGGTGGTGTCTCACTCACACGTAAATCGTTATCTTTGAGTGCTTTGCCGTCTCAAGTGGGTATTTATGGGGCTACGAATTCCGCGTGCTTATGAATCAACGCAACGTGAACACCTGTCTACGGAGTGATAATCGTTACGACAATTTGATAAATAATTTGGACTTTCAGCACTTTGACTCTCTGTGTATTAAGCGTAACGTCTTTAAAAGAACATTTTCAAAGACAAATAAGGAAAATTTACAACCTCGAAAAAGGCAATGAAACGTTTAGAAAGGGTCTGCAGCTGATAAAAAAAATATAAATTAAATTAATATGAGATTCTCAGAAATACCTAATAAAAGACACTTTTATGGTTGCGCTCAAACACTTCCTAACATAATTGAACTTAATTATTATTATTTTTTTTTAAACAAAAATTTTCTTGAATCTAATGAAGTTGAATTTATTTCCTTTAATCAGACTGCATTGAATTGTGTTGTGAATTATTATTGTTATATTTTTCCTTGATTTAAGTAAGTCTTAATGTTTTTTCAATATTACTTATGTTGTAAGCTGTGTCAAATATGCCCATTTAATAAGAATTTTTAAGGTTTTTAATTTTTTTTATCTGGGATATTATTCTGATTTATTCAAAGTGTAAAAATCAATCCAAGATTAAAAATTATGAATTGACACAATTAAAGAAATTTGAAAATATTTTAACTAAACGTAATTCTTAAGCAATCATTTGAGTCACAGTGAAGAAAAATGAATTCAAATTGAAAGTAAAAAACATAACAAAAATATTCCACAACTTGCGCTTTCTAGGAAACAATTAAAAAAAAATGAATAAAAAAAATAAATCAGAAATTTACTCACGTGTCATAGGGTTTGTTTCCCCACATGTGGGCGGCGCTGTTGACAAAGAAGGCGATGTTGAGGGTGGTGCAGAAGCGCAGGTTGAACATGACGAGGAAGGAGACCCAGAGACGTTCGCCCCAGCCGTAGTAGGGGATGGCGACGGGCAGGCCGATGGCCAGCAGGGCAAATAAGGGCACGTAGAGGCGGCGCTGCCACACAACGATGGGGTCAGCCTCGAGGTCACTCACGTCCACCTCCCTTCGGCGCTGCTCGACCTCAGGTCGCGGCGTCAGCACCAGCCAGCCGACGTGCGCGAACCAGAAGCCGCGACGCGCGTCGTGCGGGTCTGCGTTCGTCTCCGAGTACTTGTGGTGCACGCGGTGGTCCTTGGCCCACGTGAACGCGTCTCTCTGCACAAACAAACGGCGCCGTTAGAACGAATGCGAATTGACAAAAGTGACACATGCACTCGTAAATATGGGTTTAGTGAAATTTATCCGCCTGTCAACTTACATTGGCGAGACGTGATAATCAAGAGAGATGCGTCTCGAGAATAACAAATTAGTCTTTTATTGTTATAAATAAAATCCAATAATTTTAATGAAATTCGTTTATTGGTTAAAAAGAGAATAAATATCAGCAAATATTGTGAAATTATAAATTTTTTAATTTATGACGCGCCCATTGACACTTATTCCTCATAGAGTACCTCTCTTGAAAACTGAATAATAATTATTGGAATAGTAAAAAAAGACATGAACTCACTTGGCCGGTGATGGTGAAGAGGAACATGAGTATCAGGGACAATTGCCACTTGGCCTTGTAGGCCTTGTGTGACCAAAGTCGGTGGGCGCCGGCCGTGATTCCGAATCCAGACCCAATCACAAAGAGGAACGCTGAAAGTGAGTCAGGTGATGACGTCAGTCAAAGGAAAACATTGGAAAATAAGAGGAAAAATAAAAGATGTTACACAAAAGCCAAAGGGAACAGAGAGACGCAGCTGTGTTTGTCTGCAAACATGGCCCTGCCCTATTCTACCACACGCAAGAAAGATAATGCAGAAAACAATTGCATATTTTTTTTCTTATTAATTTGGCTCATTCATGTCAAGTACTTGTTTCTACATGAAATGTGGAGATTAATTTCTAGTGTTTGTGAGAAGTTAATAGAATTGAAAATTTTTATTTGTAGTTAACATTTTAACACGATTTTAATATTGATTTGTAAAACGATCAAATATTTTTATAAAATTTTGATGTGCTAAGGGTTTAACCAGAAAGTATTTTTGTTTTATTCTCACAAACTTTTTCCTAACCAAGTGTTGTTGTAATAAATTTCTTTAAAATATTTATTATTTTAATTTTAACGCTTTTACATTCATACTTTAAAATTGGAGTATGTAAAATGAAAAAGAAATAGTTGCTGTGAAGTTTATTTTTAGTGTGATTAAAATTAATTAATTAAGCACCTAATCATATTTAAAATTAAAGTTTAAACAATTTGTAAGTGAGTGAAAAATAAAAATTTTATGAAATCATTTAAAGTTATAATATACAAGTTCTTCACCGCTTCCTGTCAGGGAAATTTAGTGAGATAAGAGGCTTATTTATCCTTTGGTAAAAATAACGTAAACTTGCCAGAAAAGGGCGTGCTCAAGTATTATTTTTTTCGTTATCTAATATCAACTCTCCAAAGCTCTCTTTCCTGCTGTGCCTCACGTTCAAAATTAACACATAAAATATTCAAAAGGCACCGGGGCTCTCTATATTGCCTTTTTGTAGTACACTACATTTGCTCGATGGAATCGCCGCCGTGAATAATAAATGGAACACACACAACAATCAATGAGGCGTGCCAACATTAATAATAAATAGCAGACACTTGGACGTCTCGAAAAACTTCTGCTAACAATTTGATTTTGATTCGAGCCAAAGAGGAAATGATTCCATCCATTAAATAATGACACGCACAGTGAGAGAAAGAGTAAAAAGTGAGAGTGCCGCTTCAGGAAAAAAGCAAACACAGCTTGAAAAGGCATTACTCGTAGTCTAAACAACGAGAGCAACAACATTAACCATCAGCTCGGGGCTGAATATTTATTTTCCAACCGATATTCTCTGATGTACAATCCATTACATACAGGATTGTTTGTTCTGCTCTTGTCAACAGAAGGGAATGATGGGCATATTTTTGCAATATCAACAAGCACGTACAAACAAAACAGAAAGAAAAATGTGTATAACAAAAAAATAAAAAATAAATGCAATCAACCGCAATTTAATATATAATTTCAGGGTCAATTGACAAAAAAAAAATAGGAATATAGATAGACTCTTAAACACGAAGTCTTCTATTTGTATATAAGATTAAATTACTAACTTAACTGAAACAAAAAGAAATACAAACAATAAACAAAATTATTAAAGAAAAAAATTTTAAAATATAGTGATTGAAATACACTTATTAAATATTTAATATTTTTTTTATAAATTTATTTTTTAAATTTTTAGAAATAAATTAAACTGATAATATACTAAGGCCAAAGGGAAAATGAACATTCAATTAATTTATTTTCTCGCAATAATAAAAGTCTACTCTCAAGACATATAAATAAAGAAGTATGGATTATGTAAATTTGTTTTTTATATTTCTATGAGACATTATAAATCAATGTCATTGATTTTTAATTATATTGTTTCAGGAACCGCATTATATAATCGCTATAACTAATTTGACGTTACTAGTTAATTAGTGCTAGTTTAATTATTCCCATTAAAATATCCGCTTTATTGTTTTAAATATTTTAGTAAATTTAATAGGATTAAGTTCTCAAAAGTATAGATTCAGCTTTAATTCAATTCGATTGAAAACACGTGCTAACCTGCGAGTAGCGTTCGGTGGTCGACCCATCCTGCGAGCACGAGCAGCAGTCCGGCGAAGGCCCCCAGGTGAAGGCCCACCTGGACGCAGAGGTCGGGCCATCGGATGCGGGCCGAGAATTCGTCGTCCTTCTCCACCATCCTGCAACACTCGTGAGTTACTTGCTCATGTTCCCCCGAGAGCAGCCGCCAAATCCTTCGAGATAAAACGGCGGCGGCCGGCGAAGAGTCACGTGACCACCTGTGGTTGGTGCTCACACCGCTCGCTCTAGTCCCGAAGAATAATTATACATTCGAAGAAAGACAAATGAAAACATAACGCGAGGGGTGACGTATGCAGGCCTCCCCACCGCGGGAAGCCTTGGCTTTTTTATTAGTTTGCTGACGAGATAAGGCGAGCAAGGGAGAAAAAAGCTCAGGGGATTTATTTCACTCCGGTGCTTGTTGATTTTGTATTATCGCTCGCAATGAAAAGGAAAAGTAGTGCTATCGGAGCGCCAGCGAGCTAGCGAGCAGCTGACTTCACGCTTCCGATCGAAACGGGTCACCTGCGTTTACTGTACTTTTATTCCAATCATGTGACAAACTGATGAACACCTTGTGACTTTACAGTTGATTTTAATTTGAAAAAAATAATAGAGGTCATGGAAGATGATTAAAAACCTCATTGATTGAGCAAAATTTTGCATTATAGATTAAATTCAAATTTTTTTTAATGTTTAATAACACTTGTCATATTAAGGCAAGGTGGAAAAAAAATAATTAAATTTTGTTTATTTTGCTGTATATATAGATAAAAAAGGATATCTTCAAAGTTCAGGAGCTTTCAATTTGAAAATAATATTTTACGATTGATGAAGAATTATTAAAACATAAAAACATTCAAAAAGGTAAACCTCACCATAATGAAATAATAATATTTTTAATATTTAATAAAATTTCCACCACAGCGGTTTCATTTTAGTTAGGGAGATTTTCACACAACCAGTTGAAATAGACATGTTATCTTGATGTCCTGGATCAATTTAATAGCAATTAAATGGATTTGCTATATACATATACTGGCTTGTATTTGCCATAAGCACGAAGGAAGAATTTACATAAAATTCGATCAAAATTTAACTATAAATACAAACCCTTTGAAAATATCAATAATTATATTTTGGCGTAAACTGAAATTGATTTAAAAAATAAAAAACAATCCAATCTTTTGAATCATTTTAATAGGTTAAAAGACTTAAAAGTGACTGATGGCGAGAGTCGGAGAGTCTGTCATATCTTTTTGGAAATACCAATTTACTCATTTTATAAATTTATTTTGGATTTATAATTAAAGGAAATGAACAAATATTTAATTTGTATACATGGGAGCTTGTGTCTTGTGTTGAATCCAATAAATAATATCATTTTATCTCAAGTTGTTGAATTAGATATTGTGTGATATTCTGTCGTAGATAGGACTGTGACGTATGTGTTATATAAAGTATGGTATTATTTACACTATTTTTGCTTCTGGAAAAGTCTAGAGAGTCGCTATTTGTAATAACAGCGTTCACCCCTTCCTCAACTTCTTTTCCCATATGCTTAATTTCTAATTTTGTACCATGAGTACGTCCGGTTGTTTTGTGATAAGAAATTCACTCACAGGAACTTGTTTAACAAGCGTTTACGTGTTTTACTTAAAAAGGTGAGCTTGCAGTTTTACTTTTAGTTATTTTCAGAAATCGCAATTTTTGCTCGTTGACATTCCCGGATGCTTGCTGGTGTTTGCAGCAGTCAACCCTTAAAAGCGCCCCTAAAAGCACCCCGTCGGTCGAAAGGATCAGATTTCAATTGAGAGTAGCACAGGGCGAAGAGTTATATACACTCTCCCGATAACAAACTTTGGCGAAAAGATTCTCGGAATTATATTCTATAGCTTTTCCAAACTCAATCTGCACATTCCTGTATCAGATATTAAGCGTGTTACATAACTTTTTTTTATAACTCTGCGAAACTCAATCCGTTGAAATAATGCACAGAAATTTCCTGGTCCTGGTAGCAATCAAAAGCTTCATTTTATTTATAATGAAAGCGGAATTTCCAGATAAAATTCCCTCTGGGTAAATTGAGTTAAAAAATAAATAAAAACTTGCAAATTTCAAACCAGAAAACAATTTATGTGTAAATTGAGCTAAAAAATGCTATGAAAGTAAAAAGTTTCTGAATTTGTTGTTTATTATTAAAAAAAACACCGGTTCCTGAAATAAGTATTTAAAAAAAGTTTTGATTTTCTAAATATAATTTTTGTTTCAAATACCAACTTCATTAATGAACCCTTTTGACAGATACTAAAAATTTAGACAATTATGTGTGTGCAGGTTACGCACGTGCCGATTTTAGGAGGGCCGCAGACAAAGTGCTTATTTTTACAATCACCGGGGACAGTATAATTAGAAAAAAGGGTCAATGGGCGACGATCGAGACAAAGGAAACAAATACGTACCCTCGCGACGCCAAATGTGGTGTATGTGTGCGTGTGTTTTTTTATTTTCGTTTGTTTTGCCAGCGAGCTTTGCAAAGGCGAAAAAAGGAGAAACCACCCCCGCTCGGTTTGGTGGTGTGTTTGCGATTGATCAGTCACGTACATTTGCGCCCCTCGGGGCGTGATTTTATCTATCGCGCGCTACACTGCAAATAGATATATGTGCAGGTCGGGTGCGTGTGTCGCGGGCATGCACATATCAATCCACCTGTCGGCCGCGCGAGCCGGTGCCGCGCCGTCAGGTGGCGGCCCCTGCTCACCGCTCGCGGCCAAACGCCCAACTCACAGCTTATCGTGAGCACCAAATGAGCACCACCAAGCGACACTTTTATTACTACATCTAGAAATTGTTTTCCGAGCACCACAACTCTTCACCAGTCAAGTCAATATGGTATAAATTATATGATGTAATTATTTCAAAACTATTTGGTGGGACATAGTAGTGAATATAAATATTAATTCTGAAAAAATTTTAGTGTTTAAGTAAATGTTTTATAATAAAAAAAATTAAGGTTGATTTTTATTTGAAACTGACAGTGAGATTGAGCTTAAATTTAGTGCTATGCTAATATATCAATAGCTTTTTGTGCAAACAAATCATTTGTCTATTCTAGAAATAAGTTATAAATTTCAAAATTAATTTTGTATGTATGTGTTTATTGAACGCCAATGGCGTGCGACAGGTTACATAAAATAAATACATCATAATATAATAAACATTAAGAAGGCAAAAACGTCATTTTTTCCATTTAACTTTTGAAGCTTCAATAAGAGACATGTCATTTTTTGCGCATTTGAGGAAGTGATAAGTGTCCATCTGCTGGTTACACTTTTTGCACACGCAATTTTCTTGAGCACTCGCGTGGTAATTTTTAGTCCGGCACAATACATAGTGAAAACCGTGACATGCATATCGGGTGAAAACGTGTCGATTTTCAAAGCAAGCTGTTTTCCAGTTTTGGTCGATCATTGCTGGAGTGTCAAAGAATTTTAAGTTTATTTCGGCTATTTTAAAGGATTGATTAGTGAAAAATTTGTCATAACTTTCGGTTTCGGGGAGACAATATTTCTCTCGCAGATCCTCGATGAAAGAACTTGTGTCGGCTAATGCATATGTGTATCGAGATTTTATATGTTTGGAGAGGGAGAGAGCTTTTTTAAGGAAGCGTGATTTAACTGTTTCGAGGTGCTGAAGATCATTTAATGATAAGTACGGCCAAAGTGCTTCTATTCCGTAGCTTGCAACGGGGGCGATAGCGAGATCAAAGATTTTCAGGGCGGTTTCCATGGAGGCCTTTGGGAGCGAGTCGAGTTTGGATAGTGCGAAGATTGCGGCTTTAACCTTTTTTGAAATATGTTTTGAGAAAGAAACACCGGAAGATTGGAATTTAACACCTAGGTAAATAAAATCAGAAACAAATTCGATTTTCTCATTTTCTATTAATAATTCGTCTGAAAGCTTAAGCCGGCCCTTTCCCTTGTTGCGGAATTTTAATATTTTGCTTTTGTCGGCATTTAGCTTTAAGCATCTTTCGGCTAAATATAAAACAAGCTTGTTTAGGAAGTTTTGAATATCTTTTAGATTTGTAGAGAGTAGCAAAATATCATCAGCATAGATTAGAAGTTTTATTGATGGAAAGTCTTTTAAAATTTCGTTGATGTTAAAAATTGAGAAAATAAAGAGGAGAGGCGATAGGCTACACCCTTGTTTTACCCCGTTAGATTGAACTATTATTTCTGATAGTGCCACCCCATCCCATACTTGAAGAAAATTGATGTCTAGGAATTCTGCCATTAAGTTGAGCTCCTCAAAATTAAGTTTCTTGGTGTCAATTAATTTTTTAAAAATAAATTTTCTGTCAATAGAGTCAAAAGCTTTTTTGATATCGAGAAAAAGGGCGTAAAGTGGCGTTTTAGAATTATAAACTGAGTCCTGTATTTCGTCGACTAAATGTTTAATCGCTTGGATCGTGGATCTTCCTTTGACAAACCCGAATTGATTTTCTGGGATTTCATCTGCCAAGTACGAATAAAGTCGGTTTTTGAGCACTCTATCTAAAAGGTTAAAAGTTGAGCAGCTTAAACTAATACCCCTGTAATTATTCATTTCAGAAGTATCCCCTTTGCCTTTGAATAATAGTTTTAAATTTGCTGTTTTCCATGAAGTTACCAATTTTCCTTTTTCAAGGCATAAATTAAAGAAAGCTGTAATTTCTGGGAGGAGCGGTTCGCAAATGTTCCTCAGAGTCCCGTTAAACAGTGAGTCCGGACCTGGTGCTTTGTTTATTTTTAATTCTTTTAAGGCTAGTTTAATTTCATCTTCGAGGAAATATTTAAAGTTTTCAGGTTGTGGGTAGTCCCTTAACATTGACTTAAGATCTAATGAATCTGTTTTATCTAAGCCCTTTACATTGAGAATGTGTTCGAAATTTTGTTGCCAGTCGAGTAAAGATATGTCATTTGCTACGTAGTTTAATTTTTTGTCCACACTTAAAAATTTATAGCATCGCGACTCTGCCTCTCGAATTAACTTTTCATCCCTTTTTTCTTGTGCGGCTTTCTTTTTGGACGCGCAAAGTTTCCTGTAATATTTCTTAGCATCGTGAAATATACCTAAAATTTCTGCATAAAACTGCGATTGATTTGGAAGAGATTCTAATTCGTCGCTAAAATGTTTTAGAAATAGCAAGTCTTGTTTAAAGAGGTAGCATTCTGTGTCAAACCAGGGTTGACTTATACGGGCGTGCGGCGGTGATTCTGTTGTGCATTCGTTGACTAAGTGTAAAATATTTTCATAAAACTTTTCTATGTTCTGATTTAAAATACAAATTTTAAGTTCTTCCCGAAAGTTGTTTTCAATCATTTCGTTTATCTTTTCGTAGTCAATTTTCTTTTTAGTGTTATTTATTGTTTTAAGGCTGTTTAAATTAGATATTTTAAAATGAAATTTCAAAACGCGGTGTTTTCGGCTGATATTTAAAGGCTCGTCGACAGTGAATTTAACAGTCTGAATTTCTTTCCCCGCAAGAATTAAGTCTATGACACTTTTCTTTTTACCGTCGTCTGTTTTGTAAGTGGGCTGAAAGGGAGTGGTGTTTATTATTCGAAGGTCATTAAAAATCACAAAATCCTGAATTATTTCACGTTTTTCATATTTCCGGTTATATCTCAATTTTGTAAATGAAATGGCAATATTTGCTCCAAATTTTAGAGTGGTTATGCTTATAACACAGCTGAATAGATTGACTAAATTAACTGCTTAAACAAATGTATTTAGGTTTTAACAAATGAATCATGTATTTAATTTAATCAATGGCGTCATCATTAAAATGTAACGAAAAAAAATCCATGTAATTTAAAATACAATTTTCGCTCTGGAGGCCATTATTCGACGTAAAGCTGTTGCTTTTTTATGTTGTATAGATCATAAAATAGTTTATAAACTCATTTCACTTCCTTTTACACTTATTCTTAGGATCGCATAAAAATTTAATGCTCACAGTAAAGAATAATAACAATACCACGCACATCTGTAACCAACACCGCACTATGAATGAATAAGAAAATGCATCTTAACAATAAATTCTGGTTTTTTTTATCGAGATTATTTCATTTAATACCCAGATACGCTTAAGAACAATTATTCGTGGGTAAATGTTTTCCCCCTCAATGAATAAGGAAGCATGTTAGTATATTATGTTTTTTTTTTGTAATATCACATCGCTAACTAATTTCATACTTGCCTCATTTGAATGACATGCGATTTAATTAAAAAAAAATTAATTCAATTGAGCATATTTTTTGCTATATTCATCAGTAGAAAGATGTTTATATTTTTTTTTTAATTTATAGTTCCTATTATTCATTTTTTTATAAAACATGATTTCGATTTCTAAATCTCTAAATTCAAGAGACTGATCTACGACAATGCAAGTCTTGGTAAACCGCGTTTTCAACATTGTCATAGTGACGCTTTCATTTAGAAGAGCCTCTTTGTACGCACAAAAGACTCCCCGAAGCGAAGCCAGTGCCAAAGAGAACAGTAGAAAAAGAGAAGGGCGGCTTCGGCTTTTACCCAACATGAACCGACGAATAATGTAACGAGTTTTGGCAAAGTGATATTTTGTCAGCAGCTGCGGTTCCTAAAATTACCAATTTGCGTGGGATTCGCAAAGTCTTGGGCTCAGCGTCTTTTTTTTAGCTTGATGAGCGCGCGGTCTCATCTGCGCGCACCAGTTGTTTTTCTTCAGACTCTTTTGTTGGCAGCACAACATAAATTACCTACACGTTCGTTACACCAGCCCAAATTGACATCAAGGGAAATTTGCTCCTCTCTATTAATTCTGCAAAAAGGGTAAAATTTCACGTGAAAAATTTCTCTGGGGAAAACTAAATAAAATTAAGCAAAAAATTTAACACTATACTTACTAATAAAGTAAATTTTGTTGGATAAAATATTTTTAGTAACATTAAAACATATATATTTTCTATCATTTTTTAACACCAAAATAGTTTTTCGCTTAATTTTTTGTTTGTTTATATGTAATTATATTTAAAAAAAAAACGAGTTTTAATAACTTTCCATATTATATAAGACTATAATTTTAAATTAAAAAGTAATCAAAATAAGTACATAATAAAAACTGATCACGTACTATAAGAACAATTAATCATGTTGAAAGCTACCTTGATTTTTTTTTATTTTTTTTGCTTTTTATTAAAAGAAAAAAGTCACAAGGATAAAGATTAATACCTGGTTGCTTCAATCAATATCATGTTAGCAATTTGAAATAATATTATGATATTTATAATGTTATAAAAACACTAAATAAATAAAATTTGGTGACTTGTATAATATAAAAATTAATGATTTCATGAACACGCGTCTCGGGTGATTGCACAGAAACACGTGAACAGTTATTTGCTGCCAACCACGTGATCCACGTGCTCACGTTTTAATTTTCTCGGTCCTATTGTGCGAATCTTTTTGCACAGTCAGCTGGAAGAACAGACATAGTAACTCATTACAGGCGGTCGATTAACTGAGACGACGCTACGTGCACACAGGCAGCTAAAAGCCCGTGTACGAACATCAACACAATCAGGTGCATTGAAATTAAACTCATCGCGTCGAGCGACAATGAAACTCTCGTGCCCTGTCAACTGTAAAACATTCCACTTTGTGTAAATTTAGACTTTCAATGCGTTGGTCATTATTTCTAATATTCCATATATTATTTCCAGTCGATTCTTGAAGCTCATGCAGTGAAAGTGGATCGCTTATGAATATAATTAATAGCAATGGGAACTAATTGCAGCAGTTTTTATTCTTGTTCTACAAAGGGTTTCAACAACTTATCGGGAGGAAAAATCGTTTCTCATTTCCTCACTTTTGTAAAGCATCGTGGTTTTAAAATTTCATCATTTATAGAAAATTACAAAAAAATCTCAATCACAAGCAGACCAGTAGAATCAAATGAAAATAATATTTCTAGTTTGTTCTGGTTTTAAATTTTTATGATAAGGTGTCAACAAACGGCCATCATCAGATTAATTGTAATTTCAAAGCAAAATTCACTGCGTGAAAAAAATGAAATAACTTTATTTAATTTGAAAATTTCATCTCGGCATGAAGTAATGACAATGGCTGTATCTTCAATATTGATGAAGAAACAGTAAGGAAACATTAAATTCCTCCAAACAAAGTAAAATTAATGGTTATTTATTTTGTTAATTTAAATTTGTAGATTTTAGTTATAACATAATTTATTACTATTTAATTTTTATAGTCCATTAATATAAAAAAATCCATAAGAAATTAATAATTAATCAGGATTTTAAATTAAAATATTGAAGTCATAATTTTTATTATAATATTGATATTATTTTTAGTTAATTTTTAAATTTATATTTTTGTGATATTAAAGTAAATGTTATAATTACAAGATTTTTGTAAAACAAGTTTGTTTAATTATATAATGTGTTCCTTATTCATTTTTACGTACCGTAACTTTAGATATAATTGTCCTCATAACTTTTCTTTATCTTTTTCAGTTAGTATGATTATTCAAATAGATTTTGAAGCGAACCGGAACAGAAAAATGTCTTATTTCCCTGTATGTGCTAATTTTCTAAATATCAAATTACCTATATTTTGGGAATTCATTTCCTTTACTTTGTTTTACTTGTCTTTTTTGAGAGGGTTTTGAACTTTAACTTTCTGATGTGAAGTAAAATCTGCGTAATTTAAGTTAATTTTTAAGTTGAACTAATAAACACATAATAAAGTTTGCTAAATATAAATTTGCTCATTTATTGAGTTTCGATAATAAAGAAATTTACTAAAAAATATGTTTAAACTGGATTCTTTCAACGTGAAATAAAGTTTCCAACAAGAACAACCCCGTTTTTTTTTTGTTACAGCTTCATTGAACTTCCTAATATTTTTGCGTCAACAATTTAGTATCAATAAATTTTTCTATTGTATTAAAATTATGTTTCAAGCAAGGCTGCCATGTTCCATAAATTATGCACATCCACACACACACAAAATAACTCTTTTAGGAAAAAAAAACATTTGATGAATATTTAATCAAGCACTTTACTGAGAGTGATTTGTGGGTCAACTATGAATTGAGAGAGGTTGCGTTGGATGCACCGATTTCCGCAAATGAACACTCAAGTTACCCACTAGAAAAGCATCTCGCAACTGCACAGAGGTGCTTTCCTGGCTTTGCGGATGAGACTCGCTGCAAGCGTGTCAATTGCCCGCGGTTCAATCGTGCAGCGCCCGTTAAGCAATAAAGTGTCCATTGTCATTGCGCGCGTCTTCGATTGTCTTCTTTCGGTGTGAAAATAAAGCAAGAGGTGCACTGGGCGGGGGAGGGGGCCGTCGAGTTAATAAAAGTGGAATGGTCCTACGGCACTCCATACAAACAAACACACCAGTTGACGCAGAGCGGTTCATTGCATATTTACTGCAGGTGAGTGCAATTCTACCAATTTTTGTTTAATGAAAACAAGTGTCGCGATACGTCAGCGCATTTCGTTTGACTCACTTTTTATTTCACTGAACTTTGAAACGGGCGTGCATTTTTTACTCATAATTGTCAATATGGTGATTATTGAAGGACGTGTCCTGGTTGATCCACTCGCGGTAATTATAGCTCTTTTTCTGAACAATCTCTGCAAGTAGTAGCAAATTTAAAGTTGAACAAAAATAAGCAATATATAAGCAAAAAATTAAGCTGGTTGAAAACTGATCATTTTGATGGAAAATTAACCTGCTAAAAACCAAAGCAATGTTAAAAAAAAATACACAAATTTTGTAATCTACTCCTAATTTTTTCCAGGTATATAGATTGCTATGCAATTTAATAATTTCAAAAATTTTAGTTATAATAATACTATATATTTTATCCTTTCCCTTTCCCTGCAAGTTTATGTTAAAAAAGGGTTATTTTTATTATTATTTGTGATGAAACAAAAATTCTAGAAAAGGTTGGAAAATGTGAAATATTTTGTTATAATTTATATCATTCTGATATTTTACAGGAAATCTTCAATATTTATAGTTCTTTTAATAACCTAATTTGAACATTAAAATGTAGAATTTGAAAAAAAGGGATTAGTATGGTAACTTATTTCAGTCCATAATTTAATTTAGTTAGCTGAAGCAGCCAGAAATAAAGTATTAATTTTTTTCGCTTCTGTCCACATTATTAAAATTTATATAAGTTTAATTATAATATTAAGAGTTTTCTAGTTCAATCTTTTTCTAAATCCAAGGCTATTCCGGCACTTTCCGTGCATTGGTGGTTCCGGTTTCTTCGTGCGACGAATGTAAATCTAATCTCTTAGATTTTTTTGGGTTGCAATGATTCGTCTCGAACCTAAAGGAAATTCAATCGTTTCGTAGGTTCGAGATGAAATGCTGCATACCAAGCGAAGAGAGCTGCTTCATCATACATACTAAACACGCCGAATGATTCACCTTGAATCCAACCAAAACAAAGCATGATTTGAAATGAATAATTTACGTTTTTTGATTCGGTAATAATTGTGTCCTTGTGAATACCTTATTAAAAGGCTTAAGGCTACGCGATATGATGATTATTAATAAACTTCAGCTAATTTCAATATCAAAATTTATGTTTAATTCACAACAGGAGCTGTGCATATTTTAATAATAAATATTGTAAAAAAAGGAAATCATTTTAATACTATAATATTATTAATATTTGATTATTTCTTTATACATTATTGTTGGCTTGTTGGCTATATAGTTAGTCGCAATCCCAGGTTTTGTAATAAATTAGCCTATCAAATATTATTCTGTTTATCTGTTTAATAACTAAAATATAGTAATGAATATGAATAAATTTTATTGTATTTAGGTCTCAAGTGATTTTACTAAATTTTAATTCACGACCTGTGTAAATTTAGTTTGAAATGTATGCAACCCGCTCAAAATTGCACTTGGTTAAACCTGGGTTAAACATTATTATCAAAGTTTCAGTGTAATGAAAATTAATGAATTCAATTGTGAAAATTGTTGTTTCCAGATAGGCCGATCAGCAATGGCACCCAACCTGCCAAGTCCGACGGCGAAGGAATACCTTCCGGCCGCGGCGCCGATGGACTCGGCGTTGCCCGAAGCGGCCAAAGTGGAGGCCAATCCCCAAAAAGAGACATACAAAGTGCACTTGGTGTGGCGAAACATTATCGCTTTCATATACTTGCACCTTGGAGCGCTTTACGGCCTTTACCTTTGTGTCTCACTGAATGCCAGATTTTACACCTTTCTCTGGGGTGAGTCCTTGGTTTTATTTTAGACAAGGGAAATTTTATCAATATGTACAAACAAAACATTATAAGCAACATTTATTAATTCTAAATGACACAAACAAATTTTCACCGTCACGCTTTTTTATTGCAAATCTTATATCTGACTTGCCATAATTCTAGTAATTGGTATTTTTAGCAAACAAGCACACTTTTGTTTATTTTATTCTAGCTTATTTTTGTAAATTGATTGCGTAAAAAACATTTTAACGCAAAAAAGATTGGAACGTGATAATTTTGAACTATCCTTCAAATTAATATTCAATAGTTTCAAGATTTATAGTGTAGGCCATGGAAAAATCTGGGCTAAATTGGCATGATTCATGCAAATTTTTTGTTTCGGCCCCGTTAACAGCATTAAAAATTAGTCTCGTTTGAATAAATTTTGCTAATATTTATGTTTTTATTTTTAACTCATTCGAGTACAACTTTCAATTCGATTAAAAAATTTCACAAAATTTGTGGGATTTTTTATATTTGAGCTTATTATGTTATTATAATTGATAAAAATTTACGCTGTTCAATTTCTTCAATAGAAAAACAAGACCCAACCAAAATTAAAAAAAAATCGTGTTAAGAAAAAATTTAATTAAATAAATCAAAACAAATAAATTCAATTAAAAAAAATCAAATTAAAAATAATCAGCAGATTTGATTTTATTAAACTGCAAAGTCATCCTGTTTGTGTTCATCGTAATGAAATAATTTTTTCATTTTATTTTTTGTGCCATTAGCGTTTCTGGTCGCGGCGATGGGCGCGATGGGCATCACAGCCGGCGCCCATCGACTGTGGTCGCACCGGGCGTACAAGGCCAAGTGGCCGCTGCGGCTCATGCTGGCCGCCTTCCAGACCATGGCCTTCCAGAACCACATTTACGAGTGGGTGCGCGACCACCGCGTGCACCACAAGTTCAGCGAGACGGACGCCGACCCGCACAACGCGTCGCGCGGCTTCTTCTTCTCGCACGTCGGCTGGCTGCTGTGCCGCAAACACCCTGACGTCCGACGCAAGGGGGCCACTGTTGACATGAGCGACATGGACGCTGACCCCATCGTCGTATGGCAGAGACGCACCTACCTCGTCCTCATGCCGCTCCTCTGCTTCGTCCTGCCAGTCTGGGTGCCCTGCTACTTCTGGAGCGAGAAAGGATGGTACTCGTGGTGAGTTTCACTTTTTTGGTTCAATTCAAAGTTATATTTCTCAAAATTAAATATAGTTTAATATGATGTATTTGGGCAGAGAATGCCCGAAGATATATTAATAGACACGATTTGAAACTAATTTTGTTACAGGAAAATTAGAAATCTAAAGTTAGAGATGCATTCCTATTGTACTTATAAAATTGAGGTGTTTCATTGTTGCACTTTGGAGCCCTAAAATTCCAGCATATATCTTCTTATTTGACATTAAAGATTTTAATTTCACCTCACTAAAGAAAATAATGTGAAATTTGTGATAGTGTGAAGTATTTTATTTCCAGAAATTTAATAATATAAATTTAGAAAAAAAGAAATATTTTACATTTTTATGACATTCTCTATTCCCTTCTTTTTACTATTGTACCTTCTTATTACTGCAAATATCACGCTCTGAACAAATATGATACTAATTCGATTTAATTAAAAAAAAAAAAATGCATCATTGAATTGGTTTTGCCATAAATTATTAAAATTATCAGCAGTTCCAATTAAATCCAATTAATTTTTTTCTGCATCATTGTTGCCAATTATGAAATTTATCAAATTGCAGTATAAAAAATAATCATATTGTAATAAAATTTAACATTTCAGGTATGTCGCTGGCGTAATGCGTTATGTGCTGTCGCTGAACGGAACGTGGCTGGTGAACAGCGCCGCTCACATATGGGGAGTAAAACCTTACGACAAGAACATCAGCCCTACCGAGAACCGTGCGGTGGCGATCGCAGCGTTTGGCGAGGGTTGGCACAACTACCACCACGTCTTCCCTTGGGACTACAAGGCGGCCGAGCTGGGCAACTACAAATTGAACCTGACGACGGCCTTCATTGACTTCTTCGCCAAAATCGGCTGGGCGTACGACCTGAAGGCGGTGCCCGTGGCCCTGGTGAAGAAACGGGCCGAGCGGACCGGCGACGGCTCGTGGGTCAACCACCACCACAAGGAGGGTGAAACGGCCCTTTGGGGGTGGGGAGACAAGGACATGAGCGCCGAGGAGAGGACCGAGATCGAGCAGTACAAGGAAAAGTCCTATTGAAGAAAATTTGGAGAAGAGTTGTGAAATTTTATATAAATGGATATTTTTAGAAGGAGAAATTTTTTAACTTTCTACAACTGCGACTCTCGTTTCCAATGTCACCAAAAATTTATATTTTCTAATTGTAAATAATAAAATATAATATTTTCATAAGCTGGTGAGTTATTGTCGTGACGGGATTAAAAAACTGCCTTCCAAAAATGAATGTAAAAAAAATGTCAATTATTTATTGTTAATAAAGACAGCAAACCAGACTTGGCTGGAATGCGCGCGTTTTATTAATATGAAGTCTGCCACTGGCGGTGCAATTCACGTAAGCATCAGCAATGCGCCTTCTAAATTTGAAAAGCGACTGAAATAGACTGGTCATGTCACAAAATTCGCTGCTCAACACACTCCACTGGCTAGTATTATTGAACGTGAGCGATGACACAGTAAGTAAGCAGACGCGCGCTTTCCAAATGAAATGTGCTGTTGCTATTTCGAGCTGGGTAGAAAACTAGAAAATCCAGCGAGTTCAAATGACGGCCCTGCAATGTACCTTGCTTTGTGAAATAATTGATATTGCTTGTTTCATCACCAGGAGCTACTTTTGCTCGGGTGTTTTGTGACAATGAGTGAACAAATTAGTTTGAATTTAATTTTAACTGAAAATAGGAATAAAATAAAATTGGTAAAAATCGGTTATTTTTAATCGCAGCACAATCAAACAAAGTCAATGTGAACTGTAAAATAATTTTATTATAAACTAATTTGTTATTGGGAGGTAAAGATAAATTTTAAATATTATTATTTAATAGCAGAATTTCCTGTTAAAAATCGTGAATTTTTTTTCGAATTAAGAACTGAATATGTGAAAGATGATTGGCTGATGGTCAGGATAAATTTTCAAACTATTTTTTCAGAGAAAACTGCAATTTATAAGCAATAGTATAATGATCGATCTTAACTTTTAAAGCTTTTCATGTTTTCTAATACATGAGTTTACGTTGATTGATGTATTATTTAAAAAAAAAAAATAACACGGTGCAATTTATATAGGGAAAAAATGATATCTCATTGTCAAAAGTCATTAATTTTCAAGGGCATTTTTTCATAGTCAGGCCAGTGCCTTTTTTGTGGATCAAAAGACACGATCCAATTTTACCTTTTTTAAATTTAAGGTTTTTCCCCTCAAAATTTCAATATTAAATACCAACGGTATACAGACACACATATGAATATAAATCATTTACGCAAATAATCAATTTCATTAAAAAACTTGAAAAGAAAAATCAAACAATAATATCTGATTTAAAAACTATAAGTAGAAGAGAAAATAATCATTTTTGTTTGGCAGTCCATTCTGTCCCACAAAATTTCCTACGATTAAGGAAAACTTAATTCATAAAAATTGTTACATACTTACATACATTTTCACTCACAATTTTGCTCTGAAAGTATATAAAATAGACGAGCTTTTATGTTACGAACCTTTTGCGTCACGTCTGGGTCAGCGCGGAATAATCGAGCTCCGGATAAATCCACAAATGTCACCGTGTCCATTAATGATGGAAACAGATTGTCTACGTGTCAGTTTCTCGCTAGCTATAATTCATCACACCTTGCTCGGTTCATGTCAAGAGATCGATCCGAGCCGGCTCCGTCATTAAGCCGTTGGTTATTTTACTCGGCACGGTCAAGGCCTGTCACGGACAAACGCAACGAACTCTTTCATTTATTTGTTGCCAAGGCCGCCGCTTGGCTCCACCCGCGAATTATTAATCAGACGAGCGACTTGTGATGCACACAAAAAATAAATACACTGTTGCTCGAGTGAACGAGAGCAAAAACAACTTGAATGGCGAAGATTTTGATTATCGACAAGTTTGTGCTTCTTTGTCGCGGCGTGACGTTGATGGATTGTCTCGGCGCGGCCGCCTGCCAGCTGCGGTGATGCAACCGGCGTTGCCGGGGCCCCCAGCAGGTTGCATAACCTGACCTAACACAACACGCGCGAGGCAGCAATAATAATATTCGTCACTCGTTTCGAAACAGCCACGGCCAATATGAAACTAAGTTGCGACTGACGAAGCTCTGAGCCAAGCGAGTTTAACCTTAAGATCTTCGAACTCATCATTATTGGCAGGAAATTGTGTGAAGACTGACATCCCTCTCAGCTGAAAATCTGCCAAAATATTTGTAAATATTAGTAAAATAAAATGAAAATGAGGCTGTTTGGACGAAAATGAAAGATAAATTTTAAAGTTTAATATTTTATTTACTTATTTCGTTTGTAACAAAAAAACTGTACAATTCTGCTGACGTATTGAGATTTTGATTAATTGTATTTGTATCCTACTCTTGTCCTGATTCAATAATATTGAAAAATATGCTTTTTAAAATTATCCTGGAAACAACGCGGAAGTTGAACTGGAAGCATACAATTTTTTGGCTAATATTTTAACTGCTATAAAAATAGATGTATCTAAAAAATTTAATTGAAAAATATAATAAATTTCAAATTAACATACAGATGGCACCTATTGATAGCTTTTCATTCTTTGATGGACGGTCAGCGCGCATAGATAAGATAAAAAAAAAATAATATCAGCGCTTCTTCAAATTACTCCACGTTTGTGTTATGTCAACAAAGTTTGCGTTCCTCGCCCTTCTTTTGGCCGCTGTGGCCACCCTCGGAGGAGAGGCGGCCCGCATTTTGGCCATTTTTCCCTCCTCCTCTCCGAGTCAGGTAAACGTGTACACCGCCCTGACCAAACAACTGGCTCGCGAGGGTCACCAGATCACAGTGCTCAGTCCCTTCCCGCAAAAATGGGCGCCACCCGGCTACACCGACTTCGACCTGATGCATGGCCCAGTCAGCGAGTTCAAGAACAAATTGGCCATGGAGGGATCGGTTCTGTACTCTACCGATTGGAAAGAGTTTTACAAAACAGCCATGTACCTGTGGAGGGTCGGCGTTGAATTAACCGAGGCGGTCATGACATCCCCACAGGCAATTTTTATACATATTTTGGTTTCCACCTTTTTCGCTTTCTTCACTTAACATGAAATAGCTAAATTTTTACGTGATTAAAAAGAATCACCTATTTTTACAAATAAAATTCGTTGTGCACCGAAGATTAAAAAATCAAATTTTTTAATTAACTTGCAGGTAAAAGACATAATGAGCAATCCAAACGGATTTGACCTGGTGATCGCCGAGTACTTCCTGCACGAAGCCCTGTACGGCCTTGCCCCATACTACAAAGTGCCCCTCGTGCTTTTCGCGCCCTCTGACCTCGTTCTGACCGATCCTTCGCCCCTATCGTTCGTGCCGCACCCGCTACTCTCCCTAAATTCACCCATGACCTTCACCGACAGGCTCATCAACGCCTTGGCCAACACTTTCTGGGCTGTTGGCTACAACTTTTTCTACCTCCCCAAACAGGAAACCATCAACAAACAAGTTTGAATTAAAATTTTTCTCAAACTCCGAATCTAATATGAGTTTGCAGATTTTCGGCGATGACGCTCCGAGCGTGTGGGACATTGAGCCTGCGATTATTTTGCACAACTCGCACCCAGTTCTCAGTCAACCTTTGCCACTCATGCCGAATGCGATCGAAGTCGGCGGGTTGCATATCCAAAGCAAACTGAGGGACCTTCCCGAGGACATGCAGGAATTTATTGATGACGCTGAAAACGGTGTTATTTACTTTTCATTTGGCGGAAGTTTGAAATGCTCGGAAATGCCTCCGGTTTTCAAAAACGCCTTCCTCGAAGCTTTCGAAGAACTGGATCAAAATGTTATTTGGGTTTACGATGGAGAGACCCTCCCTGGAAAACCGGAAAATGTTTTTATTTCAAAATGGGTGCCTCAGCAGGAAATACTTGGTGAGAATATATTCCAATATAAAAAGATTCTTCCTGATAATTATATAAAATTTATCTGTACTGTAAAAATCGTTTAATTACTCCATCTTGAAAAGTAGCAAAAAAACATTCGCATTACGCATTATAATGAGTTTGATTATTTTTTAACTTTTCTAATGGATTGCTCATAATCGGAAAAATATTTCATGATTTTTGTTCCAAATATCACTGGACCGTCCAAGTTTGCCCGAATTTCAGCATTATATTCTTCCGATTTTTTTTTATCACCGTTGGTCGAGATTTGAATTATTAATTTTGACGCAGCTCACCCCAAAACGGTGGCGATGATCACCCACGGCGGGATCGTGAGCGGACAAGAGGCAGCCCACTTTGGCGTGCCCGTGGTGGCCGTGCCCGTTTTCAACGAGCAGCAATTGCGGGCCGAAAAAACGCACAGGGATGGGTACGGAGTGATACTCGGCTTGCGCAATGTGACCAAGAATTCGTTGCTCTGGGCTATCAATGAAGCAGTGAGTAATCCAAGGTGAGCAGGACATGGAATCCGTGTTAGTATGCTGAATTTAGTCAAATAAGTATCTGCGGTAATTGGGGCGCGGAAGAAACACTTCAATTATACGCTCGACCGCACCTTTGAATGGCTTTAGCGCGTTAAAATTTTTAACGCTCGGCAATTTTTGCTACTTCTCATTAGCATTTGCTAATTAGTGGTTATAATTCACACTTGCTTGGAGACACTTTCAAATTAGAAAATTGCGCAAGTGTGAATTTTTAATTTGAAAGTCTCTTAAAATTAGTTTGCAAAACTGCTGTTACGGAAAAATAGTTAGAAAAATTAATTACAACTAAATTAATTTAAATAATATAATTTTATTTTTATGAAGATGACTTTTAAACTTTGTTTGATTAACAATCCATTAATTAGTTTCAAATATAAATTTTGTTTTTATTTATTGCTATTTTTTATTTGATTTCAATTCACAAGCTTTTATTGAAGTAGAAGTTGGGTTGAATTTTTTGTTAATTTATTTATAATTGCTACTTGTAAAATAATTAAAAACAAACAGCACAAAATGAGTTATGATACATTTAACTGTAAAGATCCTAAAACTGTATAATTTTGACTTAAAATTTTAAACGTTTAATTTTTGATATCTTGATATTTCGTCTCTTTGATACTTATAAAAAAATCATCCAAAAACAAACGCAGAACTTTTCATTGTAAAAATATTATGAGAAAATAACTTATTTTCCAAAACTTGAGACATAATGCTTCTGTTTTATTCAAATAATAAGTATTTCCACTGTTGTTAGAATTTTAACCAGTTTAATTATTATATAAGCACAGTTTGTAAATAGGTTGAATAAGCACCAGCCAAAAATCTCATCTGATATAACGCTGCACTTTTTTAAAATTTAAATAAAGAGATTGAAAAATAAACATTTCAAAGCATGATTTCCACTTGAAAATCTTAAACTCCATCCAACAATATAAAACTTGCACAACTGCTGCAAGAAAAAATCTTTTCCCTAGAGGAAAGTTGTCAACAAGCAATCATTTTATTTTTTTAATTTTTTTTTAAGCAGAGGAACTTTGATAGGGGGTGATTAGTTTTCATGAATGAATTAGACACAAATAAGTACATACTTTTGACATTTCGTATTTATTGTTGAAAATAAACAACTCTGTTTTCTTTGCAAAGGATAAAACAAGCGACGGAGCAGCGAGCCCTTCTGCTGCGCGACCAGGCGCAACCGCCCCTCGAGCGTGCCGTCTTCTGGGTCGAGTACGTCCTGCGCCACAAGGGCGCGCGACACCTGCAGTCGGCGGGGCGGCGCCTCTCCTGGTGGCAGCGTCACAGCCTGGACGTGATCGGCGTCCTGATCACCACTCTGCTTTTGCTTCCATTGTCACTGTGCGCGGTGAGGCGCGGGAAATGAAAATAAAAGGCTGCGTGTCAAGGTGGGAAAGAGTTTCGTGTGTTTTAATATTAAAAGCACTTGGCACATCAAGGCACTTGAGGAATGTCTCTCTTCACTTGGGCCGGCGGAAGTAGCGCAGCACCACGTAGCCCAGCACGCGGAACACCAACAGGAACAGCAGCAGCACCAGCGTGTTGGCCCACAGAGGCAGGTTCGCCCCCTGCACCTCCAGGATGGCTTCCACGGGGATGGTCGTTTGATTTGCGCATATCTCGAATTTCGACTGCAGTGCACACCTGAGGCACAGAAACAAAAACATTAAATTAATCAATTTAATAGTTGAAATTAACAAAATTCATTGATACAAATCTTAAATTATTACATCATGTAATGTGACAAGAGTTCAAGAAGTTGGGAGTAAAAAAAAGAGGGAGAAATCAAGTGCACGTTTTCATCTTGAAGTTACACAATATCAACTAATTTGTTCAAAAATTTTCGATTCAATTAAACTGAGAGAGAATTTCAAATGAAATAATGATATTCATATTAACAATAAGATGTGACTTTTCTGGAAGCATAAATTTATTGCAAAATATTTTTTAACAAGTGCCATGAAATATTCCATTATTTAAGATCTAAATAATAAATTATAATTTGATCTAAGCCACCTAAGCTAATGCTAACTGCATTAAATTAAATTTATAGTAATTATCCATTGTTCTTATTTCTAGATACTAATTAACTCCATTAATTAATTATGACAAACGCTTAAATACTAAATTAAAGAATTTTTTTTATTTAGAGTGATGTTTGATGTTGCCCTGGCAATAATTTATAATGATCTAAAAAGAAAAAGTAATTCTGCTTGGTATAATTATACCATTAAACTCGTTAAAGTCACATTTAAAAATTGTTTAAAAGAAACAAAAAAGACTTTAAAAGTAATTAATATTTTAAATCAAAAAGTAAATAATAAATTATAAACTACTATCAATAATTTCTAAAATAAATAAAAATGTTTATAAAACATTTTTTTTTTTTAAATTTAATAAAAGTCCTTACTGAATAGGCGAGCCTTCGCTGAACTCTACTATTTGCATATTCTGGTAGGCGTAGTGTACCATGCTGAGGTATTGCAGCCACTTGAGCCACGAAGAGATGTTTGTGGCCAAGTAGCCGCCAAATAGTTGTGTGGCCAGCGTGTAAAGAGCGCTGATGGTAATGGAGACCTGCATGTCCATGCAAGACGCTCCGACAAAAAAGCCCACGCTCTGCAATCGAATTCCAAAATTAATCAAAACCAATGAAAAAATTAATATTTTCAAACCTGAGCCACGATTGTGTTGAGCAGCAAGAAGGCCAATAGCGTCAGGAACACCGAGGGGCTGTGGAAACCCAGCATGGGGTAGGAAATCACGTGGTAGACAGCAGGCAAGGTCATGGTCAGAGGTAACTCGCCCACCATCTTGGCCAGGTAATAAGCGGAAAGACGGTACGCGCCGGACAGACGCTCTTTGTTTATCACCTCTCGCTCCGGGGGAACTGTAATGAAAAAAAACGCATTGTTTTTATTTATTTTTCTTGTTATCTTGTGTGTCGCAACACCGTGTGTTGTGTGTTGAATTGAAATTCTCGCGGGAGTAGTAAAATAAAAATAAAAAGGCCATTTCGGTCGGTTGCACCGCCGCTCGATGAATTCTCACCGGAGAGAGAGAAAGAAAAAAATTTTGACAAAAGCGCACTAGGTTGTGACACCACACGCTCTCTCCGTTGTGAAACCTTGTGCACACCGACAGAGGCAAACGAACTTTACATTGTGGGGCATATTAAATATTTATATTGGGCGCCGCATATAATTGCCAGATGCTCTTTTTTGATAAGATAAAAACCAAGGTTAACTATCATAACGCGGCGGCGGCGGCATTTGGCGGAATTTTTTTCGCGTGTTTGTGCGAATGAAAATTGAAAGCATGAAAGTGAGATAAGGGGGCTTACAGGATGAGAGGGCTCCGAAGTGAGCAAACAGCATCCAGTAGGTGGTGGAGAAAAACATCCACCCTTGGATGTCGTGCAGGGACTCTTCCTTCCTCTCCAGCTGGAACCAGAGGAGTCCCGCCAGGACCCCGAGCGCCACCGTCTGGATCCAGTTGAGCTTGGACAGCATTCGCGGACGCGCTTCCTGGAAGTTGCGCTGCGACAACACTTTAAACTGAGTCCAAAAACTGGTCGGCCAACTGAGTTCGTCGTCTGAGGTGCTGCTGGTCGAGCCGTGACTCTGGTTGTCCATCCACAGGGACCGGCCCTCTTCTTCTCTTACTGCAATAATAAAAAATAATTTTTTTCCATTAAAATATGAAATACAAAGTGGATATTATCAGTATAACAGAGGGGCTTGATAAACTCCTAAAATGAATTAATTTAAGATTAATTTTGAAAAAGATTAATCCAACTACGAATGACCAATAAACACCGAACAAAGCAATTGGGCATAATGCGGTCAGGAAATTTTTAAAGGAAATTTTTGTAAAAAAAAAAAAGTTGTGGCATTTGTTATAAATTAAATTAAATAATATATCATGCTTTGTTTTCTCGAGTCTAAATTACAAAATTAAATATGTTTGATTAAAATTGATTAAAATTTGAATCTTGGTCCATAATTTTCATTTTCTGGACGATCAATATTTAAACTTTTTTCATCTATTTAGGAGTTAGAAGCACCCTCTAGATTTCATTAAATTTTATTTCAATGCTTGATGACATTTGCTGTTTTATCAATTTCAATGCTTACTTCGACAGTTGCAATCTGTCCAGCAGCGTAAAAGAAAGGAGGAAAGACAAGGAGTTCAATTATTAATAAATGCTAAACGTGTGAATCATTTGTATTCTATGAAAACGTTGTTCTCTATCAATCACCTCTACTCATACGTACATGTACTTAAAAGTAGCAAAGCAATAATAAATCATGCAAGTGTGAGCAGGAAGCGGTATCCTGACCCGAAGAAAATCTCTCCCAGTGACGCACTGCACGTATAAGCGCGTGAGACAGAAACGGCCGCAGATAGAGAGTGTCATTTTCAATTGGATTGACACTTCTTACTTAGCAAACAAATTCAGTGTCTGTGTGCAGCCGCTAGGCGCGTATATTGCGAGTGGCGTAAATAGCATAAACTATTAACCTTCAGTGAGAAATGAAAAAATTTAAGGTCATTTTCACTCAGTCTGGTCGCCGTCGTCTGGGAAAGGACGCGTTGCTTATGTGTTTGAAGCAAGCGACCGACAATAATAATAGGACGGCCGTGTTGCAATTGCTTTTATTATCTAACGAATTATATTATATATTTGCCCTGCACATTTCATGACACACGCTGCGCGCGAGTTAATAAACGACAAAGGCGATGCTTTTTGCGCAACAAATTAATTATAATGAATACGATAATGGCGTTGCAAAAAATAGAGCTGCACACAGGATCAATGTAACAAGCTTTTAGATGTCAGACACGTTTTTCGCCTCGCTCCGTCTCAAGCGCACTCGTATCAAATATTATCTCGGCTGCGAGAAAAAGATACACTCAAAATGATATAATGCAACAAATAAACTGCATGACATATGAGCTCCCGAGTGTAATTTTCTTGCTCCGTATCATATTGATGAAACAATTATTTCCGATTCACATTGAAAGAGAGAACAGGATCACAAAACAAAACTTGAAAATGGCGACTCAACATAAAAAAAAAAAATAAGATGATCCAGCAAAATAATTTATTTCCAGAATTACGTAATAATTTTTGAATAAGTTGAATTTTTGTAAACATTGTATAGTTATTGATAAAAATGCCATTAAAATCAAAAGCAATGAGACAAATTAGAACGATTTAATGCAAATCAGCACTAAAATTATCTTTCAAGTTAGTGCACCAACCCTGCCCTAACTATATGTTGCGCAATGGTTTTCACGGAAGTGTGACAAAATTAGTACCAACAAGGAAAAACAAAGAAAATGACAATCTCACCTACGGCAGTGTAGACACTTTGTTTTTCGCTCACCGCGGAGACGCACAGCGAGGGTCGCTGGCCCCCCGAGTGGACGCAACTGATGTGGACTGGAGGACACGAAGGGCACCTGCTGGACCCTATGTGACCATTTGACTGGAGACGGCTCTCCTGGTACAAGTATTTGTTATCACAGATAGAGTTGGGAACGAAGTCGGGCAGAAGTTCTTGAGGGTAGTCGGGCTGGTTGCGCGCCTGTTTCGACGCCTGGATGATTCGGTCCCGCAGCTCGTCTGACCCTTTGACCTGCTCAACTGCAAGGAATACGCACACAAAAATCATTATTAGGCAGCTAAATTTTGCTGATTTATTTTAAATGATCATAGAGCTTTCAGAAAATCACATAATTTTATATTCAGATCTTGAAGGAGTTTTTGTTATTGAAAAATATTTGTGGACAAAAGTTTTTGTCCAAAAGAAATTAAATTTAAATATTTAGGCAATTATTTATCATAAAACTTGAAATAATATGTGAATTTTAGTTTTCTGATGGTTGATAGAAACTTTAATAATTTAAAGAGATAGAGAGCATTGTCCACGGTGTGACGATAAGAAAAGAAAAAAATAAGGTGTGCCTTTTCAAAGTCCTCTGGTTAAAATGACAAGCCAAGGTGTTTGGAAACTTCCGCGACTTGGTAATACAGATAAATTACATCAGGCGGGATGTGATGAAACTGGAAACTGCGCCTGCTGTCCATATTTTAATATTTTAAGTACACACCTTTTAGTGGAATTATACGTTTGATTTGAATACTAACAAAGAGGAAGTTGCCTAATGTGGTTAGTCATAGCTATTAAAAATTGCACACATTTTGTAATTTTCCTCCAGAAAAATATTTGAGGATGGACATCAGAATGAAATAATTTAAACTCATGAGGACGCGTCACCAAATTGCGTTTAATAAATTGAAATAGAAACTGACTAAATTTAATGCTTTGTTTTCAATGATTGTTCACGAAGCTGGGCAAATAAGACTAAAATTCTTTGCAAACAGCACTGACTTTGCAATATTTTTGCAGCGAAAAAATTAAACCAAATCAAATATTAACACACAGAAGTCATCAACCCGCACGCCCGCTCGAGCAATATCTCTCCCGCGTTTGTTTTCGTCGCGTGACACACTTTGCCGAGCTCCGAATATGCTATCAAGGAACACAAAAGTTTGGTCAACTCACGGATAAAGTCTGCGGGATTGTAATGGGGCATCACTGATAAGCCGATCCCGTTGAAGAAGTCAACCACCTTGTTTACCGCCCCGAAATACGCGGTCTGCAATTAACACCGTTATAAGTTGGCAAATTTACATACACCTGCAAATAAAGTATAGAAAAAAATTGAAATTTTCTCCCTACCTGGCCGTTGCACAGCAGCAGCAGTTTGTCGAACATGTGGAAGATTTGTGACGAGGGCTGGTGCACGGTGACCACCACCGTTTTCCCCGAGGTCTCGGCGTAGTTCTTGAGATTGGACATGAGACTGAAGGCTGAGTGTGAGTCGAGCCCTGAGGTTGGTTCCTGATTCATTTTTTAAAATCTTCAGTAAATTATTTGAATTAAAAACAAATGTGCAAATTACGTCGAGGAGCATTATGGAGGGGTTGGTCAGCAGTTCGCAGGCTATGTTGGCTCTCTTCTTCTCGCCCCCCGAAAGGCCCCGCTCCAAATAATCTCCAATAACTGCAAACACAGGTTGTTGCCATTACAATTACGTAAAGGATTATTCGCTTATTGACTGAATTATTATTGCAGGCGGTCGTAATGATAATAACAAATGTATCTGCCAAGCGGTCTATTATTTATTTATGGTCGGCTGCTTTATTACGTTGCCGGGTATGAAGAAAAATTAACAACATATTGCGTCTCTCTTTCGCATGCAAATTTGTGCCCTCGTCATAAAAGTGCTGCAAGAAAATATCATTCAAGTGAGCAGGATGTTTGATATAAGAACGTGTAAAAGGTGACCGCAGAAAGAGGCAATCATCGCCTTTAACAGACCATCGAAACAATTTTATTGCGTTTACTTTATACTCATAAAACAAACACATCATGTTACTTCTTTTTTTGTCTAGTGGCAGAACCGGTTTGCATTGTACTTTTCCCGAATCCAGGTTAATTATGACGAAAAGAGTAAAAGAAAACGAGTTAAGAGACACGCATGATGTTGATGCGAAAAGGAAAATTTGGTGCGATTATAAAAATGTATAAAATCGGTCGACGGGCCACTAAATTTCGTTATCTATCCGTTCCCAAATTCAAGGTCAAGATTAATAATGAAAATAGCAATGCACTCCGCTGATACGGTAAGAAGCCACTAATCTCTGATTATTGGCCAAATTTTCAAGAGCAAAGGCAACATCGAAAGATGTCTGCTGTTGATTAAGCCAAAATTTTGAAGAGTACAAAGAGCAAAAACAAAAATTAATAAAATAATTTTAAGCTATTTAACTTACTTGTGTCTTGGCATGACTCGAGGTCCAACACGTCAATAATGTGGTCCACGTGCTGCATTTTTTGAGAGTACGACATTGTATCAGGTAACCGGAGTCTGGCTGCATACTGTCAACAGAGAGAAATAAATTTCAGAATATTGTGTAATTTTTTTATAATTTGAATAAAAAAAATAAATTAAAAAACAATATTGATTCTTTTAAATTAAGTGAATCACTTGCTAGTATTGGTAAGAGACCTTCTCATTAGAAAGTCAATATATATTACTAATTCAATGTGAATGACGCTTTAATCAGCACAATCAATAAAAGAGACAAAATAATAATAAGTTATAATCTGGATTTCATGACGTGTGGTCTAGGTATTGATTTAATGATGAACGGGATTAAAATAATTCTAAAAAATGTGCCTATGTAAGCTTGTTCATATATAATCAATTTCTCTGGAAATCAACAGGAAATAAATTTTAAATTGAAATTTTATTATTTAAATATTGGTTATATAAAATAATTCAAAAATAGGAGCAGGTGCAACATAAAAGGATCTCTACAGTTTAATATCCGGAATTTTTTAACAGGGGCACCAAGTTATTTGAATATCTATGCTTTTTTCATTAGTGGATGCAACATTCAGTTTAGAAAACAGCATCTGAATGATTTTCATAAACTTTTTTTGCAATTAAAAATTTACGGGTGGATAATATTTGGATTATGAACTCTTGGTACTCATATGCATGATGAAAAAACCACGCCACACTCAAATTTCATGTCATGCGTAAATTTGTGTGCCAAGAGGCCCTTGCCTTAATTATGAAAATCCTATAACTTGTTTGTTCAGCAGACTGCACCAAATTGCAGGTGGAAAATTACAAGCCCTTGTACATTCCACATGGTTGCTGAATTAACTTTTCAGAGCGAAATATTGAATAGAAAAAAAACTGAAGAAAATATCAAGCGTTTATAAGTAAAAAAAAACCTTGCCCACTTTTGTCGTACTTTATTTTTTAATAAATTATTTTGTGAATAGGAATGACACCGGCGATAAATAAAAATAGATGTTATTCTGACAAAGCGGCGTTCAAGAGTGTGCGTAAGTGCACACTTTAGAATTCCTCAAAAATGCAAAACTGGAGCACTCGGAGAGGATGGAGATGCAGCGGCGATTTGAATTTCCAAGTACATTATATGCGTATCCCTCACGCGGTGCGCGAGTGGATAAAATTTATTCGCGCTATGTCTTTCTCTGCCGAGATGAATAGCAATGCAGTGAATAAATAAAGCAACGGGCAAGCGAGCGAAAGAAAAAAAGAAACTAGGATAAAGCGGTATATATTGAAACATGGTACGATCGATTAGATCACCGCCGAATTGAAGCTGCCGGCAGGGTCGCGAGCCTATTTTTTGTCGAAATGCTTTATCATGCATGCGCGCCAGCTTGTTCAATTGACCATTAAAGTGTGATGCATGAAAATGTACCGGTGCACACACACGGCACAGAGCGACACACCAAAATAGCTTTTAGCTGGAGGTTCGATTTCCAGTCGAAACTAACGACGGTGCAGTTGCTAGGGAGGTTGTTTTTTTTACAATTTGTTTCAGCGCTCATGCTGCTGCTGCTGGGACCAAATGACAAATGAACTCAAACGAACCCGTCGAGCGCACACTCGCGGCGATATAATTTGAATATCAATTAAGCGACGAATGATGTCACGTTATTGAGCCGCGGCTAATTGAAAAGGATGCTTTTTAATTGCATATTATAAAGTATAAGTTGTTTTGTTGCGAAGGCGAATCGATTAGGCCGAATTAAAGTTGATCAGGGGTCTAATGTAAAAGAGATTTGCCCCTGTTTTTATCCGGTTGCGATTCATTCTTTTGATTGGAGACAATGCGGAAACGAGCGGAACTACAAACAATCGGCCGCGCTTTTTCATTATCGCAGCAGGACGCGCAGTATTGTGAATATATGCCGCTGCTGAACGAAAGAATGAGAGAAAAAATAAGCTCTATATTATACGCCAAGAGGGCTTTTGCCATTTGACACGCTCTTCGTCGGAACCGGTAGAATAGATAAATGCAAAATTTAGAACGCTCGACTTGAATGGCATACTAAATTATTATTATATCGCTGCGGGACTTATAATTTCGCGCCACGTGCATGCAGGAGAGATATATAATTATCAGGGATGGGCAAAGAGAGTGACAGATTTTTATGCTTCATTCTGGCCTCTATTTTGCTCTGTAAGAACAAATTATTTAATAAATTTTAACAAAGTAACATTTTAATAACAATGAGCTGCACACATGAAAAATGCATAAAAATGTAATATTTTTTGCAGCGTCAGAATGTGGAATGATTTTTACAGTAAACAATAGCTAACAGTTTAGTTTTTTTAGAAAATAAATCAAGGAGTAAAATCTTTTGAGATTTGATGAATTTAATCAATTTCTTGGTCAAATTCCGAATAAAAAGAAAAATAATAAGCCTATACCCACATTTTTTTCAGCAAATAAATTTAAAAACATTTTGAACGGAGCTCTTGGTATGTGAAAGTGCTACTGTGCTTCAAGATCATTTATTATCCTGAGAATCGATTAGCCTAAACCTTAAAATTAATATTTAATATGCTAACTATGCTTTATTTTCCAATTCATGGAATTTTGAATTTGATAAGTCGCAAAATTGGCAAAATTTTCAAAATTTAATACATTTTACGAGTTGTATGCAATTCAGTACTGAAAGGACAAACAAGACGACTACTAAAAAAAACTTTGGTCACTTCTCTTTCCATTGATGATCAATTTAATTATTTACTTCTTTTAATACACATCTTTAAAATTTTCAAACACAAAATTAAATTAATTATAATTAAAATAATTAATCAGCGGTTTGAAAAATAAATGCACAGAAGGTTTTTAGCATTTTAACCACCATTTGTTATTATTTGTTTGCAAAATTAGGCTCGATTGTTCTCAAAAGTCATGCACACAACTCAACGAATTTTTGTTGAAATAAACTGCTTTGCAGCATGACGTGCCAAAGAGACAAACGACGAGTGGCCGCTCGTTACACAAGACAAATAAGCTGCTGCCAGTTAACATTGTTGTGTTCGCATTTTACTGCGCACAGATTTTTTAACAGCGCCCACTAAAATGCTAAACTGTAATGTAGCAATCTGTCCGTGCAGCGTCTTCTTATTTTTTTCCTGTTCATATTATCATGCGCCGCATAAATACAAATGAGCCATGCCGCTAATTGCGACTATTCGCAGCAGTGTTCTGCTGAAAAAGGGAAGTGCATGCAATGTACGTAATCTCGCAATTCAAGAAAAACAATCCTTCGGAGAGACGCGCGAGCGATGCATTACCGAGATTGGCTCATTTCATAACGTGTGTAAGAGAGAAGAGCTAGAGGAAGAGTCCATTAATAATGTCGCAACCCAGATTTTGTTTGAGCAACGGATAAGTCGGCTGATCTCTCATATCGAGTCGGAGAAAGAGGAACAAAAGAGCTTTTTATTTATTTAATTTCTACTCCGGGAAATTTCGAGAGTTGAGAGTGGATCGCCCATCTTAGCACTTTCCTCGTGAGACGCCGGCTGGTTTTTATTCACATGCAGTTCTCGCGCTGGATGCATGGGGAATCAAGTTTTCTTTCTTTCTTTCTTTCTCGCATGCACTCTCGGCGCGCACCAAAAGAGCGGAATGCAAGTGTGCATCATAAAGCAAAGGCGAAAGATCGCGCGACACGCTGCATGAAAAGATCGAGGCATCGCCTCCTCCTTTTATATAATTTACGGCCGCGCGGCGCGCATCAAATAAATACATGCATGCAATAAATACGCGCGCGGAGGAAGAGAGAGAGAGAGAGAGAGAGAGAACGGAGGTTACTCACCTCTAGGGTTTGTCTTAAGGTGAGGTCAGTGAAAAAGATGTCCTGCTGCAGGACGTAGCAGATCCGCCGCTTCCATCTTTTGTTGAGACACTCGCGGTTGAGTCGAATACTGCCCGAGTCGAGTCTGCAGCGGCCTGAGAGCGCGTTAAGCAGCGTCGTTTTGCCGCAACCTGCCACACACAAAAATGCAAAATTTCAGCAAAAGTCAATTTTTAAATTAACAAAATATTATTATCACAACTTCCACAGTTCATGTAATTTAAAAGTTTTAAAAGACAGAAATAACTATTAAAATCGTTAAGAGGTTTTTACGTGGATTTACTGAAACTGTGCGAGAAACACTTTTGGCTTTACCCCTGAAACTGCTTTACACTTTATAACACACACAAAACACTACTCTTCACCAAAAAACAGAAAAAACACACGCACCCTAACAATTATCTGAGTATTCAAATCATTTCTAAATTTTGTTATTTTTATCTTCAGTGTACGTAATACATGTTCAAAAAATTTCACGTCTTATGTATTTTTATTTATTTTAATATAAAATCTCATTGAAAATGTTTAATAATCAATTGCTAGTAATTTTAGAAGCTTCATTTATGCTTCTGTGGAAAAATTTTCATATCTAAAAAGTCACCACGTTTGCAAAATAATCATCAAGGCACTTTTAAATATCCGTTTTCAAAAGTAGAAGCTGATTAAACCAGTTTTCACCTCAAAAATAAATGAATTTTCAATCATTTTTTTTATAACACTTAGAAAAAAAGGAGTTAAATTCTCTACAAGTTAAAATTTAATTTCATACATTTTTCATGAGCTTAAAATTAAAAGTTTGTAAATTTTAACAAATAGGCACAAGATATTAAACGACGTTACATCAAGAAATAAGTACATGGAAAGACACACGTGCAAGTGATTGACCCGCGATCGGATCTAGTGCAGCAGAGGCTTGGGTACTCACCGCTCGGGCCCATGACGGCGAGCAGCTCGCCGGGTCGCACCACGCCGCTGACATCCCTGAGGATGCGCCGCCGGTTGACCGTGACCGAGACCCCGCTGAAGACGAGCTCCACTGGTTTCTGGGGGCCCAAATGTTGACGCTGCTCGGCAGGAAAATGAACACTCGTGCTGTCCGCCCTGCAAGAACGTTAATCATTAACATTATTTATTGTACTCAAGTTATACAAAAAAAATTTATCCTCTCTGAATCACAGCATTTTTCGGAGAAAAAGAATGAAAAAAAAAATAGTTTTGAACGGCTCGAACTATCTATAGGCTTAAACAAATATGTGAAATACAAAGAGCGGGCCCGTTATTAGCAGCTCGACCAGTTTGTCCCGTTGCTGGCGGCCGGGGTGTAGCGCGGGGTGGGTGGCTCCGTTAAGCTATACCTGAGAAGCAGCTGGCGCGACTTGTTCCTCGCGTCGCTGAGCAGGGCTGGGTTGGTCCTGGGAGGCACCATGGCCGCAGAGAGCCCGCGATCGACTCGCGGCGCGGGTAACGCGCGCCGTGTAGAGCGACGACGGTATCGTGACGCGCGCGGAGGGGGGAGAACGCGGAGGAGAGAAGAAATTCGCCAACAAAGAGCGAAGAGAAGAAAAGGGTGGCAGGGTTTGTTGTGGGTCGACGACCCGAATGGGTGTCAGCGGCTGACAGAAATAAAGGTCGGGCGGTAGGGAGATCCAGGCCGTGGTTGGGTCTGGCCGCCTGACCCAGTGCTGCGACTGACTCGTGGGCGTCTCTCGAGTTCAACGACCCGGACCTAGAGAGCAGCGAATCTCCTGAATCCAGGCCGGCCCGTCCGTCGTCTTACGAAATAATAATCGCATCCTTCCCGGGTAATGTTATGTAAATGGAGAGGTAGACATGAAGAGAGAGGAGACGCGAAAAGAGAGAGAGAGAAGGGAAAAGATACATATGCAAGCGCTAAGTTATTAAGTTCGCGAGCGAGCCGATCGAGTTTTGAGAGAACTTGCGCGTATCGTTCGGTATATAATTGAGTGGCGCCGCGAGAGAGGTTGATGCCTTCCTTTGTTGCCCCCGAGACACTTTCACCTCGCAATAATTTTTAATTAACCCTCCTAATAGAAAGCGATTGCCCGGCCGGTCGCTGCTATATCAGCAAACTGCCTGGTTCAACGTCCGCCCGCGTGCCCGCCCGCGGACCCTGAAAATCTGAATTTGATTTTCCACTTTCACTCGTCACAGGCCCGATGCGTGTGAGGATATATATGTGCAGCCGAGCACTGTGCTAATGCCGTCGTCGTTGTTGCTGCCACTCGCGAGTGTACGTGAAAGTGGGCCGCTCGGTCAACAACCTCTGCGCTTGCAGTGCGCCTCTAATCCAGGCCGCCCGCTCGGGTGTATACGGTGAGTTGTTCCAGCGGGGAGTTGTTACATTAAAAACGGAGAGTTATTCCGGCCAATCACAAGAGAGTAGCCATGCCCCCTTTTAGCTACGGGAATTGTTCCCAGGCTATATTTAGGCGTTGCCTTTACCTGCAGGTAAATTTTGGATACAATTATTATGTAATATAACTAATTAATTTAAGTATTTTTTTTCACAGTTAGATAATCCCGAGTCTTCAAAGTCACGTGATTAAAAAATATGGAGTTTGGAAAATCATTAATAATCTAAATCACCAAAAAACATCAATCATCAATCGATAATGGTGATTTGAAATTAAAGTCAGCTTTTCCTCTATGGGCTTTGTGCGTTGCTTATCGTTTAAGAAAAGAAATAATATTCAATTTTTTTTAAGTCTCCTCTCGACAACCGCCAAGAAAGCTAATGAATTGAGGCTGCAGCCCACAGCCGAAACATGTAGAGAAGGATTTTTTGTTTTTCTTAAACAATTAACACCTCACAAAACCTAACGAGGGAAAGCCGACTTTAAATTGAAATCACCATGAATCAACCCTCAATCGTGAAATTCTACCACAAAATCAATAAATAAATATGAAAAATGTAAAAGTTTGTAAAATTAGTTAGTAATGAATTCAATGAAAATACAATTGTAATGAAATATAAAGGCAGAATGTTAAATGATACTTATTTTAACGTTTCAAGTTTTTGCACGAGGTCTCTATTTACTATAATGGTAGATTCAAATCAACCAGATTTTTTTAAATATTTTTTTTCGTAAATTACCATTAAAGCGTAATATTTTTACTACAATTTCCTCACTACGTTGATTTTTAGTTTTGAAGAACCCAGTACAATATACTTGGTTTTTTTACTTATTGGCATGCATATAAAATTATTCGCGCCTAGATCAACTAGCCGTTTTCTTCGGAACAACTCCCCACCGGAACAACTCACCTACGTATGTGAGCTCTCTTGCTCACACTTCCGATTGCGCGTCCTTGACCCACCCCTGCAGGGTTCGCCGACCCCGCCCGCCGCCAGCAAGGGTCGACGACCGGCTGCATGCCTTTTTATCTGATTGCGCAAACGACGAACGAGCTGCGATGTGAGGAGAAAGAAATAGCGAGAGAAGAGGAAAAGCTGGCCGAGTCGCGGATGCTGGCCGCTGCAGGTGGCGGTGCATGCGCACCGATGATGCAGCGGCAGGGTGTGGCGCAGGCAGGCAGGCAGGCAGAGGGTTCGACGACCTTTGCCTACCTCAACCCGCGGCGCCTTGGTGCACCCAGGCTCGCCCCCCGTGTGCCTTGTGATTGCTCTTCGACTCAATTGGCCGATTAGGCCTACCACAAGGCTTAACCAGGGGTTTCCTGTCGTTAACAGAGCGCTGGTGCGCCTCCTCGCACACACACGCACACTGACCTCCCACAACACAGCAGCAAGCGCTAATTAAACTGGGATTTATTCAAGTGTGTGTGTGTGTGTGTGTGCCTTTTATGACGTCTGCTGCAGCTCGGCTGCCCCGCGCCTGCCACCACGGGATGCTCAAGGTGACCCCCTCGCCAGCGTTATATTCGCGCCTAGGCTCGCGCGCGAGCCGCGCTCTTCTCGCGATCAATTATTGTTTTATTTTTACCTGGTGCATGGCGAGCGCGCGCGGTTCAAGGCCGCTCTTTTTGTAATCACGGCGCAACCGGCACACCGCGGCGGCGGCTGCTGCATTTTCTCTTTCAAAACCGTTTTCGGCCTCGCGACTGACGAAACTCGCGGCCGTAGAGCGAGCCAGCGCGCAAAATAAAATAATGCAGCAGCAGCTTCATTGCTCAAAGGATTGTGTTGTGTGTTTGTTATGGGCCGCGAGTGCAGCGGCTAGGAAGCGCGAGTGTGTGTAATGCAGAGTCCGCCGGCAGACACACAAACACACATAGAAACTTCTCGGTTGCTGATTGAATCAAGTTTATTCACACACTTGGGAGAAGTTACACAAGATGTAGAGAAGCAAAGAAACAATAAACGCAAAGTCTGATTTAAAAAAATGTATAATAAAAAAATATGTAACAATGGGATTTTTTTTAGAAATAATAATTTTTAGTATTTTTATCATTAAATTTCTTATTAAAGCATTAAATATTTGGGTGGTGTTAACGTTTGAATTTAACTTTGGCTTTTCCTGGATGGATTTTTTTAATTGTTTCGTAAAAAAAAAACAATATCCTGCCTCCATGTTTTATCTGCCGACTGCAGCACAATTCATGGGCTGTGAAAAATTTTCTCTGACACAATTTTAAAGAAAAAAACTAAAGCAAAAACATGTGTAGAATTAACGGGATATTTTTTTCTATGAAACAATGAACTACTCCGAAAACCCATCAAGTAGAGCCGAATTTTTAATGTGTATTCAAATACAACTTCATATAATTATATTATTGAAAAATAATATTTCTAGTAAAAAAAATTTTAAACTTCTTTTATTTTGAAGGAAAAAGTGGTATAAGTAATGCATTATGCATTTAAAATGTTGCTCTTCATAATAAATTGTTAAATTACGATAGCATATAGTGCCCTAAAAATTTAAGACAAATTTGCATATTTGAGCTAATTAAGACAAAGAAGAAAGGCGACAAAAGTTTTAAATTGGGCTGAACACATAAATAAACCTGCTTCAGGACGTGAGACCGGCTCTGAGAATAAATAATTAAAAATTTGTGCAATTTCTATAATAGGTTATTCTGGGGTCAAGAGTCAAATGAAAACTGTATTTTAAAAATTGCCTATAGCAACTTACGCACACGGTTCAAATTAAAAATTTTCTCAAAGACAGAAGGTCCCAAACCAATAGGTATAGAAATTGTGTGCCAAGGTTTGTCTTGGATAAAATTTATTTTCGATTATTTATCCAGGGCACCTCGCTGTTGAGAATTGCGTCGTTAATTTTCTAATTTCAAGAATTGAGAAACAATAATTAATATTACTATCTCAAAAACAATCCGTCTAAACTTTGAACTGTTTGGTTAATTTAGAGAAGTGTAATAAATTAAAAGTCGCACCATATTATCAAAAAAATTCTAGCATTGCTAGCCCAACGTTTTCAAAAAACAAATTATCATGTATTATGATAAGAGGGTGACTAAAAATTTGATTTATTACACCTATTGAAAATAAAAGGTACAAGAATACGACCTTATCTTTGAAACAATAGAAGACGAACGTTCCATTATTTCCATTATTTGCTCACGTCCAAGAGGTGACTAAAATTTATTTTATACAATAAAATGACTTTTAGCAGGATATATTTTTTTAAATTGTGGTTTGCCTTGAGTTTTCAGACAAAAAGAAACGTTTTCAGTTCAGGTCAAGGGGAATTTTAAAAACAGAGCGGAACATCTTGCGGTAAAAAAATGAAAGCTTGTTATGAAAGTTGGGATTTTTTCAAGAGACAAGAGCGCTCTTATATTTATGATTTCCTTCTTTTTCAACTACATTCAAAGTTTATTCAAAAAATTCGCCAAATAATTTTTGCTGTCGTTTTGCTCTGCACGCGAATAAAAAGGAATGCGGCGAGCAAAGGGGTGGAGAAATGAACTCAACTGTACCAATCGGGCAATCAGGTTTGCTAGTTGGAGAGCAAGAGACCTGCAAAAAAGTTGCGGGCCTGCCACGCTGGGCAGCTCTCTTGCGCGCGGCCGGTTAACAAGCGGCAGGGAAAGTGATTCCAGCAGGAGAGCGCGCGATTTATTTTGGCCGTGCGTATATGTATCTCTCGCGCGGCGCGGTGCCCGTCTATATAATATGCGATCCTCAAGTTCACGGCTATGTGTGTGTATATAGTTGCAAATTAAGTGTACCAAAATGCAATTTCTGCCTATAACGAGATACATAATCCAAATATTCAAAATTTAAATGAAAACTGCAACTAAATTTGAGTAGAAAAAAAAAACATATACAATTACTTGAAAAGCTTTTCCGAAAAAAACTGACACATTTTATTTGGGAAAATAAAAATTTTAAATCTGAATTTGATAACTTTGTAAAAGAAAACCAATTATTAAAAATTAATTATGCCGAGGAAAGTTGGCAAACAGATGAAACGTGCGTTTTGTGCGTTCGGAGTTAGATACCGAAATAGCCGCGACGCGTGTGTCGGCCTTGAACCGTCCAGGGGCTCAATTTGCACAGTCATTAGCAGCGGCCGGCGCCCACGCACACCCCTATGGCTTGTATAGCATCCGAGCAGCGAGCGCGACCTTGGCTCTCCGGCCATATGGAGCCGCGGCGGCCGAAACGGTGCCGCGCACGAGAGAGATCCAACATGGCCGTTTCTCCGTCGAGGAAGTGCCAATCGCCCCCCACCACCCTCGGCCTTGGCCGTTTCGCCAAACGCAGCTAGCCACAGGGGGCCGGGGAGTGAACTTGGCCTTGAACCAGGCGGGCGTGATAATAGGCGGCTTATCTCTCGCTCTGCTCTTTTTTGTGTGCGGCTGGTTTATCAAAAAGCGCGATCGATGCGTCAACGCGTCATGTGTTTGTGCAAGCAACGGCTGCGGTGCGCGGCGGGTGAACGACCGCGCGCGACGGGCATTATATTCGCGGCGGCATCGATCGCGCGCGCGGCCGCCCGCTCGCTTTTCGAGCACCATGACTGGGTCAATAGAGCTCTAGGGTCGGCCAACTATATATCAATACCCGCGGCCCCGAGCACCGGCATAAACACAACGCTATACCGAAGGCAACACTTTGAATTTCCTTTTTTTTTTATTTCCTTTTTTTTCTTTCCACACAGAGAGCCCAGTGTGCTGGTGCGAGCGCGAGGCGCGCTTGAGAGACACACACCGAGCACCAGCAGCAGCAGGGGTTTGCGTGCGCATGCAGAGAGAGGGGCAGGGAAAGCTGCCAGCACAGTTCAGCGGCCCGACGGCCATATTGGTACCCGGGGTCAATAACCTGGGAGGGGAACCAACGCGCCCTCCCTTCACCCCCGGCAAGTGGGTCACTCGGGCGCCCGATTCGCGCCACGGCTCACGGGGCTCGCGGACCCCGCCGCGATTGGCACAAAAAAATGATAATAATAAAAATACGTGTCTGTCGGTCAGGGTATGTTATTTGTTTGGTCAGACGGTGGCGCGGGCCTTCAACTAACCCCCGACCGACCTTGGCCCATCCCCGAGTGCCATACGCGGAAATACCAACCTCTTAGCGGACTTGTGGCCCATGGCTCTTTTGTCGTCCTTGGGCAGGCGCAGGTAGTCTTGGTCGCCCAGCAGGAAGAGGTCCTTGGATATTATCATCGCCAGCACCAAGAGTCCTGTGTGTTCACTTTGATTTCACTTTACTGCCGCTTCTCATGATCACTTACTACTGGCCCAGTTAGCGCGGAAACCTGCTTTGAAATGCGCTAAACCAGACAAGCGAACCGAGGGCGCCACGTGATGACGACTTTTTTACCACCAGCAGCAGCTGCCATTGCCATCTAGCAGCCGCTTGCTTTTTATCGCTCGCTCGCAGCCGCGCACCAAGCAAGCAAGCGCGCCGTCGACCGACCGACGAGCCCGAGATGAACGTACGTAATGTACAACACACTCGCAAGTAACCATGCAGCATCTCGCACCCTGAGAGAGTAAACAAACCGCCAGCTCTCTCTCCTCTCTTCTTATTTTGTGTGCGTCTCTCTCTCTTCTCTCGAAAACAAGACAAGATGAAAATAAATTCCCGCGGTGCTAAATGCGGAGGGACGCATATGGCGCTGTTTACGAACAATTGGCCACATTCATCACACTCCCAATTTCCGCTACATTTGCCACTTTGCCGTTCGTGGCTGAAAAATGTATACAATAATAATGAAATAAATTTAGGGAGAATTTATTATTTCACATCTCACATATCCACGGACGGCCAGTTGCAATTTTTCACTTTTTTATTACCTCATTTCCCAGTATATTTAATCATTTCAATATGCAGCTCCTGTTTGAACAACCAAGGCCATCAAAAGGATACCCGGAAATTAAGTTTTTTTTTTCAGAACGATTTTGTGCAGTGTTAATATTTTTAATTATTCCAGAAATGACACCAGAGTTGACTTTCAATTTGATAGTAAATAAAACAAAATTAAGAAAAAGGTTGATTTAAATAACCTAAATAATCAATGCACCATGAAATTGTCAAATATGGACTCTTATTAGGATATTTTTCAGCTAATTTAAAACAGTGTAATTTTTCATAATCCACATTTTAATCCGAGGCCCTTATAATTTTAAACCAAACAAACTTAATTTTCAGATGGATTAATATATTATAATACATATAAATTTATTTGATAATTTCTTTTTGCAAAATAAAATAATTGTAATATGAAATAATCATACATCATACACAAAATTTGAAGTAAACTTTGATCGCTTTTCTCTTATTTCCTGCTTAAAGACTAGAAAGAATAACTGTGAAACAATAAAGAGACACGAATTTTCTAAATTTCATGAAGATAAAAGGGGCTCACTGCGGCGGATGGGGTCTTTTTGATGTCGCAAAAGTTTTAAAAAAATTCTTGCCGTTGAATCCAACAATTTCTTTTCTTAAATAAGTTGTTTTCAACAATTGAATGTAAACAATTTATTATTTATTTAATGTATTTGTAAGAATGTAAGAATTTGAAATTGAAAATAATAATAATAATTACTTCATATTTATTTATTTATTAATTAATTATTTAATTTTTAACATAAAAATATTATAATTTTGAAAACTACAATATAGTGAACTTCTTCGGAATTCAGCATAAAATCTAAAAATAATTGTTTATTGTGCGTGTCAAATGATTTGTATGTATTGGTTTAATGTATTTTATTATTCGTATTAATTTAATTAAGAAATTTATTTGTTCTCACAATCAGGTTTAATTGTCTACATACTATGATTCATTTTTTTTCTAACTTTATGTTGCACCTGTGGGGAATTTCAAATTATTTTTTCGTGCATAAATATTTTGTATTCACGCCTCTCTTTTATACTTGCCGAAAATGTTCCTGAATACACGTGCGGAATATTAATTTTTTGATTTCATGACGATAATATTGCTTTTAAAAAGCGATTTATGATCATCATATAGACATAAAATTATAAAATAAAAACCTCCCGACGGCGCTCAGTTCGTGTGTATTTCTCTTGACTGGACCTCAAGTACAAACCTTCAATTAAAATAATTTTGGCAACATGTGCGCTGCGTGCTGGAAAAAATTTAATATACATAGTCGGTCGTTTCGCATGCCAGCGAATAATATTGCCTACGCATGGGGGCATACATAGGAAACCATTTTTATATCCACAACGGCCTCGAAACCTGTTCTGCATTCGCAAAAAAAAACGCTTTCCTATAATACTTGGTTGCCAGGAGCTAATTGGGATCAGAGGTCACCTCCGTCACACATATTACAAAGAAGAAAAAACTAAATACTCGTCAGACGTCTAAAAAGCAGAAAACTAGTCTCATCAAGCCACATTTGCTCGGTCGTAATAATAAAAATTTTAATTTTAATTCAAAACCCGTCTCCTCCCGGCCGGCGCTTTGCTGGCGGTGACCTTTATTAATATGCGCAAAAGAGGCGGACGAGATCCTCTCTTGCCAACAGCAGGCTCGATCACAGCGACGCGTCAGTTTCGCGAATTTAAGACTATGCCCTGCCGTGCTAAGACGCAGAAAGATTTAATTAAAGAAAAAAGCAGACGCTACTTCAATGAAGGGCAAAAAGAGACTTCGCGGCACTTGCGTAACCTCAGCTCTGTTCTCCAACGCCGATTGGCCGCCTCCAGACCACGTGGGCACGAGGGCGTGGCCTCGCCCAGCTGCGAGTGGAAAACAGAGATCAGAGATGGCAGCTTTTGCGGGTAAAGTGGTGCTCATCACAGGTGAGAATTTCGCCCTTAACCTTGGGGAACGTTTTCAAATTTGAGTTTCAGGAGCCAGTTCGGGCATCGGAGCGGCCACGGCCGTGCACCTGGCGCGGCTGGGGGCCTCCCTGTCGCTCACGGGCCGCAACATCGACAACCTCGAGAAGGTGGGCCGGCAGTGCGAGGAGTCGAGCAAGCAAAAACCTCTGCTCTTGAAAGGTAAATAATCATAATCACATGCGCGTCTCCAGGGCCTTTGTCTCGCCAACACAAAGCATTCGCTCGCTCCGAGGAATGTGTTGAATAATGTTCCGAGCAGACTTAACTAAAGACTCAATTGCAAATTGCATACATCATGCCGGCAGCAGGGGAGCCAGCAGTTGTTGCCAAGTATAACTAGATTTTATCTTTTGAATGGAACGCGATGCTTTAATAAGTCGTTATATGTGAGCTTCGTTTTGAACTCGATTGACCCAGAGATAAAGATTTAAACAAACAATTTCTCATTTCATTAGAATGAAGAGGAAATCATTATTTATAATTACATTATTGACTCAAAACGGTAATAAACTTTATAAATTTTCTAGATTGTACCTATCTTCTATGCTGTAGTATCAAAAATAAATTTATTTAAAAGATTTTAAAACAAATTTTACACAATATTCATAAGTATTTTTTTCTTTCTATCTTTTGGCATTTCCCGTAATTATGGAAGTGCAAAATTTGTAATTTAAAATAAAAACTGCCACATGACTAAAACTTTGAAAATTTCAGGTGACATAACAAATGAAGTTGATACGAAGAACATTGTGGATACGACTCTGGGTCACTTTGGCCGTCTGGACGTCTTGGTCAATAACGCAGGAATTCTCGAAATGGGCACAATCGAGACAACCAGCTTGGAGCAGTACGACAGGGTGTTCAACACCAACGTGCGCTCCATTTACCACCTGACGCAACTGGCCGTCCCTCACCTCATCAAAAGCCAGGGCAACATCGTCAACGTCTCGAGTGTCAACGGCATCCGCTCGGTACATAACAATTTTCATGAGTTGTAAATTTTTTATTTACGACCTAATGAATTTATGTCACAGTTCCCAGGGGTGTTGGCGTACAACATGTCCAAGACGGCCGTCGATCAGTTCACTCGCTGCGTCGCACTCGGTAGGACAGAATTATTGCCCGTTGAATAAATATATAAAACAATTTTATTTTTCATTTCCGACAGAGCTGGCGCCGAAGAAAGTCAGAGTCAATAGTGTCAAGTGAGACAAAATTTATAGTGTTTTGAGATGTTTACGATCAATTCTACCCTTTAGCCCGGGAGTGACTCTCACCGAGTTGCAGAAGAGAGGTGGATTGGACGAGGAAAGCTACCAAAAGGTAAATATAATTATTAATTTTTTTGAACAGCAGAGAGATTAATTTAATTAATATTAAAATTTGCAATCACATAAAAGCATTTTTTGGTTATATTAAGAATTTTTGAAAGAGAATTTTTATTATTTTCTATAAATTTTAGTTTCTGGAAAGGTCAAAAGAAACTCATGCCCTTGGACGTGCCGGCAACCCAGATGAAGTTGCCAATGCCATTGCCTTCCTTGCCTCGGATGCATCAAGCTTCATCACTGGAGTTAATTTGCCAGTTGACGGAGGTCGCCACGCCATGTGCCCCCGTTGATATGATCAAAGTGCCATTCAATAACCCAATCTGCATGTTAACAAAAATACACCTGTGCTTTTCTTTTTGCATTATAATGTGAATACAGTTTTGTCAAAGAGCTCAATGTGATTGCAATAAAAACTATTTTTCATGAGTCAAACAAAAATGCACTCTTGCTCTGCTTTTTCTCATTAAGACAAAAGCTTCACCACCGCCGACTAAAATGCACAACGTTTGCATTTTTACATTCTGTGCTTTTAAAATGCATTAAGAGAGCTCAATCGGAAGGCAAGGCTACAGCAGAAATGGGTTAAGCTGAAAAGCATACAGTCTTTAAAAGAGCCAAAGATCAATTGGAGTGTGGCGGAAAGCACAGCAGTGCAGGGAGAGAGGAAAAAAATAAATCCGAAGAAGGAAAAACAATCTGGGCGCATCAGCATTCCGCCCTGGTCGGCGCGTGGCGAGGTTAGTTATGCAACCGGGCGGGCACGAGCGTCACGCTGGTTGCACGTCCGTCGCGCTGCAGGCGATCGTTACTGCAGAAAGGAAAGATGTCCCCGTCCTGGGGTCACACACACGAAAATCGAGGTAAAAGGCAACAGGTGCAGAGCGCCGCCGAGGTAGTGCGGGGCCCGCGGGCGAACTACGCAAGCCCCACCCCGATCCATAGCGATGAATTATGAATCACAACAAAAAGCCAAAAGCCAGCCAGAGCCGCTATCCACCCTGCGGCCGCAGCGAATTCGGAATAAAAAAGAAAATGATAAAAAGAAGAGAGGAAGAATTTCGTGCCTGCACTCGGCACTGCTGCCTTGATCCGCCCCGGCCGTGTCTTCCGTTTTTTCCTATTGACTCTGCCTAATGAGACTGCTTTGTATTTGCCCAGAGATCGTATAAACCTCTGCAGCAGGGCTCTCGTATATATAATGACGTCATGATTTATATATCAAAAATTCGGGCCCGGAAGTCGGGGGTCCGCCGCTGCTTTCTCATTACCGACGGCTTAATTGCGGCGCGGGCTGAATTATTAAGGGCGGCGTGCGATCCCCGTGGTGATTTAATTAACAAGACAGGTACCGTAGGCAGGGCGAACCGGCGCGCGGACGAAGGGCGAATCGATGCATCAGGGCTGGGCGCGTGCGCAGCCGTGGTGCACGCCTCGCGGAGGACCCAGAGGAGTCAGTCATGGACCAGTGATGGAGGCCCTCGCGCTCCTGCTGCTGCTGCTGCTCCTCGGCGACGCCAGCAGCCGCGACGTCAAAGGTGAGTCGCTTTTGTCTTTCTCCTCGCGCGCGCCCTCTAATGAATAAAGTTTGCAGATTTACGATGCAACTTTTTAATGCCTGCCTGCATGTTTTATACACGCACAGAGACGACTAATTGCACACTCTCTAAGCAGGCAAACTTTCTTTCACGTTTATGACAGGAAGTCGCATCACTTTATCACGCACCCTTTTTATCTCGCGCAAATTTCAAGGAAATTTTAACGTGCGCCTAATTGGCCTCTTTTGTCCACCGGCTTGCTAATGGAGAACGTCGTAAGTGATATAAGATTTAATACTAATTTTTTTAAAACTCTTTTATTCAGATAATATGTAAAAATTATCCAAGTCATTTTGTTGAGATATGAATTTTAAAAGTTTTATCCTATTCGTTCTCAGATCTCAGAAATCAAATGAAAATTAAAAAGGCACATCGGAACACCATGAAAGTAAAAATAGAACAAATTGACTTTCATACATCGGGCAGTCAATTATAAAATTCCACAGGATGATATGCATGCAATGAAGGATTTGAGCTTTTAAGTGTATGAACGCTAACCAGAAATAGCAAAAATTTCTATAGAATTTTATTGTTTCTTAAATTCTAGAGATTAAATAATTTTTGTCAAAGAATGTCACAAATTTTTTTTTAATTTAAAATTTAAAGACAGCATTTCCTCAACATTTATTTTCCTTGCATATTTTCTTTCCCTTTAAAAAAAACCATAATTTAAACTCTAACTTTACTTTATGAAGAAATTTATTGTATAAAAATAGCAACTTTGCATCATTCTTTTTGTTCTCTCTTGAACTTCAATTTGAGCAAATGACGTTATGATGGTTTGACGTGTGCTTAATGTGCTCTGGTCGCGTTGTGATGGATAGGGTTGCCGTGTGTAAATAGCCTGCGGTTGTCCGGCTTGCCGGACGGAAGGGATCAAAAGGGCGAACGTTTGCTGCAAAATAAAGTCTTATCTCTCCACATTCGCCACCGCGCAACCGAGTGGCCTCTCTCGCTTGCACTTTCGCCCGTCATTTTCCTCTCGTTGAACTATGCTTTTTCTTTCTCTTTCTCGCAGTGAAATTTTGCGGCGTACCCAAAAGTTAGTTTGGCCAGCAAGTTTCTTAATTAATTTACATTGAAGCCGCCGCCGTCGTCCATACATTTGACGATAGCGCTAAATGTACACTTTCCGCGCGAAATAATTATATGCAGTATTGACCGTTTTTGCATGAATATTCAAGCAGAATTTTAAAGTCACATTATTTCATGCTAATACCCCCCTCGAAATTATATACAATTTGCATTCTCTAAGTCCAAGGAGCTGTACATTATTTACGCCGGAACAAAGTTGCAGGAGCGAAAGTGAGTAAGTGTCGCGGTGCGCGAGGCAAAAAATCACTTTGTCCGCCGCATCCCAGCACGCGCAGTCCGAACTCGGAGTTTGGATCATTTTTCCCCAAAATCTCCCCGGGGCCGTGCGGCTTAATGGATCTGACATAAAAAATCAATTTACCTTTTCCCTCGCACCAAGTGCAAGAGAGAGATAAATATAAAAAAGAGAGAAAGTAAAAAAAAAAAACTGGACCGAATCGCACGTTCTATCCATTTTTCGTTCGGTCCAGGTGCATCAGCAGGATGCTGCGAAGGTGCTCCTTTATAGCGTGTTGTCAGGCAAGCCGGTGGTGCAAAGGGGCGGGGCGGCACACGCAACCCCATTTATCACCCCCGCACGCCCGGTATATACACTTTTTTCGTTCATCCTGAAAAAAGTTCCCGCGCGCTCTCCGGTCGGTGTCCCAGGAGCCCTGTGACGCGATATTTGAGATAATTGTTGGCCGGAGTTCATCACATCGATTGGATTTGCGCCAAGTGACCGACCAACCGACCGACCGGTCTCTCGCATCCCCCGGGACCCACCACCCCCTCGCGTTGCACAGTCTGCATTGCAGCTGCAGACCCCCGTCCGAAAAAAATACTACCTTTGAGTAAAGTTAGGAGAACGGTCAATATTTGACCAAAAATTGGATCTTGCAAGTCCACAGGCAGAAATCATCAGTTCTAGTTTCAATAATTCAAAACAGATTTTGGTTTTAAAAAAAATTATATTTTCTTGTAACTAAAATTTAATAGGGAAAACGGTGTAGAGTGTAGAGTTGATTATTTATTGAGATTTAAAAGGATCGGCACACATTATTATATTATTTTGCTCAAGAAAGATTATGTTGGAACAATTTTTTAATTATTCCATTAGGTTATTCTGGAAGAATTTCTTAAATTTAGTGTCAATTTCCCTCATACACATAGAAAGATTAGTGTTTTATAAAGAGCTCTTTGATGATAAGGAGTAAAATCGACAAAAAAAATTTGAATCAGAATTTTTTGAATTTCATTAAAAAATCAGTTATTCGGATTTTTATTTTCAAAGTTTAATTGTTTGAAAAAAAAATGCTCAACCTTTTATAAAACTAAAAAAGTCAAAATAGCAGAATAATTTAAATTTTTTGAAAAACTCTATTTTTTTAACTTTTATATCAGTAATGTGTGACATTGTTTGAATTTTGAAGTAACAAATTATTAATTTTCTTTATTTTTTCTTATTATTCTCTAATTTTTAGAACTAAAATAATTCAAATTAATTGATACTCCTAAAATTAGCCTAAAAACCAAGTTTATTTTGACAACAAGTTTCGCCTATTTGCTAGCAACATGTAAATGCTCATAAAACCTTTTTCCCTCTTTTCATGAGTGCAATAATAATAATAATAATAATAATAATAAGTTTATAATTAACAAAAATATTAAAAATTCAATTTTTTTTAAATTCCTGCAGTATAGATGGTCAAAATTATTTCAGGCCAAAGTCTGATTAGTGATATGATAAAAGTTTCGTAGTCATAAATATGTACTTTTATTTTCTCCGGCTGACGTCATCTATAACATAAAAAACTTCCATTTTTCAGCCGCCAACTGCGATCTGGTCATCACAAGCGACGCGGGGAAAAACGGCAGCGTGTCCTCACCAGGCTACCCGCAACCATACCCTGCGCGCTCGCTGTGCCGCTACGAGTTCCAAGGACGCGGCAAGGAGCGCGTGCAACTTGTCTTCACCGAGTTCAACCTGTACACGGCCGGCGACGACGACCACAAGTAAGAGCCTCTTTGTCTTCTTATTGCGTAAAGCGTGAGTGAGAGTGGAAAGAACCCTTGCTTTTTTGCGTGTGTGCGCCGCCTTTCCGTTCGGCCGCACGCGTGACACCCTCGCTCCCTAACACATTCGCACTTCTGCTTTGCGTTTCTTTTTTGCGGCAGCAAGAACTTTGACATCTCTCTTTTCGCTCTCAACCTAAGTGGTTTATGTGTTCAAGCGCGTGTTGTGGAACAAACGCGACAAAGAGAGCCTCCATGCTCACTGTAACCGCACTAACCATCAAATTGTGTTTTCTCCCCCTTCAGTTAAAAAAATGAAAAATGATTTTTACACAGAAAGGAGTTTAACATTAAATAATAAAAAAAGTAAATATTAAAATTTTTATAAATAAAATAGAATCAAATACAAATTTTTTTTGTTGACAAAATGGTCTTGCTCAAACTATTTTCACGAAATATTAAATCTTTATTTTATTTATTTTAATTATTTTGTAAAATTTTAAATGTTCATATTTTTTATATTAGAAAATTTTATTTTAGAAAGTTTTATATTTCATAAACATTTATAATAAATTTCTATTATAAATCCAATGCCACCGCCAAATCGTATTCTTATCTTAATTTAACAAAATGCCTTGGTCAGGCCTGCTTTCTTCAACTTCATTGATCTCACTTTCTTATTAATTTTCTAGCACACACTAAACATATTTATTGAAAACATTCAAATGAAATCGATTCTTATAGAGTAAAATTGTAACTTTTAAGAAAATTGGGTTCATAATGGTTTTTATTTTTGTGATGTTTTTATTTGCTCATTACTTCATGACATGACTGAACACTCATTTCTGTGAAAAAGATGAAACCCCCGTTTTCATCAAAATTTTCAATGCAAATAATATTATTTGGTGTTGATCATTACCAAATATAATGACGATTTTTAGACCGCAGTTTCCATTCCCTGCTTTTAAAAGGTAGAAACACTTGAAACAAAGACACTGAAAAGGCGATCAAAGAACGAATCAAAGCCATGTAAAATTTGGAAAACGAGTCGCGTTTGCACCGTAACATTTGCATGCTTTTTGCGGTGGGTCGCCGAATAAGGAATTTGACGATCACAGCAGTAGTTCCGCTCTCTCTCTCTTCGTTTGAGCCTTTTTGCGCGCGTGCACCATTCTGAAACAATGTGTGTGTTCGCCGCTGCCGCGTCGCAATTCTTTAAGCCAGCTTTGAGATATTCCATTTTTCATGCGCGCAGAAAGAGATTTTGTACGCGCCGAGTGTAAAAACAAAAACGCGCGAGCGGTGTGTGTGTGCATGATGCTTTGTGCATGCTTGTTGCTTGCGAAATGTTTTATGAGATCATATTTCAAACCGTGTTTTATTGCGTATGCTCTCTGTGTAATACAACTGTGCAATCCTCCTCGAGGAAGCGTATAAAATTTGTACGTGCGCCGCCAACAGTTTATTGACGATTTGCGTTTGTGTCGTTCTCAGCGAGTAATGAAAAAACCGCACCCAATATACTGCAAATATTTTTTATGACTTCCATGCAATTGTTATAAACCGGAACTCTTTTATCAACTTTTTATTAGCATTCAAAAAAATTACGAACTGGGAAATCAAGAGGATTGTTAAAATTTACATTCATCTGATATAAATTAAATTAAAGATGAATTTTTTTTCAGTTGAATTCATTTATTTTCTCACGTCGCAAGTAAAAAATTTTGGAAATCATATTGGGAGCCAATTCTAGTAAACAACTGATAAATTCAGAATATCTAAACCCCACTTTATAGCAAAGCAGTTTGCCAGTTTCAGTTTTAGTTAAGTTTTAATCTACTTGATGAGCTTAAGCTGTGAATTAATTTCTTCAATTTAATTCTGTACAAAGTATTACGTGTTTCTCTTGTAAACCAGCTTTTTCACCTATTAAAACCGAATTTTCATTCAACTGTAACGCAAGGAGAATAATAAAAAAACTTCAACGATTTGAGGTGACATTAAAAAAATATTAGAATGGTCAATAGAATTTCTATTTTAATTAATTCCCGATTTTAACACCTTTATTTTACTGTATCCTGTTTAAAAAAAGCCAATAATTTTATCTTTCACATCACATTACTTTTTAACAAAAGAAGGATTAAAAGATATTTGATGAAAATGCGATGGAAGACGCGCACCCAAGAGGAACTTTCGTCAACCAATTTACATAATCTCCCTTCAATGATTAAAACTTGCCGATCAGCACCGCCAGCCAAGATCGTTTCAATAATCCCAGGTGTACCGATGAACTTGCGCAGCTCCCAGAAGCTTTCATAACAAAATTTATTTCCAAGAACTTTAGTCCAAAAGGGAAAGAAATTGGCAACCAATTTCTGTCAATAACTCTCGATTTCTTATTGAACCGTCCCAAACAAGAATTCTCCTCTTCCAATAATTTCTTTTTCCTACCTTTACCTTATTTCTATTCCAAAGAAAGCTTGTTTTTTACAAAAAAGAATAAGCCCACATCTGAATCCAAATGAACATGCAGAATTGAGACTTCTTGCTACAAAGGGTGTCTCTTTTGAAAAGTTTTCTCAAAAACTCTCTCACACGGGGAAACGGTCTGTAAAGAGAAGAATGAATTTGATACATAACCGTGTCGTATCAATATCATGCAAAAAGTATATGAGGAAACTCAAAAGTCTCTCCTGTGCAGAAAGTTCTGAAGCATTTATTACTGTTTGTTTGCTGCCAGCCGAAACTTAGTTTCCTTGTGTCAGCACAACCGTGCAGTATCACATTTATAAAATCTTATTCTGTGTAAAAGCTCCCCCGGCAAGTTTTCGCCTCACTTTCTCCTGTGATCGCAAGGAGCGCAGATTTTTCCTACGTTCCCTCATCCCCTGCTTCCTCTCTTGTTTCTCGTTTATTTTAACGACAATTTCTCTTTTGAAAAATGATCCCCGTTGTTTGCCAGCGTGTGTTCGAAGTGTAGCAGTTTTACCAAAGTCGCTTTATTATCGCGGAGACATCTGCGAGAATTTATTTCGCGTTTGTTAACATAAGATTAGGCTCTTGATAAATTGTTTGTTTATTGCATTATTATGATAATGCGGTCATATTTAAAATATAAATTCAAGTCTCTGAGCGGAACCGGAAGGTTAGAAATTTGTCTATATGCGCCGCATGGACAGTTTGCCCATGGGCAAGTGCTCGGACGTTCAGGAGTGAGAAAAAAGGCTTACCTTGAACTGCTGCGGCCGCTCTTCCTGCAGTACCGAAAAAGCAAAGCACTGGTTTTCCGTCACTTTCTCGTCGAATTTACAGTATTATCACTTGTGAATTAAAAAAATAGGTCCCCACAACTTCACAAAGACATTTTTTGTCTAAATTCAACACAGAAAACTTATGAAATACGACTTTCCTTGCTTCCCCGCACGCACAGACCACACAACACTGGTGAATTTCTTTGTTTACCTCTATTTGTCTATTCATCATTTGTCTTAAAAATGATTGATGACTTTAACTTATTCCGCGCAACTGATTGGCCGATCTCCTGACATAGGCATTTTTTGCTTAAAACGGCGGGAAGGGAACGCTTGTCATATTAACATTATTTAATTTAATTGATTGAAATTCAATTAGCCAAGAATAATACATTTTACTAAAAATAATTAAATTAAAGTTATTACAAGAAAGTGCAGATTACATATTACTAAAATTATTATTGAACATTAATTACAACAATGTTTTGGTTGGTTTTAGTGTTAAAAATTTATTTTATATTTATATTATACCTATTTTTTAAAAAAGTTATTTTTTTTTAATGTGAAATAACGACTTTTTTGTATCTGTTTATGTTTATTAATTTTAATCAATCATAAATACAGATCTTCAATACGATGTCTAGTGTAATTAAAAGTTTTAACCGGCTGTAACCACATATTTAACATCAGTTTCAGGGGAGAACTTTAATTAAATTATTAATTTAGTTAAATAAATGCTGACAAAATCTACAAATATTTTTATATTATTCAACACAAGTTTCCTATTTATTCACGTTGTCTATAACATGGATGAATCGTGTTTTCTTTTTCTTTTTAAGTTTGTTTAAAGAATTGCATAGACTTTCATCTGTGGTGTTGCAGCAATGTCGCTGCGTTGTCACTTGTGTGCCAATTGCCCTGCGAAAATCCAATGCCGTTTGCCAAGAGACCAATATCCCAGCCGCATCATTTCTTTACAACGAAGCTGCAGAGCGCAAAAAATAATCCAATTGACCGCTTAGCACGGCAATGCAATCCCGCAAGACATGGTGGTGCGGCAAGTTGCATAAGATTAGCACCGTTTCGCAGAATCAAATCGCGTTGTTCCGCTCGGCTCGGCAGATCGGCTGGTGAGCTCGTTCCGCTGAATTAGCACAGTGGCATATTATTCAGTTAATTGCGGCGCAAAAGCGTATCCACGCGTGTCAGTGCACTTTTTGCATTCAGCCAGATGAGCACCTCTAGATGCAAATTAACGATCTAAGCGGATTTATAATAATGCTAAAAATAGTTAGCGAGTGTTTCTTTTTCCAGGCAGATAAATAAGGGCTTAAAATAAAATGCATTTTCCCAAACACATATGTTTCCAGTTATTTCAAAAAACTTCTGTTTTGGCAAGTTTTTTTTATAAAATATGTCCATCAATGTAATTAGTTTTGTTTTGTTCATTAAATTCTGATTATTTTGATTTCTTTTGTTGATTAGTAAGCCTTGTAAAGATTTGTTTTAATTTCTAGAAAATGTATCAAAAATGGGATTTCATGGATATTTCGGATATTTATTATATTAAAATAAACTTATAAAATTGCTATGAAATAGATACATTATACATTGGGATTGAAGAACATTTTTTTTATGAGACAGAAATTTGTGATTCAGAGAGGATAAGGTGAGCTCATGATGATTTCATGAAAAACCTGGATGAACCTGACAAAAACTTAATAATCCAGCTTCAAAAATTTCATCAAT